ATGTGTAAGTTTCCCTAAGACCTAGAACGGGTGTTTTATTGTTAAGATGTGTAAGTTTCCCTAAGACCTAGAACGGGTGTTTGATCGTAAAGATGTGTAAGTTTCCCTAAGACCTAGAACGGGTGTTTGATTGTAAAGATGTGTAAGTTTCCTTAAGACCGAAAACGGGTGTTGGATCGTGAAGCGAGAGTCACCAGAGCGTGAGGCACGGTAACGGTATAACGAGACAGCGGTGGCACTATAGCGCGGTAATTGAGCGAATGGTAGAGCTCGGGCTGCGCCCGGTAAACTGCATTGTTATGTAGGCTTTATGATAATTTTGAAAATACTGTTGTACTTTTATTCAAAACATCAAGTTTATCATGGGACTCTGACTGTGTTTTGATATTTACTTATATCTCACCCGAAAATTCACCAGTTAATGAGAATATAGATAGTGATGGATTTACTCATCTTGAAAACTACTTGAACATTATTGTTGGGGAACACCCACACAAGCATATATTTCTTGCTGGTGATCTTAATGCAAGGACAAAGGACTTCCTTGACTATATCCCTGATGACAATATTGACTTTATTCAGAGAGATGTTGATGATTATCCCTCTGATACATTTGATATGCCAAGAAACACTGAGACTCAGTGACAAATACTAATTTTGGCAAAAGACTTGTTGAATTGTGTAGGACCTTTGGTATTCACACATTGAATGGGAGATTGTTTAATGATACAAATGGTGAATTCACATGTTTCACTCATAATGGATCAAGTGCTGTGGATTACATGATTGCCTCCTCTTCTCTCTTTCCATATTTCTCTAACTTTGGGGTTGGTACACAGGATCACTCCAATCACTTCCCCTTATATTGCTCACTCAATATTCAGGTTACCTCATCTGGTAAATATAGTCAACCCCCAGCCCCAGGTAATACAAGGAGTAACTCAAACTGTAATCTGGAAAAGGAAGGTGGAGGCAGTTGGGAGAAATATGTGTGGAATGAAGGTGCTAAAGAAACCTTCTTGCACAAGCTTGAGGGTATATTAGTAGAGCATTATGATTATATCTTACAACTAGCTAATAATAATTGTAATACAGCAGTATCTTGTATAGTCAGTTATTATCAAGAAGCTGCAGAACACACCAAAAAAGTATATGGTTTAAATTCTAACTTCAGGAGAAATCAGCAGCCTCCCTGGTGGGATGATGAACTTGAATTAATTAAACATGACAAATACAAAGCCCTGAGAGCTCACAGAGATCACGGGTAATATTTTTCACTTTTTAGACACTTAAGATCAATGTTTAAAAATGCTTTTAGTAGAAAGAAAAACTCATTTCTTGAAGCACAGAGAGAAAAACTGATAGCTGCAAGAGACAACCCAAAGTTGTTCTGGAAACTGCTCAAGGATAGTAAACCATTTAATGCAGTCACTCAATCAATTAATACTGAGCAATGGACTAACCATTTTATGTCTCTTCTTTTTAGGCAGGATCTTGCACTTGATAGCAGTATGTACCATATCCCTGACAATAATGATCTAACAATTAACATTCCTATTCTAGCACAAGAAATATCAAGTCAAATCAACCAGCTTGGGAATAATAAATCCCCTGGGCCTGATGGTATTGCTGCTGAATTTTTAAAGTCTTCAGAGAAACAAATTACACCAATTTTAGTTATTACATTTAACAAAATCTTTGAGAGTGGTAACTTTCCAGATGTGTGGGGGAAAAGTATCATCTGTCCTCTGTTCAAGTCTGGTGATATGAATGATGCCAACAATCATAGAAGTATATCACTCATTGATACCATATGCAAAGTATTTACATCTATTCTTAATGCTAGACTACAGAGGTGGTGTGATGATAACAATATCATTGACGAATCTCAAGCTGGATTTAGACCCAACTATTCCATGACAGATCATATATTTTCACTACAGGCCATTATCCAAAAGTATGCATGTAAAAAGAAAGGAAGGTTCTACTGCTTATTTGTAGATTTCTCAAAAGCTTTTGATAATGTTGATCACAATATGATGTTATAGAGTTTGGCTGATATTGGTGTCTGCGGAAAGTTTTTGTCTATTATTACATCAATGTACAATAAACTGTGTGCCTGTGTTAGAACACCTACTGGGTTATCCAAGTACTTTAAGTGTAATATAGGTACCCATCAAGGATGCATCCTCAGCCCTCAGATGTTTTTAATATTCATAAATAAACTTGTAGATTTTATGGAAAATTATGGTGGAAAACAGTCTTTATTACTAAGGACTGCCCAGCAATATATGCACTTATGTTTGCTGATGACGTGTCATCTATTGCTGATACACCTTTAAATTTAAAAAAGAAGATCAATGCCTTGGAACATTTTTGCAATACCACGTCAGTATAGAGGAAGTCGGCACACAGATACGTACAGTCTACAGGGCTGACGCTACACTGGGGTGGAGACAGTCAGTATAGAGGAAGCCGGCTCACAGATACGTACAGTCATCAGGGCTGACGCTACACTGGGGTGGTGAAAGTCAGTATAGAGGAAGCCGGCTCACAGATACGTACAGTCATCAGGGCTGACGCTACACTGGGGTGGTGACAGTCAGTATAGAGGAAGCCGGCTTACAGATACGTACAATCTACAGGGCTGACGCTACACTGGGGTGGTGACAGTCAGTATAGAGGAAGCCGACTCACAGATACGTACAGTCATCAGGGCTGACGCTACACTGGGGTGGTGACAGTCAGTAAAGAGGAAGCCGGCTCACAGATACGTACAGTCATCAGGGCTGACGCTACACTGGGGTGGTGACAGTCAGTATAGAGGAAGCCGGCTCACAGATACGTACAGTCATCAGGGCTGACGCTACACTGGGGTGGTGACAGTCAGTATAGAGGAAGCCGGCTCACAGATACGTACAGTCATCAGGGCTGACGCTACACTGGGATGGAGACAGTCAGTATAGAGGAAGTCGGCACACAGATACGTACAGTCATCAGGGCTGACGCTACACTGGGGTGGTGACAGTCAGTATAGAGGAAGCCGGCTCACAGATACGTACAGTCATCAGGGCTGACGCTACACTGGGGTGGTGACAGTCAGTATAGAGGAAGCCGGCTCACAGATACGTACAGTCATCAGGGCTGACGCTACACTGGGATGGAGACAGTCAGTATAGAGGAAGCCGGCTCACAGATACGTACAGTCATCAGGGCTGACGCTACACTGGGATGGAGACAGTCAGTATAGAGGAAGTCGGCTCACAGATACGTACAGTCTACAGGGCTGACGCTACACTGGGGTGGTGACAGTCAGTATAGAGGAAGCCGGCTCACAGATACGTACAGTCTACAGGGCTGACGCTACACTGGGGTGGTGACAGTCAGTATAGAGGAAGCCGGCTCACAGATACGTACAGTCTACAGGGCTGACGCTACACTGGGGTGGAGACAGTCAGTATAGAGGAAGCCGGCTCACAGATACGTACAGTCTACAGGGCTGACGCTACACTGGGGTGGTGACAGTCAGTATAGAGGAAGCCGGCTCACAGATACGTACAGTCTACAGGGCTGACGCTACACTGGGGTGATGACAGTCAGTATAGAGGAAGCCGGCTCACAGATACTTACAGTGTACAGGGTTGACGCTACACTGGGGTGGTGACAGTCAGTATAGGGGACGTCGGCACAAGTACGTACAGTTTACAGGGCTGACGCTACACTGGGGTGGAGACAGTCAGTATAGAGGAAGCCGGCTTACAGATACTTACAGTCATCAGGGCTGACGCTACACTGGGGTGGAGACAGTCAGTATAGAGGAAGCCGGCTTACAGATACGTACAGTCATCAGGGCTGACGCTACACTGGGGTGGTGACAGTCAGTATAGAGGAAGTCGGCACACAGATACGTACAGTCTACAGGGCTGACGCTACACTGGGGTGGAGACAGTCAGTATAGAGGAAGTCGGCACAGATACGTACAGTCATCAGGGCTGACGCTACACTGGGGTGGTGACAGTCAGTATAGAGGAAGCCGGCTCACAGATACATACAGTCATCAAGGCTGACGCTACACTGGGGTGGTGACAGTCAGTGTAGAGGAAGCCGGCTCACAGATACGTACAGTTTATAGCGGTGGGATATATATATATATACATATATATATATATATGTTTTATATATATATATATATATATATATATATGTTTTATATATTTTTATATATATATATATATATATATAACATATATATATACAGAGAGAGAGAGAGAGAGAGAGAAAGAGAGAGAGAGACAGATATATAGAGAGATATATAGATAAGAGACTTCCTCCAGCAGAATGACATCAGAACCATGCAGTGGCTTGCCCTCAGTCCCGATTTAAATCCAATTGAGCACCTGTGGGGCGAGATTCAAAGACGGCTGAATGACATCCGACCAAGGCCGACAACTGCAGCTGAACTGCATTAGGCGTTCCTTAGAGTATGGGCTCAGCCGCCTCATTCATTCCATGCATCGACGTTGCACGGCAATCATCAAGTACATGGCGGACACACGAGATACTGACTTGTGATGCCATTTTCTCAGAGACTAGTGTCGTCTTTCGCTTTGAGAACATTTGACAGTTTCATTTTAACCTTGATGATCAGCTTTGCCAAGTTTCATCTTTTTAATATGTCTTAAAGTATGTTTACAGTGTTTGGACAAATAAGGTTACTCATATATCTATCCATGGTGACGTTTCTTTTGCGATTCAGTATATGATCTATTGATACATAAGGTGAGGATATGATTCCTTAGACATGGAACTTTAAAAAATCCAAATAATTGACACCCCAGATTTAAAGGCACTGGCTTTCTTATACAGGGAACTACATTTTGTGAGAGTAATGCCAAAGACCCGGATTACCACCACAACGACCTGGCCCCGAACCTGCATAACAAGATGTGTGTGTGTGTGTGTGGGGGGGGGGGGGGGGGGGGGTTACCTTGGATGTGATTATGGTACATTCAGACTTCGCGGAAGGGGCCAACACGCCTGTCAACATGACTGTGGATCAAACGAGACCAGACATCAGAATAGTGTACAACAGAGGACGCAAGACACCATCAGGCGATGACATCTGTGGCAGACCAGTAGTTCTGGTTCTGGATCTGTCTGGTTCCATGCTTGAGGTGAAGGTCCTTCCTGGAATGATATCCTGTTGTTTGGGGTACCATTGTTCGTTTAGTATAGAGGAATAAACGACTCGTGGTCGTTGTTTATCATATTATTAAATACAGCAGGGGGAATAAACCATGAGGGGCGCAGTCGTTTATTGCCTATATGAACTATCAAGATAATGTACAGCCTCTTCAAGGATAATGATAAACTGTACAAGCTTTAAAATAATTACCCGGTTTTTAATAATGATGACACCCTGTATATAATTTGACCTCTCTACCGACGTTACACCCCCCAAGATTGTTGCCGGTGTTAATTGCAAGCCACAGACCGTGACATCGGGGAGGTCTAAAACAGTCACGATGATTGCAGCTGTCAGTGCAGATGGCGGGAATGTTCCTCCTTCTTTTGTATTTCCTGGTCAACGGATGAGAGAAGAACTGTTGTCTGAAGCAACATCTCGAGCCTCTGGCACAATGTCTGAGACAGGATGGTCGAATACAGACGTATTCAGCACCTACATGAAGGATCACTTGGCGAAATACCTCCCAGCTCATCCTTACGGCGCATCGGGATAAACAGAATAAAGTAGGCAAACAGAATCCACGTAAGAGGAAACGGGACAGTCAGCGTGATCCATGAGCAGCCCACAACATCAGGCGTGGATATATCTATGGGAAAAGGCAATTCTTCCAATAACAACAAAGCCAAGGGGAAGAGATCTAGTCGCGCGGGTACTGCTGCCAAGGCTACGCGCGCACCTGTACGTAGTCCCACCTAGTGACAGTTTCACAGACAGCGAGATGTCTGTTGTGTTGGCGGGAAATTCACTCCTGACGCCTTACGGTACACTGACACAATCACATTTGTGAAGTGGGCAGAGTGCAGTAAATGTGGACATTGGGTGCATCTAGTATTTTGCACGAAGTTACGATTTGTCCGCACTCATATACAAATTCTTTGTTGAATGTCATAAATTCATAAATGTCTTCAAATGTTCCAGTTGGAGTGACTCATTTAATATTTCTTAAATGATGTTGGAACTACGATGAGTGTTGTGTATGAAACATAATTTTGGTTGTCATCAACGGCGCACCCTGCATTCTTCGTTTTCAACGTCATCGCCGAAAACAGGTGACGTAGGACGCATCTCCCAAATATTGGCCACTGCAGCAATGGCGGCAAGCGACAGCTCAAGTTGACGAGTGCAGTCAGTAAAATGTGAGTGCATATCCTTTGACAGATGTTTGTTGACATTAACAGAATATGAATTGATTTTATTAGAACGTGTATAAATTTACCGCGCACTTTTCGTACATCGCCGAAAACAGGTGAAACCGGGATATCGAAAGTCGTTAAACATTTGTACTTGTTGTTACCCTGTCTAGCGCTCGGTATTATGAAGCTAAAACAGGGACTGGTCGGCTCAAAGTCAGTATACTGTGACTGAATGGGATATTCATGTTAACCTGTGGCATGGTATCTCAGTAGGTTAGCACTATAAAATCGGCATTAGACCGGACTAGTACAAGCACACACACACACACACACACACACATCGTCCACCGTCCTCTCTACCACCAGTCTCCCCAACCGTCCTCTCTACCACCAGTCTCCCCCACCGTCCACTCTACCACCAGTTTCCTCCACCGTCCTCTCTACCAACAGACTCCTCCACCGTCCACTCTACCATTAGTCTCCTCTACCGTCCTCTCTACCCCCAGTCTAACCCACCGTCCTCTCTACCACCAGTCTCCCCCACCGTCCGCTCTACCACCAGTCTCCCCCACCGTCCGCTCTACCACCAGTCTCCTCCACCGTCCACTCTACCACCAGTCTCCCCCACCGTCCACTCTACCACCAGTCTCCCTCACCGTCCTCTCTACCACCAGTCTCCCCCACCGTCCGCTCTACCACCAGTCTCCCTCACCGTCCTCTCTACCACCAGTCTCCCCCACCGTCCGCTCTACCACCAGTCTCCCCCACCGTCCTCTCTACCACCAGTCTCCCCCACCGTCCTCTCTACCACCAGACTCCTCTACCGTCCACTCTACCACCAGTCTCCTCCACCGTCCACTCTACCACCAGTCTCCCCCACCGTCCACTCTACCACCAGTCTCCCTCACCGTCCTCTCTACCACCAGTCTCCCCCACCGTCCGCTCTACCACCAGTCTCCCTCACCGTCCTCTCTACCACCAGTCTCCCTCACCGTCCTCTCTACCACCAGTCTCCCCCACCGTCCGCTCTACCACCAGTCTCCCTCACCGTCCTCTCTACCACCAGTCTCCCCCACCGTCCTCTCTACCACCAGTCTCCCCCACCGTCCTCTCTACCACCAGACTCCTCCACCGTCCACTCTACCATAATGACTCCACCACCGTCCAGTCTACCACCAGTCTCCCCAACCGTTCACTCTACCACCAGTCTCCTCCACCGTCCTCTCTACCACCAGTCTCCTCTACCGTCCACTCTACAACCAGTCTCCTCCACCGTCCTCTCTACCACCAGACTCATCTACCGTCCTCTCTACCACCAGACTCCTCCACCGTCCACTCTACCACCAGTCTCCCCCACCGTCCACTCTACCAGCAGACTCCTCTACCGTCCACTCTACCACCAGTCTCCTCTACCGTCCACTCTACCACCAGTCTCCTCTACCGTCCACTCTACCACCAGTCTTCTCTACCGTCCACTCTACCACCAGTCTCCCCCACCGTCCACTCTACCACCAGACTCCTCCACCGTCCACTCTACCATAATGACATTTTTAAGGTTATATTTACAAGCAGTTAATATGATTGTGTCACATATGCTAGTCCTAGTTTTCATATTATCAGCATGACTCAGGCTTAGTATGCACATATAATGTTTTATAGGAGAGAAGCATGAGTTTGTACAGAGTCTTCCGAGGAGTAGTAGCCTGCATTTGTCTATGTATCCTGTCAGCGTCCACATTCCAAGATTTGCTATGGTTGAATCAGTTGATGATTTTTGGTCTAGACCTTGGATGACTCTGGCAAAGTGCCGTTGAACCTTCTCTATCTGAATCGTATCCTGGCCACGTATGCCCCTTAGCAGCTCACACACATAGACGCTGGTAGAGAGAACCATTCGGTGCCATAGTTTAACACACACAATAGGGTGGACATCATAGCTGTTTAATCCTACAGATTTGAGTGGGTTTACTGTGCGCCTTGCGTTTTAGCAACATCGCACTATTATATTTGTACATGTCAGTTTAGAGTTTAGAATGACTTCCCAATATGTTACACAATCTGATGTTTTAATAGGAACACTACCCAGTTGAAATTTGAAATTATTCATTCAATAGGTGACACATAAATAAAATATTCTTCTTCTTTCTTTTTCCTATTTTTAATTTTAACCCTTAGACAATCATCTATCCACAATTAAGCAATGATTGTTTATATATTGCACTTTTCTTTGTATGACTGGGATTACATGATGAATAAAACTCCTTTTTCTTTCAAAAATGGGAATGTGACAAAGACCATTTTGTATCACAAATTGTGTTCACTATTCGGTGAGAAAACGATGAGCGAAACATGGTATTCCTCTACTTTCGTTTACAGTTCTCGCTTCCGTACTTTCTTTACTCTTGTTGTGCGACTTAAACTATTCGCTGATCTGTGTATAAAATGACCAAATGGATTGTATTTTCTTCGTTTCTTTTTGCGGTATCGTGAGCTCAAACTGCTCACAAATTGCTAATATGTCCAACTCTGACAGTGACAATACTTTTGAGTTGTCAAGGAATGTGAATGTTTCTCGGAAGATGAACTGGAGATTTCTGAGGAAGAAGTGTTGTAGTCTTGAAATGGCACTACCAAGATGAAGCAACATGTCATCAACTCTGTGACTCCGTGTCACTTGCTAACATGATGTAACATTACCTATACACATGGATGAGCGATTAGTGGTACTTGGTCTGAGGGTATCCTCACAAAATAAGTACACGCCAACATCACTGCAGTCTGAACAACAAAGTTGATGGTCCAGTGGGCAGCTATACCCCTGCCTGATCCCTTCGTCCCCATTGGACCTGTTTTGCAATATACAAATACAAAACAACGGAAGGTAGAAAATAGAATGATTTTTATTTTAACATGTATACAGGTATAACATTTGTTATATGAATTCGTTTGTATTACCAAATAACAAAGCACACATGGACATGTAATACCGTTATTTAATCTCTTCAGCGATATACCGATATATAAATAATAGATATACCGGAATATGGATTATTTTTATATCGGTTTATCTCTGAAGAGATTAAATAACGATATTACATGTCCATGTGTGCTTTGTTATTTGGTAATACAAATAATATATATACCGTAATATAGACCGTGTGCGACATACGCTTGCTGTCGGAAAGCGTACGTTAAAACTCCAATATAAGTAAGTAAGTAAGGAATATGATCTCAAATTGTTTTAAATGATCTCAACTACAGCTGCAGATCGAATGTGTCCGGACAGACTCAGGTGCACGTGCACTATCAGTGAGTGAGTGAGTGAGTGAGTGAGTGAGTTCAGCATGTTTGCGCAATATGGCGGCGGGGTACTCCAAGAGCATCCATCACCCAGTGTCCCTATGTGGGGAATCAAGCCTTGGACTTCAGCGTGACGCGCCATTGCTACATACACCAGCTTACCTCCCCTGACTATTGATGACGTAATACGGAACACAAAGAGGATAAACAATCAATGTTTTGACATTTGTATTTTGCATATCTTCCTTGTGGTCATAAACAATAAAACTATGCAATAAATGCAATAAACCATTTAATACATTCACGTCATTCAGGCGGTGAACTGAACTAAGTGTGTGTCATTGTGGAGCTTGGAAGCTTACCGCTGAAATGACCTTTAGTATGTCAGAAGCTCCTATGTTTACATTTTCAAAGCAACAATTAAGGACTACATCTTTATGTCACCTGTACTTGTACAAACGTATGAATTACCCACAGTTTACTGGTATTGTCACATATATGACATACTTCATACTCAGCGGGACTTATGAACACATTGTGCGGCATGAACCAACAAACAAAAAACTTTTACTATTCGTTAATCTTTCTCCTCTGTTTCCAAGCGATCAAATCCTCTGTAGGTGTTGCCAAGGAAACTGGGAACATGCAGTCGTGTCTTGGTACAGAACTTCGAAATTTTTCCTGTGAAAAAGAAAGTTGAAATAATGAAATATTCCAGTCACGTGTTGGCATTACGTATTCTCTTGTCAATATCTCATTACGATTATCCCAAGGTTATTCGTTACGGAAACAAAGCTACCACTGGGTATCAGCATGTTTGAGTTTTTTTCCGCCTCAGATTAAATGAAATAACACACAATAAAGGCTTATTTATCAGAACAAAGTTACCGATTAGTCTAGTATGAAGTACATGTTTTCATATTCGTCACCTGACTGATATATAGCGAGAACGACAGCGAACCCAAGAACCAGCATCATCCCAGATATGATAAAGACATCCGTCAAGATAGTGTCCATTCCGTCCTCAGTTGTCTCCCTTGATCTGTTCTCAGCCACGTGCGAGAGTTCAGCGTCGACTGCAGAACGGTTTCCTGCGGTACTTTCTGAAGGTAGATGCATCAGGTAGCGTACATGTAACTAGCTCAAGGTTACAGAATAGTGCCACTGACTAGTTCATCATAGTATTGTAGCATCCTTCCATATGCTGACATGTAGTACGAGTGAATTTTATTACATTTAGAACAAATAAATCGTATCCAAATCTCTTTCTGTGTCAATTCAAAACTCTCGCTACGTAAACAATCCACAACCCGTATTGGAAGACTCATCGCGCGGCCTTGCCTTGCTCCATCCAGCAGTGTTGTGAAGAGGTAGTGTTTGTTTTTTGTTGTTGTTTAACGCCGCACTCAGCAATATCCCAGCTATATAATCGAGTCTGAACCAGACAATCCAGTGATTGACAACATGAGCATGCATCGATTTACGCAATTGGGATCGATGACGTGCATCAACCAAGTCAACGAGCCTGACCACCCGATCCTGATCTTTCAACAAGCGTAGTCGCCCTTTACCTTGCTCATGATGTCAATCACTGGATTGTCTGTCCAGACTCGATTATTTACAGACCGCCGTCAGAGTGCAACGTAAAAGAACAAACAAACAAGATTTACTCCCGTACTATTGTACTCCTATGACCTGACGTACATGTATCAGGTCACAGGTCTATGCTCCCCGTACCAGGTTATTCAGGTCCCCGGGTTTAGTGATGCGTGACATGTATGATCTTAAAGTGACGATGTTGCAGGTCTGACAGCCACATAATTTCCTCTCAGTGAAGCGATCAACGTGTGCGTAATACGTGACTCGGACAATTCATTTACTTTGATACCATATCCCAATTTGAACTATTACAACTCTAATTATTGTTTATCGATTGATGATTGAAGACTCGACAGGAAGTTTTTAAGTTTTGCGGATTTACACGGAGAGTTGTTTTTACCATTGTCGGGGGGAGGCACGTGGATGTGATGGTGGTCGTGACCCTGTGCTTCCTCCTCCAGCAGGGGGTTCCGGGGCAAGGGGACGGCCGAGTCAGGGGGTAGTTTTCTCACAAGGTCGGGATACGTGTTTCCCCCGCAAAAAGGGAAAAGACTTTTAGTGTTGGCTTCCGCTTTAAACATGATGATGAAGTTGCACATCTCGTCACTGTCTGCGTATCTGCAACAAAACAAACAGCGTGCCACATATCAAGCTCCTCGTTGCGTGACATGTGCAACAGGTGGTTCTAAGCGTCATGCCTATACCTATTACCTATGACCAGCGGAAGTGAGGAGTGGCAAGGAATTCTTGTTTTGATATATTCTTCAGAATCTTTTTCTCCCGAACCTTCACTGTCACGTGGTTTCATCCTTTGCCAAAGTCTGATCGGTTGCCATTTTGAAGAGTCAAAATCGGACCTGAAGGAGCATGAAGTCGCGTGGCATTTTGAGGATATGAAGTCACTCAATGATCATCATAAGACGCTGAGACAACATAATCTGGTCAGTGATAAAGCAGTTTGAGCTCACCATGAAAACACAACCCCCCGTCAAGATTTCGTTGGAATATTGCTAAAAGTGGCATAAGACGTCATGCACTCACTCATGTCAGCACATGTGACGATTTTACTGACTTCATGACCCCAGAACGAGTAGATCATTGACAATGGTCATTGACCACTATCATTTTGTCCGACGTATTGATATATATACACCGCCAAAAGAAACGCGAATACCATACATGTTGGTTAATACACTCTTCAAAAAATGAAACGCGCAGGTTGTATGTAGTTATCCGGTATACAAATTGGATATATGTTATTGGAAAATGTTGGTGGCTTGATATTCATCAAACGGTGCGTCAAAGCGCAGCCACTGTCGATTTGCAATGTATTAAACTGCATTGTTTTCACACTTGTTCAAAAATGTCATGGGGGCAAATAGTAAAGCAAAATGCACGTGCAAGTTATCGCATTCGTAACTCGTGGTATTGTCTATTAAAAGGCAAGCCAACAATTTGTCATTCAATTGTCAACATTTTTCAAGTTCGCCATAGGACGTATCCAAAGAGGGGAATCACAGTCTTCTGTTGCACGCCACTTCAACGTCCACCACAGCACCATTTGCCGCCTTTGGGACCGATACACACAGTTCAATTCCACTGCAGACCGTCCGAGAACCGACCGACCAAGAGCTACCACCCCTGCACAGGATCGCTACATTCGACTGTTTCAACTACGTCATCGCAATGCCACAGCTACGGAGACTGCAGGACGCATCCCTGGCTAACTGCAGTAACGCTTGCATTGGTGCCATAGCTTACAGCCTTGGAATTTGAGAAACTGGAGACGAGTGTGGTTTAGCGATGAATCACGATTTCTTCTTCACCGACGAGATGGAAGACAACGTGTTTATCGTCGTCGAAATGAGCATTTTGCCCCACATTGTGTACGTGAGTTCGACAATTTCGGTGGCGGTAGTGTCATGGTGTGGGAGCATTTTGCCCCACATTGTGTACGTGAGTTCGACAATTTCGGTGGCGGTAGTGTCATGGTGTCGGGGGCCATATCCTACACCTCGAGATCTGACTTGGTTGTGGTTCAGGAAAATTTGACAGTAAATCGCGACATGATTCAAATTCTTCAACCTCACCATCTTCCAATCATTGACCACCAGAGGGAGCTGTTTCAACAGGACAACGCTCCACCGCACACAGCTCGTGTCACAGTACCCTCATAATACCAACATCAACGGCTTGCCCTGGCCGTCGAGATCTCCAGATCTCAACCCAATCGAACTCCTCCTGGATAAACTCTATCGACGTGTACTTCAACGTCAGAACACGCCACACTCCTACAACTGACCAACGTGTTACAAGCAGAATGGCGCAGAATTCCACAGGACAGAATTCGTATACCTATCTAGTCAGTGCCGAGGAGATGCAGAGCCATGATTGCTGCCCGGGGCGGTCTCACAAGATACTGAGTTCAGCGCAACCTTGTGGCCTTATATGACATGACAATGAACAGTTTTCAATGCCTTTGTACAACGACAACATGTGACTATTGAGATCCAAAATTTCATACTTGTTTCTATGATATTAAATTAAATATATTGACTTTATTAGGTACAATAAATTTACTAAAAATGTTTATATGTTTATATTATTCGCGTTTCTTTTGGCGGTGAGTATACGTTTCACAGAACTTACCCTGCATATGTGGACCGGTTTCTATCCGTTGAGTCGAAGAGACACCTTGCCACCTGCCGACAGATAATGAATGTGTCATGGGTGTATCACCACTGTCCTACAAGTATATAGGTCACGAGTGATGGAAGCATCATCACGTGCTGACAAGAAGGAAATGGTGAAATAAAACATTTACCAACTTATCCCCAGGCTTTATGACGATGTTTCTTTGCACGGGGTAGAAAACCTAAAAATAGATGTAAAAACAATGATGAAAAGTGACAACACAATATATTAATGATGAACAGGTTATGTTTCGCTCACTCAACACATATGCGACATAGATGCACAAATCACTTTCAGTCAAACGCAGTGTTGAACATATCACACATTCAGTTAAACGCAGTGTTGAAATATTACATTCAGTCAAACGCAGTGTTGAACGCATTACATTCCGTCAAACGCAATGTTGAAATATTACATTCAGTCAAACGCAGTGTTGAACGCATTACATTCCGTCAAACGCAGTGTTGAACATATCACACATTCAGTTAAACGCAGTGTTGAACATATCACACATTCAGTCAAACGCAGTGTTGAAATATTACATTCAGTCAAACGCAGTGTTGAAATATTACATTCAGTCAAACACAGTGTTGAAATATTACATTCAGTCAAACACAGTGTTGAAATATTACATTCAGTCAAACGCAGTGTTGAAATATTACATTCCGTAAAACGCAGTGTTGAAATATTACATTCAGTCAAACGCAATGTTGAAATATTACATTCAGTCAAACACAGTGTTGAACACATTACATTCAGTCAACCGCAGTGTTGAAATATTACATTCCGTCAAACGCAGTGTTGAACCTATTACACTCAATCAAACGCAGTGTCGAACATATTACATTCAGTCAAACAAATTTTATACGTGACAGCCCTAACGCTGAAACCCACTTATCATATGCAGATTAAGTATAGGTGAAGTGTAGGTTCTCGTAGCATACGATCATAACATGTATTCATTCCTCCATACCTGAGGCCACATTGGATTTCCCTTGCCGATTTCATACCAGGATCCGTTGTACAAATAACTTGTTATTGCCCTTCCTGTAACACAGAAACACACGCTACCATGATGACGTCACACATAGGAAAACACGGCATATTGTGTTTTTGGACCGTTCATGTAACACACAAATACACGTTTCCATGACATCATGACAGATGGGAATACTTTTTCAGGGGTGAAATGAAACTTCGGTCAGAGGAAAACATTGCAGCGACCCCAACATTAAATGTCAGTGACGTAACAACAGAGTGAAGCTTCGGCAGAATGCAGCTGACACAATACAACTTAGTTCGAATCCAAGGAGTCTCTGCTTAAAAAGTATCTACATAGTATGCATGCTACTTCCCCGAGGCCAAGTTTCGTTGTGTTGATTGATGGATTCTGTTACTTGGAAAAGGTAGTGGGCAAGGTGTTATGTATCAACATTTGAGGCACTGGAGGTATGGATGCCAAACATGTTATAACTGATCAACAGTAACCAGAACCACCGCTGAGGACCCTTGACCAGAACCCGCCGTCCAATGGCAGCTGAAAGCGTTTGTCAGTAGCTGAGGCTACTTGAAGTAGTTCAATCAGAATGGGGGATTCTGCAGTGTCATGGGAGGACCTGCATTCTTTCTGTAGCGGAAAATCAAATACACCAAAAGAAAAACAAATTGTAGGTAGGTAATGTAATATTACACGCCCTACTTGGCTTTGTTTGTAGTTTAACGCCGCACTCAGCAATATTTCAGCTACATGACGGAAACTTGTAATAATCCAGTCTGGACCAGACAAGCCAGTGATTAATAACAACACGCAATCCACCCAGCCACCTGTCTGATCCCCCGACCAAATCACCTCTGACGACATGTATAGGTTGTCAGGGTCAATTCGTCCTCGAAATCACCACAGGGTGCTGAATTTGATGATGTGATGGAGGTGAAGGTGAAGTGAAATTGGGTTAAATGTCGCGTCCAAGATTATTGCACATATATAGCGTGTGTGTGTGTGTGTGTGTGTGTGTGTGTGTGTGTGTGTGTGTGTGTGTGTGTGTGTGTGTGTGTGTGTGAGTGTGTGTGTGTGTGTGTGTGTGTGTGTGTGTGTGTGGCTGCTTGTTCTAGTCCGGACTGATGCCGATTTATAGTTCTAGCCCACTGAGATACCATGAATACCATACTCAAACGCAGCATAAAGACTCCGAGCCGATCAGTCCTTGTTTTATCCCCTTTATGCCGAGCGCCAGACAGGGTAACAACAAATACCATATTTTAACGCCTTTTGGTATGACGCGGCCGGGCATCGAACCCCGGACCTTCCGCTCTTTTGGCAGACGCTCGACTACTAGACCACGGAGGCGGTTCTGATGTGATTGAAGATGACGCTATGACATAGAGACTTCTACACGACTCTGCAAATCAGCTGTAATACTGACCCAGGTTGTGGGCATGGGTTCTGAAGGCAAATGGGTAGATGGGCGTGTCCCCCGTGTAGGAACAGCTGATGTTCACGAGGACCTCTGGAAATAAACACACATTTTTTAGCGGCGCAGGGTATATTATAGAATTGAAGTTATGAAGAACGAGGAGAGAGAATCGGTATGAAAAGAACGGACATCACAGTTAAATAAAACACCTGATCTGACTAAATGATGTTTCTGGTAGTTTCCTTAATGTGTATATCAAAGTTGCCTTTGCCCAGCAGACAGCGTATGTGGCGGGTCAGAAGTTCTCACAACGTACTTGGTGTTTGCGGTGGTATTCGAAATCCATTGAGGTACATCACTTCCATTCCGGCTGAATATAATTCCCTGAAGAACAATTATTTACATAGCAAATAAACCACATTTAAACAATACATCTATGCTGAGTAAAGTCTCATTCAGCACATTATCAATACCTAGACTCAAACAGCGGAAACCAAATTGCAGGATTTAAAGGTAGAAAAGCAAGTATTTCCAACCTCATTGGAGTGAGTGAGTGAGTATGGTTTTACGCCGCTATAAGCAATATTCCAGCAATATCACGGCTGGAACACCAGAAATGGGCTTCACACATTGTACCAATGTCGGGAATCGAACCCGGGTCTTCGGCGTGACGAGCGAACGTTTTAACCACTAGGCCTCCCGAACTCTTCATTAGACATCTCTGCAGTTTTACGACCCCAACTATATCAAAATACATCATGAAACTCAATCAATTGGTGATGATACCAAAACAAAACATAAAGAATGTTGAAGCCTTGTTTCCGACTGCTATGGTAGTATGTTTTCGATCTAACCTTCGTTACAAATTCTTATCAAATGTCAGTACGGTTTTTTAATTTGCTTACCTTTTAGTTGAAACGGTCAGCCGTATTCCCGAATAATCCTTTTTTGTAGAATCTGTAATATAGGTTCTAGTAATATATATCGTGTACAGGGGTAATTCGTGTTTCCAACACTGTGGGACTCATGGTGTATTCTGAGCCGAATATCTGCGTCCATGCCGTTTCTTTATTAATAGTGAAATTTGTCCTTTCCAAAGTAATCCAGATGGTCTATTTTAATTTTTATATCAGCTTTTCACATACGTTTACTTTACATACACAATGGGTATAAGGAAATATAACTTAATTATATACTACATGTCTCTGCTGGTGCTTCCAACCTCAAGACCGCCTCCGTGGTCTTGTGGTAGAGCGTCCGCCCGGAGAGCGGAAGGTCCGGGGTTCGATCCCCGGCCGCGTCATACAAAAAGACGTTAAAAGATTGTACTTGTTGTTACCCTGTCTGGCGCTCGACATTAACGGGGTAAAACAAGGACTGGTAGGCTCGGAGTCAGTATACTGTGTCTGAGTGGGGTATTCATGTTAAACTGCGGCATGGCATCTCAGTGAGCTAGCACTATCAATCGGCATCAGTCCGGACTAGTACAAGCAGCCACACACACACATACACGTGCATGCACGTCGCTATATAAGTGCAATAATCTTGGACGCGACGTTAAACCAAATTTCACCTCACCTCACCTCTTCCAACCTCAGATGTGGCGAACATTACATCCGTTACAATGGAGAAAAATACATTTGTACTGGACTGTACAATAAACTATTGCTGACCTGGATTTTTCTCTACTTTGGACATATGTGACAGGAACTGACCAGTACCAGGTTTGGCGACTCCACGGACAGTTCTACGGGGAGGAAGTCTTACCGGTAAACCCATGTTTGTAGTGAATCTGCAGTATAAGCGTTGTGATCGTCGATCCTTTACCAATTCTGAATCCAACACCTAGAACAGAAGAATTTTACATTCGAATAATTCTAACTTGTAATAGACCTGTATAACACATATTAATGTAGGTAGGCAATTTACAGACCTAGGATTAAAAGAGTCTCTCCGCTCTTTTATTCTTGTAACGTTGACAATTTCAATAATATGTTCTTAAGAATTTGTATTCATTTGACTTAGTATTCACTTTAAATCCAAAGTTTCAGAGAAGAAATGTCACCTTTCGGTAAACTTGTCGATGTGGCGTGTTTGGCCCAGGCATACAGGTATTTACGTTGCCCGGACCTGCATTTGTCTCCCCTGCAGTTCCTGTGATGATTTGAGAATCCAGCAACAAGATGAACAAACACATAACGACAACGAAATGTCTACAGCGCACGACGACCATCAGAATAAGTAGCACTGTTGCCATTAACAATATCAAAAACTATGCATAACAGGTGGGCAATTCTGAAGCTGCTGTCCTGACTGTACTCCCCATGGAGCTGAGAATGGAAATCGAGTGCACACTGATCTATTTCCAGCGGAAGAATAAATCCCTTCCACCCCGCTTCGAAGTAAAAAGAAAAAAGCCGAGTCTATGAAAGTCACGTGACATAGCACAAGCTAACCTCCGCTCAATCGAACAGCTGTTTTCTATCAATTTTGAATTTGTTTTAATTCTTTTACAACAGCAGCTTAAAACATGTCGGTGAGATAATTCGTTGTTGTGGTATCACTTGGGGAACCCCATCTATCCCTCGTGATCCTTCTACAAATATTATGTTATGTGTCCATTATTATTCAAGCAGTTCCCATCCGTGAAGATCCGGGGTAGAAAAGGTCTTCAGCAACCCATGCTAGTCGTTGTTAGACTGTGTTGTTGAACTGTGTTGTGGAATTGTAGTTATGGAACTGTGTTGTTGGACAGCTTTGTAATACTGTGTTGTTGAACTGTGTTGTTGGACAGTGTTGTTAGATTGTGTTGTTGAACTGTGTTGTTGAACTGTGTTGTTAAACTGTGTTGTTGGACAGCGTTGTTATACTGTGTTGTTGAACTGTGTTGTTGAACTGTGTTGTTGAACTGTTATGGAACTGTGTTGTTGGACAGCGTTGTAATACTGTGTTGTTAGACTGTGTTGTTGAACTGTGTTGTTGGACACTGTTGTTAGACTGTGGTGTTGGACTGTGTTGTTAGACTGTGGTGTTGGACAGTGTTGTTAGACTGTGGTGTTGGAGTCTGTTGTTGAAAAGTGTTTTTGATACAGTTGCTGGACGGGCAGTGTTGAAAGGACAGTGTTGTTGAACACTGAGGCGAATTGCGATTATTAATAAGCTAGTAGATATCGCTATAGTATCTTCGAAGGAACGGTGTTGTAGGATATGAATACAACTTACAAAGCGATTATTTTGCGTTCACCTTCTATAACCGATGTATAGAGAAGATTGTCCTTGGTTCTACAACCGATGTGTGGGGATTATTGCCTTGTGGTCTACTCACCTATGAAGGTGTCTTCGGGATAGTTAGCTACATTGAAACTGGAACACATGTAAGCATCAGCCTGTAACACATGTAAGCATCGGCCTGTAACATATGTAAGCATCGGTCTGTAACACATGTAAGCATCGGCCTTTAATACATGTAAGCATCAGCTTGTAACACATGTAAGCATCGGCCTGTAACATATGTAAGCATCGGTCTGTAACACATGTAAGCATCGACCTGTAATACATGTAAGCATCGGCCTTTAATACATGTAAGCATCAGCCTGTAACACATGTAAGCATCGGCCTGTAACATATGTAAGCATCGGCCTGTAACACATGTAAGCATCGGCCTTTAATACATGTAAGCATCAGCTTGTAACACATGTAAGCATCGGCCTGTAACATATGTAAGCATCGGCCTGTAACACATGTAAGCATCGGCCTGTAACACATGTAAGCATCGGCCTGTAACATATGTAAGCATCGGTCTGTAACACATGTAAGCATCGGCCTTTAATACATGTAAGCATCAGCCTGTAACACATGTAAGCATCGGCCTGTAACATATGTAAGCATCGGTCTGTAACACATGTAAGCATCGGCCTTTAATACATGTAAGCATCAGCTTGTAACACATGTAAGCATCGGCCTGTAACATATGTAAGCATCGGCCTGTAACACATGTAAGCATCGGCCTGTAACACATGTAAGCATCGGCCTGTAACATATGTAAGCATCGGTCTGTAACACATGTAAGCATCGGCCTTTAATACATGTAAGCATCAGCCTGTAACACATGTAAGCATCGGCCTGTAACATATGTAAGCATCGGTCTGTAACACATGTAAGCATCGGCCTTTAATACATGTAAGCATCAGCCTGTAACACATGTAAGCATCGGCTTGTAACACATGTAAGCATCGGTCTGTAACACATGTAAGCATCAGCTTGTAACACATGTAAGCATCGGCCTGTAACACATGTAAGCATCGACCTGTAACACATGTCAGCATCGGTCTTTAACACATGTAAGCATCGGTCTGTAACACATGTAAATATCGACCTGTAACACATGTAAGCATCGACCTGTAACACATGTAAGCATCGACCTGTAACACATGAAAGCATCGGCCTGTAATACATGTAAGCATCGTCTGTAACACATGTAATCATCGACCTGTATGACATGTCAGCATCAGTCTGTAACATGTAAGCATCGGCCTGTTACACATGTAAGCATCGGCTTGTGACACATGTAAGCATCGGTCTGTACCACATGTAAATATCGGTCTGTAACACATGTAAGCATCGACCTGTAACACATGTAAGCATCGAACTGTAACACATGTCAGCATCGGTCTGTAACACATGTAAGCATCGGCTTGTGACACATGTAAGCATCGGTCCGTAACACATGTAAATATCGGTCTGTAACACATGTAAGCATCGACCTGTAACACATGTAAGCATCGGCCTGTAACACATGTAAGCATCGGTCTGTAACACATGTAAATATCGGTCTGTAACACATGTAAGCATCGACCTGTAACACATGTAAGCATCGACCTTTAACACATGTAAGCATCGGTCTGTAACACATGTAAATATCGGTCTGTAACACATGTAAGCATCGACCTGTAACACATGTAAGCATCGGCCAATAACACATGTAAAACTCGGTCTGTAACACATGTAAGCATCAGCTTGTAACACATGTCAGCATCGGTTTGTAACACATGTAAGCATCGACCTGTAACACATGTAAGCATCGGCCTTTAACACATGTAAGCATCGGTCTGTAACACATGTTAATATCGGTCTGTAACACATGTCAGCATCGGTCTGTAACAGATGTAAGCATCGGTCTGTAACACATGTAAGCATCGGCCTGTAACACATGTAAGCATCGACTTGTAACACATGTAAACATCGACCTGTAACACATGTAAGCATCGGTCTGTAACACAAGTAAATATCGGTCTGTAACACATGTAAGCATCGACCTGTAACACATGTAAGCATCGGCCTTTAACACATGTAAGCATCGACCTGTAACACATATAAGCATCGGCCTTTAACACATGTAAGCATCGGTCTGTAACACATGTAAGCATCGGTCTGTAACACATTTAAATATCGGTCTGTTACACATGTAAGCATCGACCTGTAACACATGTAAGCATCGGCCTTAAACACATGTCAGCACCGGTCTGTAACACATTTAAATATCGGTCTGTAACACATGTAAATATCGGTCTGTAACACATGTAAGAATCGGCCTGTAACATGTAAGCATCGGCTGTATCACATGTAAGCATCGGTCTGTAACACATGTAAATATCGGCCTGTGACACATGTAAATATCGGTCTGTAACACATGTAAGAATCGGCCTGTAACATGTAAGCATCGGCTGTATCACATGTAAATATCGGTCTGTAACACATGTAAATATCGGTCTGTAACACATGTAAGAATCGGCCTGTAACATGTAAGCATCGGCTGTATCACATGTAAATATCGGTCTGTAACACATGTAAATATCGGCCTGTGACACATGTAAGGATCGACCTGTAACACATGAAAGCATCGGCCTGTAATACATGTAAGCATCTGCCTGTAACACATGTAAGCATCAGCTTGTAACACATGTAAGTATCGGCCTGTAACACATGTAAGCATCGACCTGTAACACATGTAAGCATCAGCTTGAAACACATGTAAGCATCGGCCTGTGACACATGTAAGCATCAGCTTGTAACACATGTAAGTATCGGCCTGTGACACATGTAAGCATCGACCTGTAACACATGTAAGCATCAGCTTGAAACACATGTAAGCATCGGCCTATGACACATGTACGCATCGGCCTGTAACACATGTAAGCATCGACCTGTAACACATGTAAGCATCAGCTTGTAACACATGTAAGCATCGGCCTGTGACACATGTAAGCATCAGCTTGTAACACATGTAAGCATCGGCCTGTGACACATGTAAGCATCAGCTTGTAACACATGTAAGCATCGGGCTGTGACACATGTAAGCATCGGTCTGTGACACATGTAAGCATCGACCTGTAACACATGTAAGCATCGGCCTGTGACACATGTAAGCATCAGCTTGTAACACATGTAAGCATCGGCCTGTGACACATGTAAGCATCAGCTTGTAACACATGTAAGCATCGGCCTGTGACACATGTAAGCATCGGCCTGTGACACATGTAAGCATCATCTTGTAACACATGTAAGTATCGGCCTGTAACACATGTAAGCATCGGCCTGTGACACATGTAAGCATCAGCTTGTAACACATGTAAGCATCGGCCTGTGACACATGTAAGCATCAGCTTGAAACACATGTAAGCATCGGCCTGTGACACATGTAAGCATCGGCCTGTGACACATGTAAGCATCAGCTTGTAACACATGTAAGTATCGGCCTGTAACACATGTAAGCATCAGCTTGTAACACATGTAAGCATCGGCCTGTGACACATGTAAGCATCAGCTTGTAACACATGTAAGCATCGGCCTGTGACACATGTAAGTGTTGAGTGAGTGGTGAGTGACGAGAGATGGCTGACAGTCACCAGCACAAGTACATTACCTCCAGTTAATGTGAAGAAACGCAACGTTCAGGGATCACAACCCCTACTGAATAACCATCTGGCTCTTGAGAATTTTGGAGTATCAAGAACTAGAACTGACCCCTGTTTCATTTCATATTTAATTTCGTTACTGATTGTGATACTTTCAAGTAATGTTTTTATTTTGATCAACCCAGTGCAACCAAAATGTGTAGCATGTATATTATGTTTGTTCTGACACTGTTTCCTTGGCTGGAAGACCCAGGACCATGCTGTTGACTGCACTGAAATAAACATTCCAATCCCATCTGCCTTTGTCCTCAACTCAAACGTTTTTTACACAAGATGTAATTCTATACTTAATATACCCATTAGATTATTATTGAATTTCAATATCCAGGTCTATTTGTTCCAAACTGAACAGCTGTGGCAAGTCATAGTGAATGCATGGCAATACACCACTGAACAGCTTTGTCCAACCATTGCTTTACAACCGTCTTAGTGGTGGGAACGCTTTGTGAAGCTACCACTCACGACGTCAATTGCATTATGTAGACCAGTCGCCCGTATACAACACATACAACCCCTTTGACTGAAAGGATTCATCAGGGCGTGGCGCAGCTTGCCATGTCACACAATACCCCTGTTATAATGCTATCTTCATAAAAGAAAAACTATACACTCTTCAAAACTAGAAACGCACAGGTAGTATGTTATTTACGGAACCTGACTACAAAAAAATCCGGTATTGGTTGGATGTATCTTATTAGCAAATGTTGGTGGCCTGACTTTCGAGAAACGGTGCGTCAAAACGCAGCCATTGTCGATTTGCAATGTCTGAAAAGGCATTGTTTTCACACTTGTTCAAAAATGTCATGGAAGAAAATAGTAAAGTAAAATAGGTGGTGGTTGTGTCATGGTGTGGGGGGCCATATCCTACACCACGAGATCGGACTTGTGGTTCAAGGAGATTTTACAGCAAATCGCGACATGAATCAAATTCTTCAACCTCACCATCTTCCAATCATTGACCACCAGAGGGAGCCGTGTCAACAGGACATCGCTCCACCGTGCACAGCTCGTGTCACGGTAGACTACATTCATAATGCCAACATCAACGTCTTGCCCGGGCCGTCGAGATCTCCAGATCTCAACCCAATCGAACACCTCTGGGATGAACTCGATCGACGTGTACGTCAACGTCAGAACACGCCGCGGACACTCCTACAAATGGGCAACGCGTTACAAGCAGAAAGGCGCAGAATTCCGACGGACAGAAAAATCATACTTTATCCAGTCAGTGCCGAGGAGATGCAGAGCCGAGTTCAGCGCAACCTTGTAGCCTTATGTGACATAACAATGAACAGTTTTCAATGCCTTTGTACAACGACAACATGTGACTATCGAGCTCCAAAATTTCATATTTGTATCTATGATACTAAATTAAATATATCGACTTTATTAGGTGCAATAAATTTCCTAAAAATTTACCTGGGCGTTTCCTTTTTTGAAGAGTGTATTAGCTTAATGTCGTTTGTCACGATAATGTTTCTTTTTCTTTTAAGTAACGAGATGTTGGTTGTGTCAAACACATACAAACGACACTTCCCCAATATAGTTTCCTGCTTATAAGGTACCGTTGCATCTGATATCAAACACATTTAAGGCCATCCTAAATACCTTCCTTGTGCACAGTAAGGCGTTATAGCGAGGTGTGCACCCCTCAACACATCGTACACACTCACTGTTGTTGGAGTGGCTCCTCTCATCCGCAGATCAATAGTTCGCGTGCTCTGTCCAACTCTAACACTGACTTCGTCACCTCCGCGGATTGTTGGAATATCCCCTGGAGAAATATTCTGAAGGTGGGCCACCATCAGGAAAACCGTCATCCAGCGGTGAGCCATGATCGTCCCGCTGTTCAGGCTTCAGCTAAAAACCAACTACACGCCCCGCATCAACGGATTAGATTATCACCACTCCGAATTCAGTTCATAGTTTAAGAACAAACACTCAAACCCAGGAACTTTCACACTTTTAACAGGAGGTACCTCTGTTATTGTAGTAAACATGAGACGTCAAATAATTCGAAAAACTCTCTCGGAGTTCACACACACCTTAACATCGATTTCGCACATATGTCACTGGGTACATACGAGTTATGTCTCCTGTTATATACATCTTTGTCAAGACAGTCCCCAGCTGAGTGGCCTTTTTAACACAACTTGTTTCTTCAAGTGAACGGCGTCTTTTTATAGCTGTTAGATGATATAACACTACACTTACTGGTCTTTTTGCTCTGTTGGATGGAGCGTCTGCCTTGTCAGTTGTTCGATCCTCTGACAGCCTCCGTGGTCTAGTGGATAGAGCGTCCGTCTGGAAAGTCGAAGGTCGGTGGTTCGATCCTCTGACAGCCTCCGTGGTCTAGTGGATAGAGCGTCTGCCCGGGGAGTTAAAGGTCGGTGGTTCGATCCCCTGACGGCCTTCGTGGTCTAGTGGATAAAGCGTCTGCCCGGGGAGTTAAAGGTCGGTGGTTCGATCCCCTGGCGGCCTTCGAAGTCTAGTGGATAGAGCGTCTGCCCGGGGAGTTAAAGGTCGGTGGTTCGATCCCCTGACGGCCTTCGTGGTGTAGTGGATAGAGCGTCTGCCCGGAGAGTTAAAGGTCGGTGGTTCGATCCCCTGACGGCCTTCATGGTCTAGTGGATAGAGCGTCTGCCCGGAGAGTTAAAGGTCGGTGGTTCGATCCCCTGACGGCCTTCATGGTCTAGTGGATAGAGCGTCTGCCCGGGGAGTTAAAGGTCGATGGTTCGATCCCCCGACGGCCTTCGTGGTCTAGTGGATAGAGCGTCTGCCCGGGGAGTTAAAGATCGGTGGTTCGATCCCCTGACGGCCTTCGTGGTCTAGTGGATAGAGCGTCTGCCCGGAGAGTTAAAGGTCGTTGGTTCGATCCCCCGACGGCCTTCGTGGTCTAGTGGATAGAGCGTCTGCCCGGGGAGTTAAAGATCGGTGGTTCGATCCCCTGACGGCCTTCGTGGTCTAGTGGATAGAGCGTCTGCCCGGGGAGTTAAAGGTCGTTGGTTCGATCCCCTGACGGCCTTCGTGGTCTAGTGGATAGAGCGTCTGCCCGGAGAGTTAAAGGTCGTTGGTTCGATCCCCTGACGGCCTTCGTGGTCTAGTGGATAGAGCGTCTGCCCGGAGAGTTAAAGGTCGTTGGTTCGATCCCCTGACGGCCTTCGTGGTCTAGTGGATAGAGCGTCTGCCCGGAGAGTTAAAGGTCGTTGGTTCGATCCCCTGACGGCCTTCGTGGTCTAGTGGATAGAGCGGAATGTCGGTGGTTCATTTCCCTGGATCCCCTGTGCATGCAATCGTTATGATCTTGAACACGACGTTACACCCCATTTCCCCTCACCTCCCATCGTGTCAGTCTTTGCAGCATCATTGATGCATGCAGAGTTTATGGAGAGCGTTGCTGAAAGGCCGGATGTTTAGTACACAGGTTTTGGAAAAATTATTAACGCTTACACCTAACTTCACTTTAACACAAATTATATCCGTAGTTGTCAGTGTGTCTCGTCACCCCCTCTGTGTGGTGTCATTCCAAGCTTGTCTGTAGGGTATTATCACAGATGACCAGACCGTAAACAGGGACAGTCAGAGCAAAACTCTTTCAATGATGGGGTGACATCATGACATTGCTTGAATATTGCAACGGCGTAAAACTACGCTCGCTCACTCTGTCAGATCACTTCAGCTTCCGGAGATGTAAACAGTGGCCATACTCAGCACTGTACCTAAAAATAATTGTTTTTTGTGTGTAGAATTGTGGTAGTATCGTTCTATTTTCTTGTCCATTTAACCTACGATCGGTCATTTATCCTTCAGTGGGTGCCTTTCCTCACGCAATAGCCTTCTCTTAATATTTATGCGTGACCCTGAGGTCAAACTCCAAAACGAGGCTATCCCCGCAAGCTGTCAAAATGGCATCGGAGCATCGCTGTGCCCTCGAATGCGTTTCCGATGCGAGCTGCGAAACATCTATCAGTTTTCATCGTTGTTACGGTCGATTTATCTTTGCGGAAACGATGACTGGCAGCCATCCGACAAGTTGAAGGAAAGTTGTTCATCGTAAGTCATAATTTTCATTCATGTTTTTGCAAAAACTGATGAGCGAATATCGCCTATCAACTATTGATTTTATCGCTGCTTACATGACGTTTAAGTACGGAATACTCGTGCTTTTTTTTAAATACTCGTGCTTGTGATTTCTTTTCTCGTTACATAAATACTACGTTTTATATATGTATATATGAGAGAGAGAGAGAGAGAGAGAGAGAGAGAGAGAGAGAGAGAGAGAGAGAGAGAGAGAGAGAGAGAGAAATATCTAACCACTGGTCGATAAAGTGTTCACGGTAACAACGATCGTTCGTTCATTATCAATTTTGCTATTTTCAATATTTTGAACTACGTCGTTTTAACTTGACTTGTGTATATTTCTTTCAGGTATCGCGCGAGTGTGTTTGGGCATGGTTAATATCCTGCATTAGGAATAAACATAGTATTTATTCCCAGCACAGGATATTTACCTGCCCTAAGCAAACAAGCGTGTTAACCTCTTTATCATATAATGTCATTCTTCAATTCTGTGCTTGAAAATCACTTCCCCTCACTCACAAACAATACCTAAACATTGCGAGTTTTCCTGAAATGCGCGCATTAATATCTATTACGTCACAGGGTAAGTGATGTGTCAGTCGGACAGTGACAGTAGCCAATATAGTTCCAACTTAAATCTGTTTCTTATACAGTGGCGAAGCAACATATACGCAAAACAACAATTGTTTTTACTTGCCTTTTGCGGCAATCCATAGGTCTGTCCGCCAGAGTAACTGCCCTTTGTCAAAGGGAAGCTACTCTTACCCTAGTCTATGAGACGTCACGGCCTCTTTTCAGACGTTGTTGACAGTCGGCCTGTTCTGTCATAACATTAAGAAGTTTAGTCAGATGTACACACATCGCCAAGGTAACAATTCATACATATTTCGCCTAAATCCAACTATTTTTATTTGTGGGAAAGGTTTCAAGCCGCAGAGGTCTACAAGCACATATATGGCTACTGATCCCGCTTGGCTAGGCCTAGTTCTCTCGCAAAATTGTTTCGAAATTTATATCTTCAAAGTTGCCTCGTGTAAAACCTTGTCTGGAGTTTGACCTTGGGGTCATGCATAAATGTTAAAAGAGGTCTATGTCCCGTACAAGAAGTGACTGAATACGTGTGACACATGCGGTGCCAAATACAACCGCTACCAGGCATCATAGACTGGACATGCGTAAAAATTCGATAAATGACACCAAGGATAAACTGTCAACATGAATGGAGGGTTATCGTGTGTTTATTACATGTAGTCAGTCCTCCCCAGTACAGAAGTCATCGTCTTCACTGGACAACAGTGTGAACCCTTGGTGAGACGTCCCAAGCATATTGAAAGATTTCCGGCCCCGGAAACAGGATAATGTACCTGAAAGAAATATACAAGTTAAATATTGAAAATAGCAAAATTGATAATGAACGAACGATCGTTGTTACCGTGAACACTTTATCGACCAGTGGTTAGATATTTCATGGTAGACATCATGAATATATACTCTCTCTCTCTCTCTCTCTCTCTCTCTCTCTCTCTCTCTCTCTCTCTCTCTCTCTCTCTCTCTCTCTCTCTCTCGACAGGTTGCAGTGCAAGTATATTGTGTAAAAAAATTGCGCTTGTTCTGAATGAGTGCAATTTGTCATACAGATTAATGACATAAAACAGCTGACAGCGTAAAACAGTCCGTTACTATGGCAGTCACTTGTACAGTTAGTGGAGGTATTCGTTAACACGTTACTGTCCATTGAGCAGGCCACCAATAGCTAGTATATGTATGCAATATGTCCGTGTTCTACCTGATTCCATGAATCTGCTGACGATGAGGCCAGTGATGACACAGACAACCGGCAACGTTATCAACACAGCCACGACGACCAGGGTTACGTGATTCTCCTTCCCCTTGTCAGGAATGACAACTCTAGCTTAATAACAAAATTTTCAGATTAAGCGTACACACATGCAATGTTCTGTATATATCAAGGTTTTTTGGAATTACAGAGTAAACTTACATGAGACCATATCTAGGGCATTTAGATAATCCGCAAACATATAATATAGAGGTACCTGTTTCTTTACGAGAATCCATGCTGAGGCGCCAGACTTTGTGGGGATCGAGTTCTCCCACATACACAGCGTGGTCCGCGGAGTCCACTGTCACATCGTGGGGGTTCTGTAGCCCCTGTGTAACATGCGAAAACATGAAGTCAGCTGTCGCATCGTGGTCTCCAGAGTCAACTGTCACATCGTTGTCCTTGGAGTCAACTGTCACATCGTGGTCCTACGAGTCAACTGTCACATCGTGGTCCATGCAGTCAACTCCATCGTAAGGGTTCTGTAGCCCCTGTGTAACATGCGAAAACATGAAGTCAGCTGTCGCATCGTGGTTCACGGAATCAACTGTTACATCGTGATCTCCAGAGTCAACTGTCACATCGTGGTCCGTGGAGTCAACTGTCACATCGTGGTCCATGGAGTCAACTCCATCGTGGGGGTTCTGTAGCCCCTGTGTAACATGCAACAACATGAAGTCAGCTGTTGCATCGTGGTCCGCGGAGTCAACTGTCACATCGTGGTCCGTGGAGTCAACTGTCACATCGTGGTCCGTGGAGTCAACTGTCACATCGTGGTCCATGGAGTCAACTGTCACATCATGGTCCATGGAGTCAACTGTCACATCGTGGTCCATGGAGTCAACTGTCACATCGTGGTCCATGGAGTCAACTGTCACATCGTGGTCCATGGAGTCAACTGTCACATCATGGTCCATGGAGTCAACTGTCACATCATGGTCCATGGAGTCAACTGTCACATCATCGTCCATGGAGTCAACTGTCACATCGTGGTCCATGGAGTCAACTGTCACATCGTGGTCCGTGGAGTCAACTGTCGCATCGTGGTCATACGAGTCAACTGTCACATCGTGGTCCGTGGAGTCAACTGTCACATCATGGTCCGTGGAGTCAACTGTCACATCGTGGTCCTTGGAGTCAACTGTCACATCGTGGTCCGTGGAGTCAACTGTCACATCGTGGTCCGTGGAGTCAACTGTCACATCGTGGTCCATGGAGTCAACTGTCACATCATGGTCCATGGAGTCAACTGTCACATCGTGGTCCATGGAGTCAACTGTCACATCGTGGTCCATGGAGTCAACTGTCACATCGTGGTCCATGGAGTCAACTGTCACATCATGGTCCATGGAGTCAACTGTCACATCATGGTCCATGGAGTCAACTGTCACATCATCGTCCATGGAGTCAACTGTCACATCGTGGTCCATGGAGTCAACTGTCACATCGTGGTCCGTGGAGTCAACTGTCGCATCGTGGTCATACGAGTCAACTGTCACATCGTGGTCCGTGGAGTCAACTGTCACATCATGGTCCGTGGAGTCAACTGTCACATCGTGGTCCTTGGAGTCAACTGTCACATCCTGGTCCTTGGAGTCAACTGTCGCATCGTCGTCCTACGAGTCAACTGTCACATCGTGGTCCGTGGAGTCAACTGTCACATCGTGGTCCGCGGAGTCAACTGTCACATCCTGGTCCTGGGAGTCAACTGTCACATCCTGGTCCATGGAGTCAACTGTCACATCCTGGTCCTTGGAGTCAACTGTCACATCGTGGTCCATGGAGTCAACTGTCACATCGTGGTCCATGGAGTCAACTGTCACATCGTGGTCCGTGGAGTCAACTGTCACATCGTAGTCCGTGGAGTCAACTGTCACATCGTGGTCCATGGAGTCAACTGTCACATCGTGGTCCATGGAGTCAACTGTCACATCCTGGTCCATGGAATTGACTGTCAAATCGTTGTCCTTGGAGTCAACTGTCACATCATGGTCCTTGGAGTCAACTGTCACATCCTGGTCCATGGAGTCAACTGTCACATCGTGGTCCCTGGAGTCAACTGTCACATCGTGGTCCATGGAGTCAACTGTCACATCCTGGTCCGTGGAGTCGACTGTCACATCGTGGTCCGTGGAGTCAATTGTCACATCGTGGTCCGTTGAGTCAACTGTCACATCATGGTCCTGTGAGTCAACTGTCACATCGTGGTCCTTGGAGTCAACTGTCACATCATGGTCCTTGGAGTCAACTGTCACATCGTGGTCCATGGAGTCAACTGTCACATCGTGGTCCGTGGAGTCAACTGTCACATCCTGGTCCGTTGAGTCAACTGTCACATTCTGGTCCGTGGAGTCAACTGTCACATCCTGGTCCGTGGAGTCAATTGTCACATCGTGGTCATTGGCGTCAACTGTCACATCATCGTCCATGGAGTCAACTGTCACATTGTGGTCCCTTGGAGTCAACTGTTACATCATGGTCCGTGGAGTCAACTGTCACATCATCGTCCATGGAGTCAACTGTCACATTGTGGTCCCTTGGAGTCAACTGTTACATCATGGTCCGTGGAGTCAACTGTCACATCATGGTCCATCACATCATGGTCCATGGAGTCAACTGTCACATCGTGGTCCATGGAGTCAACTGTCACATCGTGGTCCATGGAGTCAACTTTCACATCGTGGTCCTACGAGTCAACTGTCAAATTGTGGTCGGTGGAGTCAACTGTCACATCATGGTCCTACGAGTCAACTGTCACATTGTGGTCGGTGGAGTCAACTGTCACATCGTGGTCCTCAGAGTCAACTGTCACATCGTGGTACATGGAGTTGATTCTCACATCATGGCCAAGGCGGTCAACTGTCACATCATGTTTCGTGGAGTCAACTGTCACATCCTGGTCCTTTGAGTCAACTGTCACATCGTGGTCCCCTGGAGTCAACTGTCACATCGTGGTCCATGGAGTCAACTGTCACATCGTGGTCCATGGAGTCAACTGTCACATCGTGGTCCATGGAGTCAACTGTCACATCGTGGTCCATGGAGTCAACTGTCACATCGTGGTCCCCTGGAGTCAACTGTCACATCGTGGTCCATGGAGTCAACTGTCACATCGTGGTCCATGGAGCCAACTGTCACATCGTGGTCCATGGAGTCAACTGTCACATCATGGTCCATGGAGTCAACTGTCACATCGCTGTCAATGGAGTTGACTGTCACATCGTTGTCCTTGGAGTCAACTGTCACATCATGGTCTTTGGAGTCAACTGTCACATCGTGGTCCTTGGAGTCAACTGTCACATCATGGTCCATCACATCATGGTCCATGGAGTCAACTGTCACATCATGGTCCGTGGAGTCAACTGTCACATCATGGTCCATCACATCGTGGTCCGTGGAGTCAACTGTCACATCATGGTCCATCACATCATGGTCCATGGAGTCAACTGTCACATCGTGGTCCATGGAGTCAACTGTCACACCGTGGTCCTTGGAGTCAACTGTCACATCATGGTCCATCACATCATGGTCCATGGAGTCAACTGTCACATCATGGTCCATGGAGTCAACTGTTACATCGTGATCCATGGAGTCAACTGTTACATCGTGGTCCGTGGAGTCAACTGTTACATCGTGGTCCGTGGAGTCAACTGTAACATCATCGTCCATCACATCGTGGTCCATGGAGTCAACTGTCACATCGTGGTCCATGGAGTCAACTGTCACATCGTGGTACTTGGAGTCAACTGTCACATCATGGTCCTACGAGTCAACTGACACATCGTGGTCGGTGGAGTCAACTGTCACATCGTGGTCCTCAGAGTCAACTGTCACATCGTGGTACATGGAGTTGATTCTCACATCATGGCCAAGGCGGTCAACTGTCACATCATGTTTCGTGGAGTCAACTGTCACATCCTGGTCCTTGGAGTCAACTGTCACATCGTAGTCCATGGAGTCAACTGTCACATTGTGGTCCGTGGAGTCAACTGTCACATCGTGGTCCATGGAGTCATCTGTCACACCGTGGTCCTTGGAGTTGATTCTCACATCATGGCCCATGCAGTCAACTGTCACATCATGTTTCATGGAGTCAACTGTCACATCGTGGTCCATGGAGTCAACTGTCACATCGTGGTCCATGGAGTCATCTGTCACATCCTGGTCCTCGGAGTCAACTGTCACATCATCGTCCATGAAGTCAACTGTCAGATTGTGGTCCGTGCAGTCAACTGTCACATCGTGGTCCCTTGGAGTCAACTGTCACATCGTGGTCCATGGAGTCAACTGTCACATCGTGGTCCATGGAGTCAACTGTCACATCCTGGTCCGTGGAGTCAACTGTCACATCCTGGTCCGTGGAGTCAACTGTCACATCATGGTCCATGGAGTCAACTGTCACATCGTGGTCAATGGAGTTGACTGTCACATCGTTGTCCTTGGAGTCAACTGTCACATCATGGTCTTTGGAGTCAACTGTCACATCCTGGTCCGTGGAGTCAACTGTCACATCGTGGTCATTGGCGTCAACTGTCACATCATCGTCCGTGGAGTCAACTGTCACATTGTGGTCCGTGGAGTCAACTGTCACATCGTGGTCCCTTGGAGTCAACTGTCACATCGTGGTCCCTTGGAGTCAACTGTTACATCGTGGTCCGTGGAGTCAACTGTCACATCCTGGTCCTTGGAGTCAACTGTCACATCGTGGTCCGTGGAGTCAACTGTTACATCGTGGTCCGTGGAGTCAACTGTCACATCATGGTCCATCACATCATGGTCCATGGAGTCAACTGTCACATCGTGGTCCGTGGAGTCAACTGTCACATCATGGTCCATCACATCATGGTCCATGGAGTCAACTGTCAGATCGTGGTCCATGGAGTCAACTGTCACATCGTGGTCCATGGAGTCAACTGTCACATCGTGGTCCTTGGAGTCAACTGTCACATCATGGTCCATCACATCATGGTCCATGGAGTCAACTGTCACATCATGGTCCATGGAGTCAACTGTCACATCATGGTCCATGGAGTCAACTGTCACATCGTGGTCCATGGAGTCATCTGTCACATCCTGGTCCTCGGAGTCAACTGTCACATCATCGTCCATGAAGTCAACTGTCAGATCGTGGTCCGTGGAGTCAACTGTCTCATCGTGGTCCCTTGGAGTCAACTGTCACATCGTGGTCCATGGAGTCAACTGTCACATCGTGGTCCATGGAGTCAACTGTCACATCATGGTCCATGGAGTCAACTGTCACATCGTGGTCAATGGAGTTGATTGTCACATCGTTGTCCTTGGAGTCAACTGTCACATCATGGTCTTTGGAGTCAACTGTCACATCCTGGTCCTTGGAGTCAACTGTCACATCGTGGTCATTGGCGTCAACTGTCACATCATCGTCCGTGGAGTCAACTGTCACATCCTGGTCCTTGGAGTCAACTGTCACATCATGGTCCCTTGGAGTCAACTGTCACATCGTAGTCCATGGAGTCAACTGTCACATTGTGGTCCATGGAGTCAACTGTCACATCGTGGTCCATGGAGTCATCTGTCACACCGTGGTCCTTGGAGTTGATTCTCACATCATGGCCCATGCAGTCAACTGTCACATCATGTTTCATGGAGTCAACTGTCACATCGTGGTCCATTGAGTCAACTGTCACATTGTGGTCCGTGGAGTCAACTGTCACATCGTGGTCCATGGAGTCATCTGTCACATCCTGGTCCTTGGAGTCAACTGTCACATCATCGTCCATGAAGTCAACTGTCAGATCGTGGTCTGTGGAGTCAACTGTCGCATCGTGGTCCTACGAGTCAACTGTCACATCGATGTACTTTGAGTCAACTGTCACATCGTGGTCCGTGGAGTCAACTGTCACATCGTGGTCCGTGGAGTCAACTGTCACATCGTGGTCCGTTGAGTCAACTGTCACATCGTGGTCCGTGGAGTCAACTGTCACATCCTGGTCCATGGAGTCAACTGTCACATCGTGGTCCGTGGAGTCAACTGTCACATCGTGGTCCGTGGAGTCAACTGTCACATCCTGGTCCGTGGAGTCAACTGTCACATCGTGGTATGTGGAGTCAACTGTCACATCATGGTCCGTGGAGTCAAATGTCACATCCTGGTCCGTGGAGTCGACCGTTACATCATTTGTGCTCTGTGTAACTTGAAACAAGATGGTGTCAGTGTGTCATAAAAGAATAGAGATAGTTGAGCTAGCTGTCACATGACAATTCATCTTCCCGAGGCAAGGGAGTTAATTGACTGTAAAAGTGAATTTTCCATCCTTGCAGAACTGGAATTTCTGGGCTCGATCGTAGCACCACCGGGCTATTACGAGTTATGTCCCTTCTACGTCCCTCCTATTGACCAATCAGATTTCACCTCTCATGTCACTTGCATTTACTTCAAACAAAATGGCGGAGCCCAGTCAACACGATTTGATCGATAATCAATCTGTATTATAGTTAAACGAGTCTAACTTCCCGAAATGCATTAAATTATGTGAGCACCTTCATTAAAAACATAAGAAGATTTTAAGATATCAGTTGACGCGGAGTTGGCGGTGCACATGCTTTGCAAGTCCTGCAGTCGACCTGTTTACGAACCGGATTTCGATTTCGTTACGCGATTTAGATTAACTCGATAGTCCCAACTCCATAATTCTAGCCCAGTTCGGCAAGGTTGGAAACTTGAATTTTCTTGTAAGTTATCTCTCTTGCCTCGGGACGATGATGGCAATGGTTTTGTAGGACCTCTGATGCTATCATTTACAAGTAAGACCCTGTTACCTCAGATACAGCATATCCTGTGGGATTTATCCACCCCAAATCGAAATAAGGGACTAGTTGGGATGGGGTTGGATGGGGAGACGGGACACGTGGTTCGGGGGTGAGTTTGCAGCTTACATCAGGGACATTCCACTGCTGCATCACTTCCCCCGTATCTATGGCAACTGTGACTCCATGGACTGTCGCCTTCTGGTCACCCGATGTATGCCCATTCACGACAAACAGGACGCCACCTACAACGAAATACACAATATGTGACTAAAGAACGTGAAAGAGTTTTATATCTGTCTTAATCCTTTATTCATAATGTTCTTAGATGACAACCCTGGTGGGTTGGGTTTACCCCAATTTCAATACTAATTCAACGTATTTTCTTCAGCTTAATGTCTTCCGTAAAATCCAACCATAGCTGGGCGTACTGGGATCCTAATCGTGTTTATCTTGGAGATAAAGGCAGCTGATAAACTAACTCTTTGACAACTAGGTCCTCAGAAACTACACAACTAAATCCTTAGTTTCCAAATTAAATATTTAAATTCTTAATAAAACGACTCCAATCAAGACCATCTCGTAAACATTCATGACAGTGAGCCTTTTCTCTTTGAATCTTTAAATAAAAACCTTTGCAATAATGGTTTGGGGGAAGCCCATTCTTTGACACATGTAAATCTTGGGTAACACTTGTTTAAGGTACAGTTTTTACACATTCCCACCATGAAGGGGGCAGTATTCTGTGGCCAGCACATACGGCCCCATCTCTTCACTGCTGATGATGAAGCTGAAACGCCCATCCAGATGAAAGCACTGTACCCGGCCGTGCATGCAGTCTGCCACACAGACCAGACCCCGGTCCTCGGCCACCGTGATGCTGGACACCATGTTAAACACCCCCGGCAACTCTTCGCCACCTGAAACATGACTTCATGAATGGTCATATTCCTTTAACCATAAAAAACAAACAACGTTCATGTACTGCTATGTCCGATCCATTTGTTTGTTGTTTAACGCAGCACTCAGCAATATTCCAGCTATATGACGGCGGTCTGTACATAATCGAGCCTGGACCAGACAATCCGCTGATTGACATCATGAACTTCGATCCACGCAATTGGGATACGATGACAGGCATCAACCAAGTCAGCAAGACTGACCACCCGATCCCATAAGTCGCCTCTTACGACAAGCATAGTCGTCTCTTAAGACAAGCATGGGTTGCTGAAGACCTATTCTAACCCGGATCATAACGAGTGAGGTCCGAGCCACAAAGCGACCACAGCGCTAGTACTGTCGTGAAGCGGGGCCCTGATTCCATCAACATCACTTTGCCGCAACTCTCTTCCACGACAATCTTATGACGTTAATACACTGCAGTCTGAATTGGAAATAGCGGCAAATAATTGAAAAGGAAGACTTTTAATCCGTTTTGAGTTATATCACAGCGTGGCACATTAATGTATGGGGTGTACATGTACACATGTGGCACATTAATGTATGGGGTGTACATGTACACATGGGGCACATTAATGTATGGGGTGTACATGTACACATGGGGCACATTAATGTATGGTGTGTACATGTACACATGGGGCACATTAATGTATGGGGTGTACATGTACACATGTGGCACATTAATGTATGGGGTGTACATGTACACATGTGGCACTTGGGTGAAACCGATGAGCACAGGAATGATGCTGACGAAGCGAGAAATTAACCATTTGATTCAACGATCAGCGCATATCCTTGCACGATTAAAGGACGCAACCTCTGCAAAATGCATTGACAACGTCATAATGATGACGTCTTTCAGAACGGGCCTGTACATTCTTTGCATTTTCCAGATGGCACAGGGATGTTTCTGATTGATTAAAACCTGCGTGTTCAAGGTGCCCGTGTGCCTAGAATATGTAGTGAACAAATTACTGACAGTGAATGACAGTTTTAACAGTGAATGTCAGTGGGTTGTCACATCAGCTGACAACAATAATATGGTTCATGTGATGTACCCACAAAACGAATCAAACCCGAATTGGTGCCGTCAAAAGATATGTTTTATCCATCGATCTACGCGACCGGAAGGTGACACATATACTCTCATCAATTCTTTCCTCCGTCGTCGGTGTCGGCGGGTCGGCCCAACTGCGTCAGGAACGGGGACACAAATACTCACAGCAACACTTTCCTCCGTCGTCGGTGTCGGCGGGTCGGCCCAACTGCGTCAGGAACGGGGACACATATACTCACAGCAACACTTTCCTCCGTCGTCGGTGTCGGCGGGTCGGCCCAACTGCGTCAGGGACGGGGACACATATACTCACAGCAACACTTTCCTCCGTCGTCGGTGTCGGCGGGTCGGCCCCACTGCGTCAGGAACGTGCCATTGCTGGAATACTTCACTATCCGGCCATTACAAAACCTGAAACAGAATCAGGAAACAAATGTCTTCAAACCCGGTAACAAGATGCACATTTGCCTGTGCGTACTCTCGATGGTACCTAAATGCACGGACGCCTATTTGGTCTTAGTCCGGACCCCTGTAGACTGGCACTTCCTGTTTAGTAATGCTCATAATTCGTTCACCCGAAAATGTGTCACAATGTCGCTGAGAACAGTACCGTCCTTAAAAAATCTTCCTTTGCCGAACTAGGCTGGAATTTCAGGGCTCGATCGTAGCACCACCAGTGACTATTGCGAGTTGTCTCCCTTCCAAGTCCATCCTATTAACCAATCGGATTCTACCTCTCATATCAATCAATCAATCTTTATTTCACGTACTGAAGAGGCCACAGGCCTATAGTACAATTTGAAGAATATACAATTTTATACAATTTATGTACATATCTCACCAAATCACCTCACGTCATTCCACATCGCATCTCAACACAGTCACATAATTTCACACATACAGTACAATACCATACCCTGTAATTTCATAATTTCTATTTTACCATATCACAACATATTCTATAACATCATATCATATTGTATCATTATTATAAAATCATACTATATAGTATTATTTCATATACCATTATCATATCATAACATACCATACATACCATCGTTCCATATATCACCCCTATATTATATCACATTTCAACATGTCATATCAAACAACACATTAGCCATTTCATAGCTTGTCCCATCATATCTTATCATATCATACCATATAATGCCATGTCATTCCATGCCAATTAATATCATATCAATCAATCAAAATGTATTCAACACTGGACGACCGCAAGCCATATAATATGTACACTAAAAAACAGTATTTACCCAATTTCTATAATACACATAACATATTGCATCATATCCCCTCATGTATCATATCACACCACAACACTTATCATATCATATCACATCATGTCATGTCACCTCTCATATCACTTGCATCATTTGCTTCAAATATAACGGCGTCGCCCAGTCCATACGATCTGATCGATAGTCATACTTTATATTGTTATAAAACGGGTCTTTCTTCGCGAAGTGCATCAAATCGTGAGAACTTAATTAAGAAAAAAGATTTGGCAAATATCTGTCGACGCCCATTTGACGGTATACATGATTTGCAAATCCTGCAATCGACCGACTTAATCACGGCAGTTTTATCGATTCGTCACGCGATTTTGACTGGACTGTGCATAGACTCCTTAGTACAGCCAAAATTTAATTCCAGCCTAGTTAGCCAAAATGCGAAACTGGACTTTTATAGACACGTAACTCCCTTCCCTCGGGGAGGTGTTCTTGATAACGAGGTTTCTCTGTCTAAGGATGATTAAATCCGTGAGAATTCAGGGAGACATAAAGTCCCCGGTACGTTTTACTTCATTAGAAAAAGCGATGGTTGCGGTTTTTACAGGAGGGCCGTTGTCCTTTTTATTAATACACAAACATGAAGGTTTACATGCATGCAAGATCCCGTGGTCAGTATGACACTGACCCGTCAGCCACGTAGAAGTCCCCGGACTCCAGGACAGCGACGTCCGAGGGCTGACAGAAGTGTCCCGTGTCATCACCCGGCACCAGCCGCTCCCCCAGGACCAGGTCGGGCACCGTGCCGCCCCGGGGGATCCTCATCACCTGGGGACAGATGACGCTTACATCACTTGCAACAACTTCAGATGTTGAACCCAACTTATATAACGTGCAGTACAGACTGGCACAACCCACCCTCAGCAGCAAGCATAGGAACATACACAGTTTTGCACATCTAGCTCATAGGTTAGTTCTAGTTCCAGGTCTGTCGTAATTTGACTGATTTCAGGAAAAAGTATGTTTTGTATTTGATAAGGCAGTCAATATAAAACATATGTTAACATTAAAGCTGTTAAATGTTTTAAATAACCGAGATTATAAAGCCAAGTGGACGTTATCAAGAGCTTCGATATGCACAATATATTGTTATACATCGATACAAACGTTGATGTTGTTACATACATATATGCAATCGTCACAATGTGTAAACAATCTCCTTCACTCATAACATAAGCTGAAAACTTACGGTGATAGTGCCTATTGACAACGAAAAAACTGAATTAATTAAACTGTCCATCTCGTCGTACTTCGACAGTAAGTTACTCGTAATCCAATGTGAATGATAACATGACCAGAACAGCAATAACAGCGTAATGTGATGTACCTGGTGCAGTCCTGCGTCGGTGACCCATAGGTTTCCCCGTGAGTCCACCTCGATGCCGTGAGGCAGGTAGAACCTGAAGCATAAACAGCGTGAGTTCTGAGTAAACCATAGTGTCATCACTGTGGAAGAAAGGACAAATCTTTAATGCTTTGTTGAATGACTAATAAATTACATGTTTGCTCCATGTTTGGAAAAAAAGAAGATAGATATTGTCCCCTGCTTAAGTGAATGTTTGCTCTGTACCAGTGTATGTTGTAGTAGTAATAATAATGATAATAATAATAACAATAATAATAATGATAATAATAATAAAGCAGGGGAGCACTGATGATGACACTTTCAAAAGTCTTATATACCCCGGACATGAGTGCCTGTAGTGGACCGGACACCGTAAGTACTCACTGGTTCCTGCCAAACTTTCTGATCAGTTTTCCCTGCCTGTTCAGAACCAGAATGACATCCTCTTGGATAGGCGTGGGTGCCAGCATCTTGTTGTCTCTGTCAAAGGTTCTGCAATGATATTTGGGGAAGCTATACCATGACAAAGGGAGGCGGCACCAGCACTCTCTACAATAAATACCCAACGTCGGAACTCATCAGCCCGCGTCATCAAAACCTGTACTGTTGAGCAATGGCCCAAAATCATAAGCAAGCTTTATAGAAGATACTTTCTAAAATGATGGAAAACACGGCTAGAAGTCCGATTTTAAAATAGTTTGTTTGTTGTTAAACGCTGCACTCAGTAATATTTTAGCTATATGAACGCGATTTGTAAATAATCGAGTATGGACCAGTCAAGCCAGTAAGTGATATCATGAGCATCTACGCAACTGGAATACGATGATATGCATCAACCAAGTCAGCGAGTCTGATCACCCGATCCTGTTAGTTGCCCCTTACCACACGCTTCTAACCCGGATATTCTCGGGGAGATTTTTAAATATGTTCACTTGTATACCAACCTGGCATGTGTCATGACCTAAAGAACGACTCACCCTGCCGTCCACGTTCTTGATCCCCTGTGGAAGATGTACACGTTGCCGTCCCTATCTGTGGCCACGCCCACTACTTGCCCCAAGGCCAGATGGTCAGATGGCCAGGAGGCATCCATCACCAAAGGATGAGGGGGAACAACTGGCGTGACTGGAAAGAAGCCAACACGTGACACTACAAGTTCATATTTGGAGAATAGGTCGTCAGTACGCCGTGGAGACAAGCGGACTTGCTTGACAACGGTAAAAGGATCTGTACAGAAACGTCACCTTTACAGTACCTTTTGAGTAATATGTGAAGTCTCGAACGAAGTCAGATCATTTGCCTATGGTTAGAATCTTGAGAAATATTGTATCACCGAGTCTAATGGCCCCCAACAAGTCAAATGTGTCTGTATACAACAGTTACTTGTTGTTTAGACGTGGAACAGAGAGGCCGTTTATATTATGCTCTTATGCTATTATGCTCTGATGTATCTGTTGAAATGTTAAAGTTGTTACTTAACAACGACGAAATGCACTATAAGTTCAGTTCATTACGTTGACCTCATGGTTTGGCACAGATTGTGCAAAGCTTAAATCAGAGAAGTAGAGACTGCTTAGATAACATTTTCAGAGAAGTGTGATTCAAATCTACGAAATTGCTTGGATGTAAAATATGATTTTATACGATGTTGTCAGGTATAGCGTGAGCGTTACCTTTTCGAAGTTTTCATTTGTATGTTTTTTTGTTCATTGACGCCGCAATCAGGAATGTTCCAGCTATATAATGACATATGGATCCAGCTACAACGGCCGAATGATCCAGCTATATAACGGCTTGTTGACTGTGGACGAATCTGGGCTGACAAACCATTGGTTGAAACATGGACGACACGTCACGCTGATTGGGTACGATGGCACACATGCAACATAGTTTGCGAATCCCACCACCAGATACAATGCAGTCGCTTCTTTAAAAAGCAAGGGGCTCATTATTTCAATGTGGTTCAGACAACTACCCGTCTTTACTGTGCTCTTCTCTGATGCAGATTTTGTAGATTGCTGCTGATGGTTCTGCTCCTCACGTGTCCGACCATCCAGTGTGGGTGCTGGGGACAGAGGGACGTCCAGTGCGGGTGCTTGGGGCAGGGGGACGTCAAGTCCAGGTGCTGGGGACAGAGGGACGTCCAGTGCAGGTGCTTGGGACAGGGTGACGTCAAGTCCAGGTGCTGGGGACAGAGGAACGTCCAGTCCAGGTGCTTGGGACAGAGGGACCTCCGAGACGGCAGGAAGGTCCTGCACACGTCCAGGGTGTTGGTTGGCTCTGCAGTGCCCCTGCGACATCTCCACGCTGGAGGGGGTGTAGTACATCAAATAGAACTGGCACATCTCGTCAGAGTCTTTAGGTCTTCGACACGAACAGAAAGGCGATCACAATAGAAGATGGCATCATGGACGTTTTTAGAATACAACTTTGTGGTGTAGGTAATGCCATTTAGTACCTTGTCGGACATTACCGCCAGGGCCCGTTCCACAAAGCGATCTTAGCGCTAAGGTAGTCGTAAATCCCATACTTTAACATAGGCTTACGATCATCGGAGCGCTGAGATCGCTTTGTGGGACGGGGCCCAGGTCACAGCGAATGTGTGACCAGTACCAAAGCAAACGAAGGATGATCGAACCATTGTCTCCCATTAATTGAGCTATGGTAATACCATCAAGGTGCTCTTCTGAAGACTCGTCTATTGATCACGACAAACATCAGGTGTCAGTAGGTGAGTGATTGTGAGTGATTGTAATAATCGAGTGTGCGCCAAATCACCCAGTGGTTGACATCAAGAGCCTCATTGGACGTCACTAGGGTACGATGCCACAACAACCGGGTCACACATTGAAACTATCCGTCCCACATTTTCACGGACATTTAGAACAAGCATCGGGCACTGTGACCCATGGCGCCCTGGAATCCCGAACAGAAGAATTTAGTACAAGTGTTCAGAAATAGTTATTGTGCCAAGCCTGAGATATGAGCAAGTAATTCAATTATGAAGAAACACATACCCTTTGTTGGTGACCGAGTCGCGACCTCTTGAGTCGTAGGAACATCGGGCAACCTATAGGGTACATAGAGCAGGTGACCAACAACATAAGCAGATGACCAACAACACAATCAGGTGACCAACAACACAAGCAGGTGACCAACAACACAAGCAGGTGACCAACAACACAAGCAGGTGACCAACAACCAAGCAGGTGACCAACAACACAAGCAAGTGACCAACAACACAAGCAAGTGACCAACAACACAAGCAGATGACCAACAACACAAGCAGGTGACCAACAACACAAGCAGATGACCAACAACACAAGCAGGTGACCAACAACACAAGCAGGTGACCAACAATACAATCAGGTGACCAACAACACAAGCAGGTGACCAACAACACAAGCAGAAGACCAACAACACAAGCAGATGACCAACAACACAAGCAGGTGACCAACAACACAAGCAGATGAACCAACAACACAAACAGGTGACCAACAACACAAGCAGGTGACCAACAACACAAGCAGGTGACCAACAACACAAGCAGATGACCAACAACACAAGAAGATGACCAACAACACAAGCAGGTGACCAACAACCAAGCAGGTGACCAACAACACAAGCAGATGACCAACAACACAAACAGGTGACCAACAACGCAAGCAGGTGACCAACAACACAAGCAGGTGACCAACAACACAAGCAGGTGACCAACAACACAAGAAGATGACCAACAACACAAGCAGGTGACCAACAACCAAGCAGGTGACCAACAACACAAGCAGGTGACCAACAACACAAGAAGATGACCAACAACACAAGCAGGTGACCAACAACCAAGCAGGTGACCAACAACCAAGCAGGTGACCAACAACACAAGCAGGTGACCAACAACACAAGCAGGTGACCAACAACACAAGCAGGTGACCAACAACACAAGCAGGTGACCAACAACACAAGCAGGTGACCAACAACACAAGAAGATGACCAACAACACAAGCAGATGACCAACAACACAAGCAGATGACCAACAACACAAACAGGTGACCAACAACACAAGCAGGTGACCAACAACACAAGCAGGTGACCAACAACACAAGCAGGTGACCAACAACCAAGCAGATGACCAACAACACAAGCAGATGACCAACAACGCAAGCAGATGACCAACAACACAAACAGGTGACCAACAACACAAGCAGGTGACCAACAACACAAGCAGGTGACCAACAACACAAGAGACTGTCAATCGAATCTTTGTTTGATGCGATAGAAGCAATACAGATTACAGGAAACTGGCTCGTTGCAGTAATTAAAAATATACAATATTGAGACAAGTAGCTTACATGAAGTTGTGTGTCATTGTATTAATAAATTATATCTACCGGAACCTGTGTGTTATTATATTAATAAAGTGTGTCTTACCAGTTCGTCGCCAAACTTTACAATATAACTTCCATTGACAGGATAAAATGCCTAAAAGAAAACAACGGAAAGGTATTAAAAAGATCATAAATTCTGACTATTACAAATCAGTAAACAAGTATTGCCTGAATACCAAAGAACACTGAACATATCCAACAATCCACGAGGAAGGTGTCTCCATGACCGTGGGATGTCCTACCTGGGGCCACTGTTGGTTGCCTCTGCCGACCGCATGCCAGGTGTTGTTGAACATGTACCCAGCGATAACCTTCCCTGGAAAAGAGATGTATAGAAGGTTAATCACTTGATTAGGAAACTACATGTGCTGACAGAGCTAACAGCAGTGTCATTGGCTGGCCATACGCGGTCAGATTCCACACGAATAGCAGAGCACGGTTGTCAGTGACGACATCGGGTGTCAGTGAGAATCGTGTAAAACGTACAACTACAACCACTAGTACTGCCGTTGATATTACTAGATGTATTCCCCAGGGAGTTGAGAATGATAACTGGAATGAAAACGGATCAACTGGTCGGGGGGGGGGGGGGGGGGGGGGGTCACCTTTATTATTTAGTGTACAAGTTCAGTCATGTCTATTACAACCGCTGATACATCCACTTATTATGTCAAAGTAGACAAAGTAACTTGTGTAGGACACAACTGACTACAAGCAATGCGTGGTATTAAATAACCGGTCAACCTACCTAGACCGTGAGAGTGAGTTCTGTAGGCGAAGGGGTAGATCGGTTGTGGTTCCTGGTAGGTGCAACTCACGTCGACGTGGGCGTCTGTGGAGGAGAGGTATCCTGTCACTTTGAAATGTAGAACCAGAGTTTTCTTTTCACCACTGAGGTACACGTGTACTTATATGATATTCCATTGAGCGAAGAACGGGACATCCGCGCTGGCCGTAACAGCCGACTAGGTGTAATCGGGTGGTTACAAGGTGTACCCCGTGGGGTACGGGGTCGTGTGACCAACTGGATCGGTGGTCAGGCTCAGTGGTCAGGCTCAGTGGCCAGGCTCAGTGGTCAGGCTCAGTGGTCAGGCTCAGTGGCCAGGCTCAGTGGTCAGGCTCAGTGGTAAGGCTCAGTGGTCAGGCTGTGATTTCGTTAATGGAGTGTCATCGTGGTTCGTTGTTTACAATATCGATCACTGAATTGTCAGGTCCAGACTCCATTGTTTACAAGCAGCCGTCATATGGCTAGAATAGCCGAGTGTGGCGTTTGACAAAAAACAAACAAACGTATGCCATGTATCCCTATCGGTCTGTTGGGTTCAGCTGCATTTATATACTTGATATTTTTTCATACGCCTCAGAAGTTGTTGGATGAAGGTTAAAACATTCAAGGCATCAGAAATGCTTTCTAAAGCTTATTGGTAAACATGTGGAGGACATTTCCAAATATGATGCATCAGTGATAAAAGTTATGTCCGACGCTATTCCCTATTTTGGCTTGTACCATATGTTCCCGTGTTTCTCCTGGTGAACAATTGGCTTGCCTTTGCATGTGTTTGTGACGGTTGTCACCTGGGGGCAAGATACGTACACCTGGTATCATCACTATCATGTACGGAATCGTACAGTCGACTCTGCTTTGGGCAAATATTTCTGTTGAATAGGGAAAGTGTTCCGTCCCTTTTATTAGTGGTTATATTACTCACTGCAGCGCACAATACCATTCACTCACTCACTTTCGTTATGTACCATTATGAAGTGATGGAAATAGCTCAACCATGGCCGCCGCTAAATAAGTAGGTCTGGACAAGACAATAAGAGGTTAACACTATGAACAACGTCCTACGTCGTTGGGGGCGATGATGACCGACATTGACAATCTCACCGAGCCTGACCACCCCTAAAATAGTCATATCTCACAGAGCCTGGCCACCCATACCGAGCTTGACCACCCATACAGAGCCTGACCACCCATAACATAGTCACATCTCACAGAGCCTGGCCACCCATACCGAGCCTGACCACCCATAACATTGCCACATCTCACAGAGCCTGACCACCCCTAACATAGCCACATCTCACCGAGCCTGGCCACCCATAACATAGTCACATCTCATCGAGCCTGGCCACCCATAACATAGTCACATCTCACCGAGCCTGACCACCCATAACATTGCCACATCTCATCGAGCCTGACCACTCATAACATAGCCACATCTCACCGAGCCTGACCACCCATAACATAGTCACATCTCACCGAGCCTGACCACCCATAACATAGCCACATCTCACCGAGCCTGACCACCCATAACATAGTCACATCTCACCGAGCCTGACCACCCATAACATAGCCACATCTCACAGAGCCTGGCCACCCATACCGAGCCTGACCACCAATAACATAGCCACATCTCACCGAGCCTGGCCACTCATAACATAGCAGCCACATCTCACCGAGCCTGGCCACCCCTAACATAGCCACATCTCACAGAGCCTGACCACCCATAACATAGTCACATCTCACCGAGCCTGACCACCCATAACATAGCCACATCTCACAGAGCCTGGCCACCCATAACATAGCCACATCTCACCGAGCCTGGCCACTCATAACATAGCAGCCACATCTCACCGAGCCTGGCCACCCCTAACATAGCCACATCTCACAGAGCCTGACCAACCATAACATAGTCACATCTCACCGAGCCTGACCACCCCTAACATAGCCACATCTCACCGAGCCTGACCACCCATAACATAGCCACATCTCACCGAGCCTGACCACCCATAACAAAGCCACATCTCACCGAGCCTGGCCACTCATAACATAGCAGCCACATCTCACCGAGCCTGGCCACCCCTAACATAGCCACATCTCACCGAGCCTGACCACCCATAACATAGCCACATCTCACCGAGCCTGGCCACTCATAACATAGCAGCCACATCTCACCGAGCCTGGCCACCCCTAACATAGCCACATCTCACAGAGCCTGACCAACCATAACATAGTCACATCTCACCGAGCCTGACCACCCCTAACATAGCCACATCTCACCGAGCCTGACCACCCATAACATAGCCACATCTCACCGAGCCTGACCACCCATAACAAAGCCACATCTCACCGAGCCTGGCCACTCATAACATAGCAGCCACATCTCACCGAGCCTGGCCACCCCTAACATAGCCACATCTCACAGAGCCTGACCACCCATAACATTGCCACATCTCACCGAGCCTGACCACCCGTACCCTAGCCACATCTCACCGAGCCTGACCACCCATACCATTGCCACATCTTACCGAGCCTGACCACCCATAACATAGTCACATCTCACCGAGCCTGACCACCCATAACATAGTCACATCTCACCGAGCCTGACCACCCATAACATAGCCACATCTCACCGAGCCTGACCACCCATAACATAGCCACATCTCACAGAGCCTGACCACCCGCAACATAGTCACATCTCACCGAGCCTGGCCACTCATAACACAGCCACATCTCACCGAGCCTGACCACCCATAACATAGCCACATCTCACAGAGCCTGGCCACTCATAACATAGCCACATCTCACAGAGCCTGGCCACCAATAACATAGCCACATCTCACAGAGCCTGGCCACCCATAACATAGCCACATCTCACCGAGCCTGGCCACTCATAACATAGCCACATCTCACAGAGCCTGACCACCCATAACATAGCCACATCTCACCGAGCCTGACCACCCATAACATAGCCACATCTCACCGAGCCTGGCCACCCATACCGAGCCTGACCACCCATAACATAGCCACGTCTCACGCTAAACAATCAAGTGCCGTGACAGGGCTTTATCAGCAGTAGTTGACTGTATTTTACTATGTAAAGGAGAAACGCTGACACACAGACAGTGCGTTGCGTTTTCATATAAATAACTCCCTGTATATTTTTAGAACTTACACATCTATCACCAGGTGTTCTACATACTTACTGGGTGTATTCGGCGGTATGGCAAACCGTATGCTCTCCAATAAATATATTCCTGCTGCATATTTCTGTCTGCAACGATACATATAGGCGCACTGAAGTAACTGCATGCATCAAAAAACGTAAATCAAAAAGCTCTGGCTTACTGTCTGTGTGAAGTACTGAAAGTCGTGGTTTCGTATTGGTTTTATCATATACATCACTCAATACCACTGGAATTCAACAGATTGGAATGTAAATACGCCCCACACCAACTTAAGATACTGCATTCAATTATTTCGTTTAATGTACAAGTCTAGATACCAACAAAATGTTTTGCCCATTTGTTTGGATTTCTTCAGGTGGTCTAGAATTATTATACTTAAAAAAACATATAATAACCAGGGGAATATTGTATTGTATGGCGTCTGTGAAGGAAACGACTATTCTGAAGTTATGGACTATATGTTATTTCTAGCTATATTTATTATATACCAGTCTAAAGTAACTGAAACGTAGCTGTCATTGTAACATATTCCTACAAGCCGTGTTACCGTACGCTACAGATGACGTAAGTATATTAAGTCACCCATCAAGGCAATGTGATGAGCGGCAGTGTTATCGCACGCTACAGATGACTGAAGTATATTAAGTCACCCATTGGTTCCAAACTAAAAAAACGTTCTCGATGCCAATTAATAAAAAGTATTATTGGAAACAATATCCCAGGATCCGCCTGTCCACGTGGTATTATACCACGGTTGTAAAAACGTAGAATCATGGTGTTATAAAGATACTAAAAATGATTATATGTATAGTTGATATATGTTCTGCTCTTCGCAAGTATTATTCACCAACATACCGAGAAGGATGACACTGTCCTTACCGTTCTGGTGTTATAAAAATGCGGATTCCGGAGAAGTCTTTCGGTGCAGATTCTGAAATCAGAATTACATTAACATTACAGAAGAGGAAATATGCTGTGACGTGCTGCCCATTCCCAGTGAAGACTCTGCAAGGAAGACAGGACTATCTGTGCATGGGAGCTGGCACAGAAAGGTAGGTCTTGTATGACTTGAGAGGACATACGAGTTCTAGGTCACGTCGGCAATATTCCCAGCCAAGGTGTGACCTGGAGTGCTTGACACAAACATAAGACTGTCAACTGACAGGAGCCTAGTCCTCCAGCACATTGTCAAGGTGCGTGTGTCCGCATTGAAAAACAGAATAAACTAAATACAAAACCGTCAGAAAAATAACACATGGTATGACAGTAACACTGGTTTATGGGGAGATGTACACTAAGAGGGGTTCTTGCCCAGGAGTGTACCTCAGAGGTGTGACAATACCTACCCTATACATCAGAGGTGTGACAATACCTACCCTATACATCAGAGGTGTGATAATACCTACCCTATACATCAGAGGTGTGATAATACCTACCCTATACATCAGAGGTGTGATAATACCTATCCTATACATCAGAGGTATGATAATACCTATCCTATACATCAGAGGTGTGATAATACCTACCCTATACATCAGAGGTGTGACAATACCTACCCTATACATCAGAGATGTGACAATACATACCCTATACATCAGAGGTGTGACAATACATATTCAATACATCAGAGGTGGTGCAATACCTACCCTATACATCAGAGGTGTGACAATACCTACCCTATACATCTGAGGTGTGATAATACCTACCCTATACATCAGAGGTGTGACAATACCTACCCTATACATCAGAGGTGTGGTAATACCTACCCTATACATCAGAGGTGTGGTAATACCTACCCTATACATCAGAGGTGTGACAATACCTACCCTATACATCAGAGGTGTGACAATACCTACCCTATACATCAGAGGTGTGGACCCTATACATCAGAGGTGTGATAATACCTACCCTATACATCAGAGGTGTGACAATAACTACCCTATACATCAGAGGTGTGGCAATACCTACCCTATACACCAGAGGTGTGGCAATACCTACCCTATACATCAGAGTGGGGACAATACCTACCCTATACATCAGAGGTGGTGCAATACCTACCCTATACATCAGAGGTGTGACAATACCTACCCTATACATCAGAGGTGGTGCAATACCTACCATTAAATGCATGCTGGAAGTGAGTCTGTAACACAATAGTTTTGATGGCGGATCCTCCCCCGACTCTAAAGCCAACGTCTGTAAAACACACAGATATTTAAGTAGCATTTACAAGTTGGTTATGTAACTGTAACAAGATGGATTACACAGTTGAAGTGATACGTGGATGCAGGTTCGTTGCCTTATTTGGACAATAGCATATTTTATTATGCCAGTTTGAAGTGACTGGTGCTAAATTATGGCCAGGCACGTGTTCTGCAAAGAATAATTGTGCCAAAATAAACTTGAAACTTTGACACAACTTAACTATATCCACTGAGATTGTGAACTGAGTAATGTAGGCATGTGTTGTATAAACTGTAAGTAGTTAGGTACCGTCTGGTAGAGGTGTGGATGGGACACCTTGTGCCCAGGCAAACAAGAACACCTCTGACGCGCCTTGCTGACAGACACCAGGACATTTCCTGCAATAGAGGTGGGTTATATTGACATCACATCAATTTACACAACACTGAAGACGAACTCAGTCTGTATAGAAACAAACATAATCTAGTAGTATAATTTTATCCAAAAAAATGCTCAACATGAAACAGAAGCAGTCGAACCATAGGCTCAGTAGTTCACCTTTCTCGTTTGATATTCAGAGAGGTTCACGAGTGAAAAAAATTCGCGGTTATCGAGAACAAGCAAATACCCACTTTTAAAACATACTGTTCTCGTATTGCTAAAGCCCTTGACACAACATTGATAACTACACCGTCATTCAAGATAAGGATGTTCTAATTCATACGTATTTCACACACGTGTTGTTCTGTTTGTCACATATAAAACACAATAAAGATGGTTTGAGATTTAATCCCAGGCGATAAACACCCGATAATTTCTGCGAAACATGCATCAGTCCCCATAACCATAGCAACATACCACACATCAGTGTTCCTCGCTGGCTCACCGTCACAGCCATACAAGGCAATGTGATGAGCGGCAGTGTCGCCGGCAAGAACCTCAAACTTCACTGAAACACACAAAATCCATCAACACATGAGATTGTAGTGATGTAAAGGCGGGGTAACCAAGATTCGAACTCTTATGGTGGCAGTAAAGTTCCAGGACAATTGACCTATGTACTGACCTATGTACTCCGCCTCCCCGACTAGCCACTGGTCGCTGCTGTAGCTGGAGCACAGATGGGCGTCGGGCTGCAACACACAGAAGGTGAGATCACAGTGTTGGATAATAAACGTCGTAGGCGGGTGTGGAGGGACACCCCATGGGTTGATAATGTAATCATCCTTGCTCACTGTGTGGGTGCCATGCGGTGCTAGTTCATCCAGACTGCTAGGAGGGGTGGAGGGGTGTGTGTGTATGGGTGTGGTGGGGGGTGGAGGGTCATGTAGTTCTCTGTCACGAGGGTTCGGCACTGTTGGATTCTATCGGGAGGATGCAGCACTGCAGTCCTCTGTCAGGAGGATTCAGCACTGTTGGATTCTATCGGGAGGATTCAGCACTGTGCCCAATGTCAGGAGGATGCAGCACTGTAGTCCCCTTTCAGGAGGATTCAGCACTGTAGTCCCCTGTCAGGAGGATTTAGCACTGTAGTCCCCTGTCAGGAGGATTTAGCACTGTAGTCCCCTGTCAGGAGGATTCAGCACTGTAGTCCCCTGTCAGGAGGATTCAGCACTGTAGTCCCCTGTCAGGAGGATTCAGCACTGTAGTCCCCTAGCTGTCAGGAGGATTCAGCACTGTAGTCCCCTGTCAGGAGGATTCAGCACTGTAGTCCCCTGTCAGGAGGATTTAGCACTGTGCCCAATGTCAGGAGGATGCAGCACTGTAGTTCTCTATCAGAAAGATTCAGCACTGTAGTCCCCTGTCAGGAGGATTTAGCACTGTAGTCCCCTGTCAGGAGGATTCAGCACTGTGGGATTCTGTCAGGAGGATTCAGCACTGTGGGATTCTGTCAGGAGGATTCAGCACTGTGAGATTCTGTCAGGAGGATTCAGCACTGTGGGATTCTGTCGGAAGGATTCAGCACCGTGGGATTCTGTCAGGAGGATTCAGCACTGTGGGATTCTGTCAGGAGGATTCAGCACTGTGGGATTCTGTCGGGATGATTCTGCACTGTAGTCCCCTGTCAGGAGGATTCAGCACTGTTGGATTCTGTCAGGAGGATTCAGCACTGTGGGATTCTGCCAGGAGGATTCAGCACTGTGGGATTATGTCAGGAGATTTCAGCATTGTGGGATTCTGTCAGGAGGATTCAGCACTGTGTGATTATGTCAGGAGGATTCAGCACTGTGGTCCCCTGCCAGGAGGATTCGGCACTGTGGGATTCTGTCAGGAGAATTCAGCACTGTGGGATTCTGTCAGGGGGATTCAGCACTGTAGTACCCTGTCAGGAGGATTCAGCACTGTGGGATTCTGTCGGGAGGATTCAGCACTGTGGGATTCTGTCAGGAGGATTCAGCACTGTAGTCCCCTGTTAGGAGAATTCAGCACTGTAGTCCCCTGTCAGGAGGACTCGGCACTGTGGTCCTCTATCAGAAAGATTCAGCACTGTAGTCCCCTGTCAGGAGGATTCAGCACTGTAGTCCCCTGTTAGGAGAATTCAGCACTGTAGTCCCCTGTCCGGAGGACTCGGCACTGTGGTCCTCTATCAGAAAGATTCAGCACTGTAGTCCCCTGTCAGGAGGATTCAGCACTGTGGGATTCTGTCAGGAGGATTCAGCACTGTAGTCCCCTGTTAGGAGAATTCAGCACTGTAGTCCCCTGTCAGGAGGACTCGGCACTGTGGTCCTCTATCAGAAAGATTCAGCACTGTAGTCCCCTGTCAGGAGGATTCAGCACTGTAGTCCCCTGTTAGGAGAATTCAGCACTGTAGTCCCCTGTCAGGAGGATTCAGCACTGTGGGATTCTGTCGGGAAGATTCTGCACTGTGGGATTCTGTCAGGAGGATTCAGCACTGTGGTCCCCTGTCAGGAGGACTCAGCACTGTGGGATTCTGTCAGGAGGATTAGGCACTGTGGGATTCTGTTGGGAAGATTCAGCACTGTGGGATTCTGTCAGGAGGATTCAGCACTGTGGGATTATGTCAGGAGGATTCTGCATTGTACTACTTTAGGACTGGCTTGCCAACTTCACTCAGTCGTTGGGAAACCTAATCGCTAACATTAACCCACAATGATGCTGGCAAACTAAGGATCGAGGCAATGTTTGGATTTGAAGCTAGGTACAGGCACTTGTATATCAAAGTGGTGCCACCTGTGCCACCACATATGTATGATGAAACAGCTGACGCTGATGGCATCGGTAATACGTCGTGCGTAGACTTGGCGACTTCTCCATTACAGAACATGACCCGGGGGTGGTCGCTGAGAGCCGCTGATATCAGGGACAGGGGGGTGTCTCAAGTGTCAGGTTTCAGACGATGTATGTCCGCAGATCGGGGAAAACTATGGCTCTTCGTTAATTCACATTCTTGGAGCATAATATCACCCCCTATAATCGGGACATATATAGCAGTTTCCATTTGGATATTCCTCGTCCGCATATACTAACTTCAGAAACGTAAACGGAAATAAACTGAAAAATTAAATTGGTTTTGGCAGATTGTAGTAACAGAGTATATACTTGAAAAAGTGTAAGTGAAACATATTTAGTTAAATACTAAACATGATATCTAATCTGATCTTAAAAAATAAAATATCTGAAAGATCGATAATCGTTTGTCGATGGCAGTCAGTTCAACAACAATGATCTAACTATGAACTTACCGAAGATGGGTGTGCCCCCTTCATCCTGATTTCAAACATTCTGGTATCCATGGGCAGCCGTCGTCTGGGTGTGGTCGTGTCGGGAAGCGTTATGCCTGGTGCCACAATGGCCAGGAACAACACACATCTGTACAGCGCCATCACAGAGGGGGCCTAGTTAGCACAGGCCACTACGACAAGACGAGACGGAATGTGTGGGAAATACGAAGGATGTATCTACTTAGTTATGTACGCAGGCAGGCTTCACGGCTGTTGGTATTAGGTCGCTAAACGAACCTGGCAACCAGTTGCTACATACAATGGCGTCCTAAGTAACCCCATGTCTGTCGGGGGCACAGGTGGACCGCTCATATCAGGCGCAGCAATTAGCTGCGAAGAGTTGCGTCCCTTGGGCACGCCAGAAACCTATGATTATGGGTTCGAATCCCGGTTCGCCCCGATTATGTTTCTCGGTTGGTCAGCACCATACCCGTGCTCGTGGGTTTCACCGAAGTGGTAAACGTCGGAGACCTGCATCACTTCGGGCTTTCCTCCCACATTAAGCTGACACGCCGTGATATAACTGTAATACTGTTAAAAGCGGCGTTAAACCCAACTCACTCACTCACTGAACCGATCTCAATTTGCTATCTAGCATCAGTCCTAGGTAGTTTTACAACATTTCCCCCCATCGTTTAACTAGTGTTGCTTTTGGCTACATTCTATATTAATAAATGAAAAGTTTTGAAAACTACGCCAAACTTTGTTCAATTTAAACATTATATTCACAACAGATATAAAATAGATGATTTTTTATAGCTGAGTGGATATCAGTGTGATTGAACGTACTAGTCAATTAGTGGATATGAGTGTGATTGAGTGTCTATGTCAATGAGTGGATGTGAGCGTGATTGAGAGTCTATGTCAATGAGTGGATGTGAGCGTGATTGAGAGTCTATGTCAATGAGTGGATGTGAGCGTGATTGAGAGTCTATGTCAATGAGTGGATGTGAACGTGATTGAGAGTCTATGTCAATGAGTGGATGTGAGCGTGATTGAGAGTCTATGTCAATGAGTGGATGTGAGCGTGATTGAGAGTCTATGTCAATGAGTGGATGTGAGCGTGATTGAGAGTCTATGTCAATGAGTGGATGTGAGTGTGATTGAGAGTCTATGTCAATGAGTGGATGTGAGTGTGATTGAGTGTCTATGTCAATGAGTGGATGTGAGTGTGATTGAGAGTCTATGTCAATGAGTGGATGTGAGTGTGATTGAACGTACTAGTCAATGAGTGGATGTGAGCGTGATTGAGTGTCTATGCCGATGAGTGGATGTGAGTGTGACTGAGTGTCTATGTCAATGAGCGGATGTGAGTGTGATTAAACGTACTAGTCAATAAGTGGATGTCAGCGTGAATGAGCGTCTATGTCGATGAGTGGATGTGAGTGTGAATGAGCGACTATGTCGATGAGTGGATCTGAGTGTGATTGAGTGTCTATGTCAATAAGTGGCTGCGAGTGTGATTGAACATACTAGTCAATGAGTGGATGTGAGTGTGATTGAGTGTCTATGCAAATAAGTCGATGTCAGCGTGAATGAGTGTCTATGTCAATGAGTGGATATGAGTGTGATTGAACGTACCAGTCAATAAGTGGATGTGAGTGTGAATGAGCGTCTATGTCGATGAGTGGATGTGAGTGTGAATGAGTGTCTATGTCGATGAGTTGATGTGAGTGTGATTGAACGTACCAGTCAATGAGTGGATGTGAGTGTGATTGAGTGTCTATGTCGATGAGTTGATGTGAGTGTGATTGAACGTACCAGTCAATGAGTGGATGTGAGCGTGATTGAGTGTCTATGTCGATGAGTGGATGTGAGTGTGATTGAACGTACCAGTCAATGATTGGATGTGAGCGTGATTGAGTGTCTATGCCGATGAGTGGATGTGAGTGTGATTGAACGTACCAGTCAATGAGTGGATGTGAGTGTGATTGAGTGTCTATGTCAATGAGCGGATGTGAGTGTGATTAAACGTACTAGTCAATAAGTGGATGTCAGCGTGAATGAGCGTCTATGTCGATGAGTGGATGTGAGTGTGATTGAACGTACTGGTCAATAAGTTGATGTGAGCGTGATTGAGTGTCTATGTCAATGCGCGGATGTGAGTGTGATTGAACGTACTAGTCAATGAGTGGGTGTGAATGTGATTGAGTGTCAATGTCGATGAGTGCATGTGAGTGTGATTGAACATACAAGTCAATGAGTTGATGTGAGTGTGTTTGAGTGTCTATGTCAATAAGTGGATGTGAGTGTGAATGAGCGACTATGTCGATGAGTGGATGTGAGTGTGATTGAGTGTCTATGTCAATAAGTGGCTGCGAGTGTGATTGAACATACTAGTCAATGAGTGGATGTGAGTGTGATTGAGTGTCTATGCAAATAAGTCGATGTCAGCGTGAATGAGTGTCTATGTCAATGAGTGGATATGAGTGTGATTGAACGTACCAGTCAATAAGTGGATGTGAGTGTGAATGAGCGACTATGTCGATGAGTGGATGTGAGTGTGAATGAGTGTCTATGTCGATGAGTTGATGTGAGTGTGATTGAACGTACCAGTCAATGAGTGGATGTGAGTGTGATTGAGTGTCAATGTCGATGAGTGCATGTGAGTGTGATTGAACGTACTAGTCAGTGAGTGCATGTGAGTGTGATTGAACGTACCAGTCAATAAGTGGATGTGAGTGTGAATGAGCGACTATGTCGATGAGTGGATGTGAGTGTGAATGAGTGTCTATGTCGATGAGTTGATGTGAGTGTGATTGAACGTACCAGTCAATGAGTGGATGTGAGTGTGATTGAGTGTCTATGTCGATGAGTGGATGTGAGTGTGATTGAACGTACCAGTCAATGAGTGGATGTGAGTGTGATTGAATGTACCAGTCAATGAGTGGATGTGTGTGTGATTGAACGTACCAGTCAATGAGTGGATGTGAGTGTGATTGAATGTACCAGTCAATGAGTGGATGTGAGTGTGATTGAATGTACCAGTCAATGAGTGGATGTGAGTGTGATTGAACGTACCAGTCAATGAGTGGATGTGAGTGTGATTGAATGTACCAGTCAATGAGTGGATGTGAGTGTGATTGAATGTACCAGTCAATGAGTGGATGTGAGTGTGATTGAATGTACCAGTCAATGAGTGGATGTGAGTGTGATTGAACGTACCAGTCAATGAGTGGATGTGAGTGTGATTGAACGTACCAGTCAGTGAGTGGATGTGAGTGTGATTGAACGTACCAGTCAATGAGTGGATGTGAGTGTGATTGAACGTACCAGTCAGTGAGTGGATGTGAGTGTGATTGAACGTACCAGTCAATGAGTGGATGTGAGTGTGATTGAATGTACCAGTCAATGAGTGGATGTGAGTGTGATTGAATGTACCAGTCAATGAGTGGATGTGAGTGTGATTGAACGTACCAGTCAATGAGTGGATGTGAGTGTGATTGAACGTACCAGTCAGTGAGTGGATGTGAGTGTGATTGAATGTACCAGTCAATGAGTGGATGTGAGTGTGAATGAACGTACCAGTCAGTGAGTGGATGTGAGTGTGATTGAATGTACCAGTCAATGAGTGGATGTGAGTGTGATTGAACGTACCAGTCAGTGAGTGGATGTGAGTGTGATTGAATGTACCAGTCAATGAGTGGATGTGAGTGTGATTGAACGTACCAGTCAGTGAGTGGATGTGAGTGTGATTGAACGTACTAGTCAATGAGTGGATGTGTGTGTGATTGAACGTACCAGTCAATGAGTGGATGTGTGTGTGATTGAACGTACTAGTCAATGAGTGGATGTGAGTGTGATTGAACGTACTAGTCAGTGAGTGCATGTGTGTGTGATTGAACGTACTAGTCAGTGAGTGCATGTGTGTGTGATTGAACGTACTAGTCAATGAGTGGATGTGAGTGTGATTGAACGTACTAGTCAGTGAGTGCATGTGTGTGTGATTGAACGTACTAGTCAATGAGTGGATGTGTGTGTGATTGAACGTACTAGTCAATGAGTGGATGTGAGTGTGATTGAACGTACTAGTCAGTGAGTGCATGTGTGTGTGATTGAATGTACCAGTCAATGAGTGGATGTGAGTGTGATTGAACGTACTAGTCAGTGAGTGCATGTGTGTGTGATTGAAAGTACCAGTCAATGAGTGGATGTGAGTGTGATTGAACGTACCAGTCAATGAGTGGATGTGAGTGTGATTGAACGTACCAGTCAATGAGTGGATGTGAGTGCGATTGAACGTACCAGTCAATGAGTGGATGTGAGTGTGATTGAACGTACCAGTCAATGAGTGGATGTGAGCGTGAATGATCATGAGTGTCTATGTCAATAAGTTGATGTGAGCAGGAATGAGTGTCTATGTCGATGAGTGGATGTGAGTGTGATTGAACGTACTAGTCAATAAGTGGATGTGAGTGTGATTGAGTGTCTATGTCAATAAGTGGATGTGAGTGAATGAGCATCTATGTCAATGAGTCAGGTACCATGACCTGAAATGAGGTCAAGTAACCTCAAGTAAAATCAAATCATCAGAAACGCACAGTGTATATTCATAAAATTAATTTATTTTGACATATATTTATACAATTTACACAAACAAAACATACAATAAAATATCTTTTCTTAATGTTGACAAACAACAGCACATTTTGATTTCTATATTTTATGATACAAACAGGTCGTAGAGGCTACTGTCCCTAACAGTGTACACAGGAGCTGCATACACAATATATCATATATATCAACAAATGAAATATCGTTAACACTAAAACATTAACTGCTCTTTTTTGGCATAAAAATATTTTTAAGAAACTGATACAATATCTATACATTTAAGATAAAGATTTCTCTAACAGAACAAGAAAAGTAACAAACTATTATATATAGTATTATACTCTTGGTGTTGGGAGTAGTTTCACCATCACAGTTGCCTCATGGAAATTGGATGTTTTAATTAATCCAAAACATGAAACAGACCAAGAACTACAAATAGCTTTAACCAGCTGTTCTGTCCCGCCACTGTAAAGAGATGAAGTAATTGTGCTATCTCTGCTTGCTTCTTAATGCTAAGAAAGTTTACTGCTCAAAAGAAATTAAGGAACACCCGATTGTTTCATGTGACTAGTTAATCTGTCCTGACCAGCTGTAGTTGTATGAAACAATCAGGGGTTCTTTACTTATTTGGAGTAGTATACACCAGGAAGACAACTACGTTCTACATAACAAGTGACTGCATTTCACCAACCTTCCATACAGCACAAACCAACCTACCCTTTCCTCAAAGAAAAATCGACCTACAACATAAATTGTCGACAATTGAAACCTGCTAAAAGAAAATTACACTTTCCTTTTATATCTGTTCAAAAAAGAATTCATATCAGCACCTGCACATATAGATGTGTATCTGTAAGTAATTAATAACAACAGCACATATATCTCCATATATATGTTGACATCTATTGTCTGCAGCCAAGCTGACTTAACATTGCTTGCCAAGGCATGAACGAAGTACTGTGTGGGTACTGGCTCTCGAGAGACTGCACACTATCACCGTGGGCAAGGCAGACACTGAGGTGGGTGAACAGGTGATTTCTCAAACAGCCATTACTTCATCAACACATGAGGAGGAACAGTCAGCATGTACATGGGCTGAAGAATGAAGTCATCAGTCAGTGTGATCAAGGGCTGGAATCTACAGTGTTCACTTGTTACTGGTGGTGGTAGTTGTGGGCATGGATTGCAGTGTGTACCACCAATATATCTGTATGTTTGCATATGTGGTAGAAAACTCGAAGTGTTTACATGGGAAATCTTTAATTGCTATCTTTCATAACATACAACCCAACAGATCTGCCAATCATCAAAAAATAAAAGCAGCCTCATTATTTTAAGTACAATAATCTTTAAGTAAAGCAAATTCTACACATAAAGCAATGGATTTTTTTTCAAATGTAAGGAAATTAAATAATCACTTTACTTACAGAAAATGGAATGTTTAAACAAAGTGTTTGCTACTGTTCAGAGACCTTGTGCATCAAAATATTTTACAAATTACATGAAAAAATAATTGTTTTCTTCATCTTACTTCACATCATAAGCTAAGGAAACATTTATTTGCCAATTTAACAGCTGACATTTCATTTTGATCTTTCAAAGACAACAAGCACTACAGAACATGAAACAGAGACGTGAATAACACGGACACACACAGAACATGTGCAAACAGGAACAATCCAAATGATACCCCGATACAACCATAATGACAAGGCTATGTTGTCAACACCAGGTGTCCATCACTAATGTACTGTCAACACCAGGTGTCCCTCACTAATGTATTGTCAACACCAGGCGTACCTCACTAATGTGTTGTCAACACCAGGTGTCCCTCACTAATGTATTGTCAACACCAGGCGTACCTCACTAATGTATTGTCAACACCAGGTGTCCCTCACTAATGTACTGTCAACACCAGGTGTCCCTCACTAATGCATTGTCAACACCAGGTGTCCCTCACTAATGTACTGTCAACACCTGGTGTCAATCACTAATGTACTGTCAACACCAGGTGTCCCTCACTAATGTATTGTCAACACCAGGCGTACCTCACTAATGTATTGTCAACACCAGGTGTCCCTCACTAATGTACTGTCAACACCAGGTGTCCCTCACTAATGCATTGTCAACACCAGGTGTCCCTCACTAATGTATTGTCAACACCAGGTGTCCCTCACTAATGTACTGTCAACACCAGGTGTCCCTCACTAATGTATTGTCAACACCAGGTGTCAATCACTAATTTGTTGTCAACACCAGGCGTACCTCACTAATGTATTGTCAACACCAGGCGTACCTCACTAATGTATTGTCAACACCAGGCGTATCTCACTAATGTATTGTCAACACCAGGTGTCCCTCACAAATGTACTCTCAATGATGATGGCCCAGTGTAACTGTCTCTCGTGTCCAAGCTGCGCTGGCATAATGCTCCACCACTCAACACTATATAGTCCTCTTGAAGTCCTCCTTGGAGCAATTGATCAGAAATTGTGTGACCGACTCACAGTTCAGCAAACAACAACACAATATTGGGCTTGAAAGAAGCAGAGTACATATGGAGTAGAAGGCATTAAAAACCTCACAGAACCTCAGCTGCAACGATGTCAGGAATACAGTCCCAAAATAATGTTTACTCTTCACCCACAGATGACAAAATGTCTAGCAACCCTTGAAGTGAGTGAAATTATTGAAGGATGGGAATTAAAAAAAATGTCAAAATAATTAACCATATCTCGCTGTGGCCTGCAACATGACAATGTGAGCATCACCTTCTGTTATTGGGGTATGATAATACACTAGGTCAGCCAGCCTACAGCTGTGAGATGTCTACACAGTGCTGCTCAAAATTGTAACTCATCACGTCTGTCACAATAAAAACTTAGTCAAGTGAATGAGTGAAGCTATTGTTATTAATACTATAGATTCTGATTTGATAGAAGCTGCCATTAAGATGATTAATTCTGACTTAGTAAATTAATTCTTCAGTGAGCTTTCATTCAAAGGCATAGTCCAGAAAGTAGAAGTTCTGGCAAGAGAAACTTTTTGTCAAAGGTTAATACTTTTTTTTGGTAATATTACGCGTTGAAAAGCAGGTGCTTAGAGGGAACAATAAACAAAGCATTACCTTAATAAATGCCCAACTGCTGAAGCTAGGTAATCAGTTTACCAGGTATCACTGTTATACCACTGGAATAATCTTACCAAGTGTAAGGTATGTGTAAATCCAAACTTCTGCAGCTATCAAGATAGCTTTTTCTAATAAATGTGTCCTGGTACCTCAAAACATGAAGAAATGTGTTGTTTAAACCTCACACACACTTACACTCATAAATAATACCAACATCAGCAGAGCTGCATCTGTCTTACGGAGCTGTTATACGCCAGATATTCCTCAACATAAACACAGTGTATCCTGTGCTCTACACACAACAGCACATATTGGTGGATACGTCTAACCTAGTGTGGCGACATCTGTACAAGTTACCTCTCAGAAACTAATGACAAAAACCTTCTGACCAATCAGAGGTGGACCGATGCAGGGATGACACGATACTTCACATCACTACAGTGTTGATATGTACAACATTTTGAAAGGGTAGCATTGTGAAACACCAAAAACTTTGATACAAAGAGAAACAGTCCAGGCCTTACAATGTGTGGATCATTAAGTGAAACTATTCAGCCACTTACATCCATCCTGTACTTCTCCTTCATTACAATGTCACTGCACATCTGTATCAAACAAACCACATGATACAGTGCCATCCATCTATGCCAGAATAATACTCTTCATTGGAAGCATTGCTATAACTCAAGAAGAATGGCTCATCTTGTGGCAATGCGTATCATGGCATGTATCATATATCGCTATCTGTGTATCGTCACATCGTAGAATTCACCACGCATCAGTACCAACACTGCATCATATTCAGTACATTGAAATCAGAATGTGATTGATCGCATGTGACAGCAACACCCAACAACTCTTAAACTAGTAAATCATCCATAATGATATGTACAAAAAGTCTATATGTGTGTTTCCCTTCGTTGCTGATTATATGTAACATGGAATGTAGAGCATGAATAGGAAAAAGCAAGGAACAAACTACATGACAGCTAAACACAATACTGCATGCAACACCACTTGCAGTCTCATATAATTGTGACCCATAAAAACAATGACTGAGCTTTCAACATCTGCATCAGTCATCAAAAAGTCATCTCGGCCTCTGTTACTTATCTCATGGTTTATTGACCTAATGATGAACTTTACAAACATGAAATTAATTTTTTTTTTTTAAAGAAAGGTTTTTCTGAATGGCATAAATGGAATGAAAAATATTTCGAATAGAGGACTGGGCAGTTTTAATACATGTATCACAAAACAATTTTCAAGTTAGTATCTGTCGACAAAAATCAAAGCCCTGTCGAGTCTGCTGTAAAATCATGGCAATTAATGTGGATTAAACTTTAAAAAATTAAAAAAAACGTAAAGCTATGAATGTGGTGGATAGGATGAGATAGTGATTTCTTTACCGGGTAATATCTTCTTCTGACCAAGCAGCCCTGGTGCAATGAATGACCACAAGGAACATGGACAAGGAAAACCTTAACCACAAGCATATATAAATACAAAATTCATGCAATTTCATGTCCCGTAAGTGGACATGATAAAACAGTAGCAATCAAAGTCTGTCATGTTAATGAATATGGCCATTGGAGTTCCAACACCACACAAGTTCATGTGATGTAACAAAATGTCTTGTTCAGCCTTCACGCTGACCACTGAAACCAAGATTGTCACATCTGTGTAAAGTCGGACTGATTCTGTTTGCAAGACTGTTCCTAAGTGTGTGTCAAAAACAAAAACAAAAAACATGTTGATTTGAACAGAATTGTTGGCCTCCACAAAACCCAGGCCTGGATATGATGGGAGTCTCGTCGTTTCAGAATGCGATGGCAAATCTCACCATTTCACAGAGACTTACGACAGGGGTCCTTGGTTTTCACTGGAACAATTTGGAGAAAACTGATATACAAATGCAAACAAGATTTTGAACAAATGTCCAGGGACAAACATGTTTCATGTGTCATTTTGCAAACAGAATGAGTCTGGCTTAACAGATGCTGACTGTGAAAGCGGTCACAGCAACTCAGCACCTCCTCGATGTAATTGGGGTTTGACATGAAAGGAGGTTGCAAATTTGGGATGAAGCCACATACTGGCTTAGAAGTAACAAAATATCCCAGCTGGACTGTGCATATACGGACTTCTCCTTGAAGTCAAAGGCTCAGTATAATCTCATCTCAATGAGGTCTTGTACCCCCTGTGATACCACTCTGCATGTAGATCCGGTAACACCTCCACTGGAGGTCGGGTCAGGTGAACCCTCAGCTAACATTGACTTCCCAAGCTGAATGAGAATGTGTGGGCCCTTGAGCCAATCGCAGCCAACTTTCTGAAACGATTCGGCTTCATTTCGTACCACGTTGATTTAGAAATTTTGATTTGTACAACTGAAAGCCCACATAGAACACAAATATTCCTTTGATGGTTGTCCATTTTAGGAGTAGATGCCGTCGAGCTCAGACACAAAGTGTATAAAATATCCACATTTACATAATTGTGCAGCCATATTTTTCTACATTCAGATTTTGTTGTTTCAGTTCATTTCCGAGATACAGACATCAGATATACTGGTCTGAATGCATCCGTCACTTGTACTGCTAGTTTCGAGGCCTTGGCTCTGATTGTTTGATTACAAAGTCAACCTGATGTGACCTCCAATGCAGGTGATCTGAGATCTTCATGCAGACAAGTTGATATTGAATCTAAGTTTATCTCCAAAATAAGCATCTCAATAATTGAAGGCATGGTTTTTAAATGTAAGGGGAGGCAATCATGAGGAGGATAATCACGCCCTCTGCTTCTTACTAGGGGCAGTGTACTCTTCCTGGTCTGAGTCATCAAGAGGGTCAAGTTCATGGTCACTCTCTTCCGTGCTCAGTCGATCAAAACCCTTGTGAGAGTTACCAAGGAAACTCTGAAGACTAAACACCTTTTGTTTCTTGCCTGAGAAACAGGATATTTTACCTGCAAACAATAATATCTTCATTAACACATTAATAAGTTTATCAATAAAATATTAAAAGAAAATCTCGGAGAAGCTTCATCATGAGTATCAGTTTTGACCAAATTATGCCTAATGTTTCTGCATTCCAGTGTGTATTCACTGCCCTATCCTTTTTCTGACTTAGGTGCTTTCAGCTTCCAAGCCGGCCTCATGACAAGCAGAGAGAGGCATGATAAAAACGCGGTAAAATATCATGAAAAAGCTGAAAGTTTCAAGTTAGCATGTTTTCAAAATGAAGTCACACCGAATACTGTGATTGGAAACAGACTGGTATATATAACCCTGCTGTTCCTTCCATTGCAATATGATGCCAAGAGAAAGACTCTCAGTTCCACAAAACTATCTTAATGTTAAGTCTTTCACAGGTATATATATAAAATAATTACAGTGTTACTACTGACTTAAAACACTATGGTATTACGAGGCGACTAACAGGATCAGGTGGTCAGGCTCGCTGACTTGGCTGATGCATGTCATCGATCCCAATTGCATGGATCGATGCTCATGATATCAATCACTGGATTGTCTGGTCCAGACTTGATTATTTACAGACCGCGGTCATAAAGCTGGAATATTGCTGAGTGCAGCGTTAAACAACAAACCAACCAACCAATCATCTAGCAAATCCTGGTCTGGTCATCGATCTACGTGTTATGTTACATTCGCTGCTTCCCCCACCTTCCTCACCTGAATGGTGTAGCCTGATCATGACAGTGACGACCAGCAGCAACACCACCGGAACAATCAACAACACACCGATGATAATGGAGGGCATGTAGTCCGACTTTTTGTCCTCGGCACTCTTCTTCTCCTGAGTTATCTCCCCTGAACTGTTGCTGGTGCCTGCACTTGGGGGTATTATCGTCCCTGTCATGTCACTAGTGTCCTTGGGTTTCCCAGCAAAACCTTTCTTATCAGGCACATCTGTAATAAAAGGTGGAATATAACGTAGCAGTAATAAACTCCCGTGACTGGTCTCGGTGTGAACAAATCATGAAACAAACCAAACAGGTCATAACATGGGACATGAAGATATTTTCTAGAACAATATTGAAGCTAACAGTCAGTAGCACCAGGCTTGCGAGAGCACACTATAATTGGGGGCAGGATCAATATAGAACTTATTGGAATCAATGTTTGTGGAGTCTTTGAAGGGCATTTAGAAGTGATACACATGAGGAAGAGAATTTATGGATGTCAACTTCTCTATTATCAGTGTTAATTACCCCCGGGATCACGTTTGCCCAATGTCCATGACCCATTACCAATCAGTGATAAATAAAGTCCTGACTTCCAGTTGTCCATAGCTATCAACTATCAGCGCTAATTTACAGTTAAGTGTTGGCTTCCATTTGTCAATTGCCTATCACCTATCAGCGCCAAGTATCTGCTGGCTTCCATTGTTAAGTTTCCACCTTTGTTATCTTATTACTTTTGTTGTTCCTACATGTACATATATATGTTGTCTGCCTCACAGCATTTATTCACCTGATGAAGGAGTAAGCATATACTCCGAAATTTTGTGTTCCACAAGTTGACATCTATAAATTCTCTTCCTAATGTTTGTGGAGGCTTGTTAAAACATGTCCATCTTTCTGGAAAAAGACTGAAGGTGCAGGTTTTGTTGGACATGTTGGATGTGGATCTAAATAATACACCTTGGTTTAGTTTTGCACAGAAACAATACCGCATGTCAGAGCTAATCACTTCCTTCATTTTGTTATTACCTTACCAAGTTTCTGGGCGTGTTATCTATTTACTGCATCTACATCATCTACTGCATCGTAGATGTACTTACCAATGACTGTGTCTGTCTTCTTGGGGGCATTCATGCTGAGGCGCCACACTTTGTGGGGATCGAGTTCTCCCACATACACAGCGTGGTCTGTGGAGTCGACTGTGACATCGTGGGGGTTCTGTAGCCCCTGTGTACATGAAGCAATTATTTCCACCTGATTACATCTTTGTGGTATAATGTAATAATGGGTTAGTGAGTGAGTTTGGTTTACATCGCTTTGAACATTATTCCTGTTATATCATGGCATGTCAGCTTGATGTGGGAAGAAAGCCTGAAGTGATGCAGGTCTTTGACGTTGACCACTTTGGAGAAACGTAATGATGGGTCTACTCTCTGACTTAAATAAAATAAGTTTCAAGTAATCATCTAATGCAACTGAACTTGTAAATTGATGTATGTAAAGTTTGTTTCATTGATTTATATTTCAAAACCTGAATGCAAGAAGCAGGATCTACATGCCCATTCAGTTGAAGCCTTACATTAGGGACGTCCCACGTCTGCAGCAAGTCCCCTGTGGCCAGGGCTATGGTGAACCCTTGGACTCTGGCCATCTTTCCATCATAGGTGGGCCCATTCACAGCAAACAGGACTCCGCCTGAAGTCCAACAATACAGTGTTAGTAGCTTCCCGGTCCAACTAATGACTTTGAACAATGTGCATTCAACACCAAATGATCCATTACAACGAATACAGCAATTACCAGTCACAAACTCAACCCACTGCCAAAACTATCATGTCTCCCATACTTTAACAGAGACTTAAATAAATTGTAGCACAAAGACTGGTTTGCAAACAGGGTCCAGATCCTGTCTCATATCTTCATAATTAAGAAACAATGCAATAAGTATTTTATTCCGAAACATTCTCACAAAGTTATCAGCAAGAAAAGACTACCGACTATCAGGGAGGGGTCTCAGGCTAGTACTCTTTGTGGTGTAAATAACATTCACTCACTCTTTCTCACCTAAGTATTCATTAGTTGATGGTTTGAACTATAGTGAGTGAGTTGGGTTTAACGCCGCTTTTAACAGTATTCCAGTTATATCGCTGCGTGTCAGCTTAATGTCTGAGGAAAGCCCCAAGTGATGCAGGTCTCAGACATTTACCACTTCGGTGAAACCCAGGAGCACAGGTATGATGCCGACAAACCTAGAAACATAATCAGGGCGAACCGTGATTCGAAAAGCCAATCATAGGTTTCTGGCATGCCCAAAGGACGCAACTCTGCACAGCGAATCACGGCGCCTTAGACGAGAGAGCCACTCGTGCCCCCGGTTTGAACAATTAACGTGACTTCACTTGCCATAGTAATACATCTGCACATCATGTACGCATACGAGCAACATCTTACTGCAAGTCAGTATTATAGAAATAACATAACATTTATTGACTGCTTATGTATCTGCATTACATTAATTCTAACTCATAAAGAAATATCAGACAGACAGACCACTGACCATGCAGAGGGCAGTACTCGATGGCAAACACGCGAGGACCCATTTGTTCATTCTTGATGATGAATCGGAAGTTTCCATCTAGATCAAAGCACTGTATGCGTCCATTCTCCCGGTCTGCCACACACACCAGCTTCTTATCCTCTGCCACGGTGACACTGTGGACGATGTTGAACACTCCTTGGGGTGCTTCAGCATCACCTGTAATGGTCAAGAGGAACATAGAGACACACTGTGGACGATGTTGAACACTCCTTATTATAACAATTGCAAGACTGCAGGCAAAACATACAATGAATGATATATGATGAGAGAAAACATGTAATTAAGTGATCATTGCCTACCATTGTCTGTGAAGTCAGCCTGCCCCCACTCATCCAACAAGGTGCCATTGGCGGAGAACTTGAGCACACGGCTGTTACAGTAGCTACAACAAAACACCTTACTCCAGTCAATCAGGAAATAATTAAGATGGGTCTTGGAAGTTGGAAAGTTATACAGAAACAAGGTGCATGAAATTAAATATTTAGGCATTTGTATGTTGCTTCATGTGCACCTGATGCACCCGACAACACACCGGACGACTCACCTGATGGTACACCTGATGACACACCTGATGGTACATATGACACACCTGATGGTACACATGGTGACACACCTGATGGTACACCTGATGACACACCTGATGGTACACATGACAAACCTGATGGTACACATGATGACACACCTGATGGTACACATGACACACCTAATGGTACACCTGGTGACACACCTGATGGTACACCTGATGGTACACATGGTGACACACCTGATGGTACACCTGATGGTACACATGACAAACCTGATGGTACACATGATGACACACCTGATGGTACACATGACACACCTAATGGTACACCTGGTGACACACCTGATGGTACACATGATGACACATCTGATGGTACACATGACACACCTGATGGTACACCTGATGACACACCTGATGGTACACATGATGACACACCTGATGATGCACCTGATGGTACACCTGATGACACACCTAATGTTGCACCTGATGGTACACATGACACACCTGATGGTACACATGACACACCTGATGACACACCTGATGATACACATGACACACCTGGTGATGCACCTGATGACACACCTGATGACACACCTGATGGTACACATGACACAACTGATGATGCACCTGATGACACACCTGATGGTACACATGATGACACACCTGAAGATGCACCTGATGGTAACCTGATGATGAAGGATGTGAAATCCATATCCCTATCATCTAGCATTGATACACCTAATAACCTGATGATGCACCTGATGATGCACCTGATGATACACCTGAAGATACACCTGATGGTACACCTGAAGATACACCTGATGACACACCTGAAGATACACCTGATGGTACACCTGATGATACACCTGAAGATACACCTGATGGTACACCTGATGATACACCTGATGGTACACCTGAAGATACACCTGATGATACACCTGACGGTACCCCTGATGGTACACCTGAAGATACACCTAAAGATACACCTGATGGTACACCTGATAACACACATGATGGTACACCTGATGATACACCTGAAGATACACCTGATGGTACCCCTGATGGTACACCTGATGACACACCTGATGATGAAGGATGTGAAGTCCATATCCATTGATTGTACCCCAGACTGTGAGGGTGACACACAGCGAGGAACAGTAAATGAAACATCAGAGTCACTCACCCATCTGCCACAAAGAAGTCCCCAGATTCAAGGACTGCGATATCTGCTGGCTTACAGAAGTGTTCGTTGTCGCTGTCTGGCTCAAATTGTTTACCGAGGACCAGATCTGGGGCTGAGGTACCTTTGGGGATTCTCATCACCTGGAACAATCACTGAAAACTGCAACACATGATAACATGTTCAGTGAAAGGGAAGAATCACTCAACTTAAATCTAACTTTCATCTTGTTGTCTTCAACAGCTCTAATCTACCTGGATTCTCACAGAGGATATGACCATGACAGGTGCAAAAAGATGACTTATTATGTGTCAAGGTGTGATTGACCAAACATAGAGTAGAACTACTTAGCCCACATGAGCCCGTAACCGTCAGCAAAATCCAAGATGGTTGTTACTGACCTAATATGAGACTTTATACCGTAACAGCCATTTTGGATTTTCCAACACCCACCTCACATATTTCAAATGAAAATACTGGTACAGAAATTTGTAATTCAACACTGTTTTGTGTTTTAATATCATTAATTTTTATGTGCAAGGACATTTATGTTTTTTTGGATCACGTTCGTATAAAGTTAAAATTATCAACAAGGTTTGGCCTCTGAGGTTTGAAGAGTAGTCTCTCTGTGATCCTTCACATCTTAGGTTGTAAGTGTTAAGTTTTGAGTTTTAAGTTTTGACCATGTTGACATGACATGTGCGACAACGATACCAAATAGTGCAAACTTTTCGGAATAATTAATTTGTTATGGTGTCTTTAGTTGCCGTATACGGTGTCATATTAGGTTAGCAGAAAAATAATAAATATTATTTTTTTCTGCAAACCTAATTTGACACCGTCTATGGCAACTAAAGACACCATAACTAACAGTATACCGTCAGTAAAAATCCAAGATGGTTGTTACTGACCTCACATATTTCTCCCATTGTATTTCTACCAATCTATTATGACCCCATATACAGCATCTAAAGACACCATAACTAATAGTACACTGATGTGATCCAACAGTGAGACAGTTCAGCTCCCACCCTCAGCCTGTGCAGCATTGGCCGCCCTCAACTGTACCTGGTGCAGGCCGATGTCAGTCAGCCAGATGTTGCCCTTGGAGTCCACCTCTATACCATGAGGCATGTAGAACCTGGAACATGCAACAGGTAGGAGCTGAATAGAAGCTAGGGCACTTCCTACAGTGCCAATATGGATAAGGAAACATACAAAAATTAAAAAATACATCTGAGACTGGTCGGTTCCATCATGTTCATTGCAGACGGCACCTGCCTGAATAGGGGTGTCCACTAGGAGGTCCCTAGGGAAGTAATTGCACGAGACCTCCGTGGATGAACACTACAATCTACTGAAAATATTCATGGGCCAGTTTATTAAAAAATTTGGGGCACAAACTGGTCTAATGTAACAACCCCTGGTTTTCCAGTAAACCAGCGACAGAAATTGATAGAATAGTCCTATAGTCCTTGTCAAAGTGCCCAGTAGTTAAGGTATCATAAGGACTAGAAGAAATTAGCCATTTTTAAGGGTTTTGCTATATGTTTTCATTATCAGGACTATATGACTAAACATGTGAATTTCTATCGCTGTAAACAATCATCAAGGAATCATCAGCACTCACTGGTTGCTGCCAAACTGCCGGACCAGCTTGCCCTTCTTGTCAAGGATAATGACCACGTTCTCAGGTATGGGATCCTTTGGGATCAGCTTGTTGTTGATGTCAAATGTGCTGCAACAAAGATTAATACTCAATGTAGGACTACTGCTACATACATAAGTGGTTTTGTGCATGTAGAGGAAATGAATTAGTTCAATAACTGGAAATTTACCAATAAATTGTACACTTACATACTTATCCTATCTCACACTATGCATTTCTTTTTCTTCGATTTGGGAATTTGTTGAGAAAAAAACAACCAAACTGTATTCTCTAATGATCAAACACATCTAAACGGTGTGGCGATAAGAAAGAGAATGAAGTGACAGACAAAGGAGTCACGTGATCAGGTTGTGTAGATCGCTATGCACAGGATGTATATCATTACCAGCGTGGCCCATTTGGTTGGGATGTGACCATGCTGATGCTGGGGTGTGTTTAGGTGATTATTTTTTAGAAGTCGAGACTTGGTTCAAGCACGTTTCCATATAGGATCGAAGAAATAAGAAATGCATAGTGTGAGACAGGATAAGTTTAAAAATTAAAAGCTTACATATCACTGGTAACAACGTAAAGTTAAATCCAAACAAAATCTAAAAGATATGGAACATACTTGCTGTCCCACTGTCTACTGCCTCTGTGGAAGATGTACACATTTCCGTCCTTGTCCGTGGCCATACCTCCGATCTGACCTAGGGTCAGTTGCTGTGCCGGCCATGAGGCGTCAAACACCAGTGGATCCGGGAGGTCGACTGGCTGGTCTGCAACAGATCCAGGAGCATGTTACCGGTTGGTGTGATGTTACACACACCCAGGGAGTCACTCTCAGTCCCCTAGATCACGATATTGTCTGTCTCAGATGACCCAGGGAGTCACTCTCAGTCCCTTAGATCATGATATTGTCTGTCTCAGATGACCCAGGGAGTCACTCTCAGTCCCCTAGATCATGATATTGTCTGTCTCAGATGACTGATTAACGGTAGTCTTCAGTAGGTTGAGAACAGAATTAAATGATCTTAAAGCAGAAATTAAGTGAACAAAAGATGACCACTTGGGATCATATATTATTTCTGAAGTGCTAGTCAACTTCACACCTTTAGCATAACATATACATGCAAGCAAGGGAGTCTCTATGGGTGGGATCACAGAAAGGGATCAATATGACTTCAGACTTGAGGCATTCAAACAATATATTTATATGAACATTCAAACAATTCAAGCAACACACAGAATAATACATAGAACTAGTGCATCAACAATACATACTAGTGTATATCAGCTTTATACCCATGACGATAATGTTTGAACAATTTGAACACAAGCCAGGTAAGCTGGCAGCTAATAGCATGACCATCGAACTGGGACATCGAACTAAAACAGTCAGGCCAAATGGGAGTTTCAGCAAAAATATTACTCCTAAGCTTGGGGGCCGACAACATTCCTTCACTCTGACACAGGTACTCATCTTGTTCGTTATTCTCTAATTAGGTCAAGAATCAGTGATGCCATGAATCATAATCCATCCTGGAATAGTACAAGATAAAAAAGCTCGTCCCATGCTGTTAGTGTCTGACACTTGTAGTACACAATTCAGGAACAGTTTCTATGCCGATCCCTGCTCCAGACACTACATGGCAAAGATACCCACACTTCAATATAAAGATACCCACACTTCAATATATCCCTGACCCGTGAAGATCTGGGGTAGAATAGGTCTTCAGCAACCCATGCTTGCTGTAAAAGGCAACTATGTTTGTCTTAAGAGGCAACTAACAGCATCAGGTGGTCAGGCTCACTGACTTGGTTGATGCATGTCATCTCATCCCAATTGTGTGGATCGATGCGCATGATGTCAATCTCTGGATTGTCTGGACCAGACTTGATTATTTACAGCCTGCTGTCATATAGCTGGAATATTGCTGAGTACAGCATTAAACAACAAACAATTATTCTCACTATGCTAGGGATATATTGATTGGTTTTGGTTGGTTTGTTGTTTTACGCCGCACTCAGCAATATTCCAGCAGGTGAAGAATAAATGACTAAGTTCGAAAGAAATATGTACTTCCCAGGTGTTAACATATCTGTCTGCACATAAGGCACATTTACCTTTTCAGGTATATTAGATATCTGACTGGTAGTTGATTCCTCCCTAAAATACACCCTAGGTGATGGTTATGTACACTACAATAATGAGCATCATAACACACAAAGGAAATAAGTGGATGAGGGTAAAGACTATGACCATAATGAAGAAAACCTAAACAACGGACTTGCCAGTCAAGGTTCTAGGGAATACTGCATCGGTCATATGGTATTCGTTAACACATTGTTCAGTCTATGTAGATATTGGGGGGTGACTCCAGAGCTTTCTCTACACTGGTTACATAAAGGGTCTGGCGGATGCATAGTAGTCTATAGGTGGCACCGTCGTCTAAGAACCTGCAGTTCACTGTGTAGAGTTGTGTCCCTTGCCAGGAACCTATGATTGTGGTTTCAAATCCCCATTTGCCCTGATTATGTTTCAAGGTTTGCAAGCACCATACCTGTGTTAGTGGGTTTCACCAAAGTGGTAAACGTTGGATACCTGAATCAATTCAGGCTTTCCGCCCATATTAAGCTGAAATGCCATGATATAACAGGAATACTGTTAGATTGGGCATTAAACCAAACTCACTATCTCTAAGGACTGGCAAAGTACTCTACCCCCGTGTTACAAGATATACTCTGTTCTCACACTGACTACTTCTTTATCATTCAGTGCTGTGCAAAGCGGGTGGCTCATCTCTACATACACATAAAACAGTAAACACATTCATCGATCAACGACAACAATGAAATAAAGCACACACAATCACTAGATGATTGAATCAAACAGTATCAGCAGCGTGCAACTCTACCAGCAACTACTACTCATATGACATATCGGAAAACAAAGCTACACAACACTGTATCTGCTAACATGCGACAACGATGTGTCTTACGATTGGCTTCACTCTGACTGCCATGATCAGCAGAGCTGCTCAGAGTTCTCCCCCCTTGTCTTGGCCTCTCAGTTGGTCTGGCGACATATCCTCTAGACTTGTACTCTGAATCGGAGTTCTTCAGGGATGGTTGTCTGGCTTGTGGAACCTCACTAAGCTGGCGGTTCATTGCTTCAAAAGCCTTGTTCCTGTTCCTGTTACGATTCCGTGGGAAACTACTCCGCGAGTAAGCATCCCGGTCCGCATCACGTGACTCCCCAAGGTCGTCATAATAATCTTGTCCGAACCTTTTCTGATTTCTCAGAGGACCTAAATTTTTCAAATATTCGGAATACAAAGAATAGTCGGGATAGTCTTCTTGCATGGAGTAGCCTTGGCCACCCAAGTATGGCATGTCATTACCTGTCTGGTCCACGGTTTGTGCCGCCTGGGTCGCCATGGCTGCATGATGATGATGCCCCTTAGCTTCCTCCTCAAGGTCCGGGTTGGGGGGCAGGGGGACGTCCGAGTCGTCAGGGATGTCGGCGATGAGCTTGGGTTGCATGTTGCCACCACACTGCCCCGAGGGCATCTTGACGCTGGAGTCGGTGTAGTACATGATGTAGAAGTTGCACATCTCGTCAGCTCCTGTAGCTCTGTTGGGGAATAACCAGATCAGTGTCAGGCATATCTTCCAAACTCTCAAAGAAAAGTTATTTGTAAGTGGCAATGAACAAATACCAATATGATAAGGAGTCTTTTTATTACATTACATTCACACAGCTTGGTTACGTCCCACACTATTTGTCCAACTATGTTGTAGCAGACCTATAGTGCAAACAATCAAATTCTTGGTATGGTTGATAGCCAGCCGATAGCCAGTTGATAGCCAGCTGATAGCCAGCTGATAGCCAGCTGATAGCCAGTTGATAGCCAGTTGATAGCCAGCCGATAGCCAGCCGATGGCTAGCTGATGGCCAGCTGGAGTACAGCTGCCCCATGTTGATGAGTACGATGACACACAATCAGCCAGGTCACAGCCAATACTCATGTCAGCTGGAGACCTATATCACAATAACAAATCTAGACCAAAGTCAATGAATGACACCTGGATGGAAACATAATTTATCTTTTAAACTTACCCAATGTTTGTGACCCTATTTCTTCCTGTTGAATCAAAGGTACATCGCGCAGCCTGTTTGAATAAAAAAGTACTCCATGAAGATGGTACTGCATGTTTGTTTGTTTGTTTTTAACACTTCACTCAGCAATATTCCAGCTACTTGACTGCGGTCTGTTAATAATCAAATTTGGACCAGACAATACAGTGACTAACATCATGACCATTGATCCACGCAACTGGGATACAATGACACGGATCAACAAAGAGAAGGACCACCCGATCCCGTTAGTCTCCTCTTACAACAAGCATGGTCGCCTTTTACGGCAAGCATGGGTTGCTGGTGACCTTTTCTACCCCTGATCTTCACGGGTTTGGTGCTGTATGTATCAATGGATGATGCAACTGACATGAAGCTGTGGGATACCCTGACACACTGTTCTGTGTCTGACTCCTACAATCAAACCCTCCCCATCACACCTAATACAAATACATCAAGAGTTTGGGTCGTGTGGTGTCAGCTCCTGGACATATCTTTCACAATGTTGCATCCTGCTGCCAACCACATTGACTTGATTGACTAAATATTTTCTGGGTAGTCCTCAGGCTCCTCAGGTTCCGAGGCCTGGGAAATAATGGGATACACCTATCACCGTGTGAAGTAAAGTTAGATCATATCTCTTCCTTCATCTACAAGTTGCATCTCACGAGGAGGGTGAAAGCATCTATGAGTAATATCTCAGCTTACCAGTCCATCACCCGGGTTCACAACGAAGGAGCCATTGACTGGGTAAAATGCCTGAAAAATGATAATCAATTATCATGATTATACTCTGCAGAAACAAAGGGGACAAGAATGAAGACTGGCTTGAGAAGATACTCCATGGCGTGTCATCACTGACTCTCCTGCTTGTTGTTTTTGTCTGCAACTACGCAGCTGAAGCTATATAGCCATGTTCTAACAAGCTGTTGACCACTAGGGCTGGGAGGATGATACCTTGGTGGGACGATGACGATAAAGTATCACGATACCTTGCTCACTTTCCAATACTTATCACAATACCTTGCTCACGATCCGATATGTATTAAAATACCTTGCTAACGATCAGATACGTATTAAAATACCTTGCTCACGATCCGATATGTATTAAAATACCTTGCTCACGATCCGATATGTATTAAAATACCTTGCTCACGATCAGATACGTATCAAAATACCTTGCTCACGATCCGAAATGTATTAAAATACCTTGCCCACGAGCCGATACATATTAAAATACCTTGCTCACGATCAGATATGTATTAAAATACCTTGCTCATGATCAGATACGTATTAAAATACCTTGCTCACGATCAGATACGTAATAAAATACCTTGCTCACAATCAGATACGTATTAAAATACCTTGCTCATGATCAGATACGTATTAACCCTTTCGCCCCGACTGCCCGATTTATCGGGCAGGATAAACCGTGTCCCAGGACCCGGCTGCCCGAAAAATCGGGCAGCATAAGCCGTGGCCCAGAACCCAGCTGCCCGATAAATCGGGCGGCGCGAGCGTGTTTACAAAATCGCTCTTTCTACTTCCTTTCTCGTGTGTAATCTCGTTCAAAATATGGAAACGAGATCTACACGTAATGACACGTCATTCTATGGAATTTCCCCGTATTTTTGGCGCGAAAATCGCGGGTATGTCACCTGTTTTCGCGACAGGTATTTTTCTCGCTTGAATCGTAAATCAAGCGTAATGGCGGCCAACTACGATTCGGATAGCGATCAGATGATTAACAACGACTCTATCGGGAATAATAATGTGTTTGAATTGAATAATTTACGCGAAGGGGAGAGGGAATTTCGCGAATATTTTCCCGATATGTATTAAAATACATTGCTCACAATCTGATATGTATTACGATACCTTACTCACAATCCAATACGTATCACAATACCTTGTTCACTATCCGATAGCAATAATGATACCTTACTCATGGTCTGATACGTATCACAATACCTTGCTCACTATCCAATCAGTATCATCAATACCTTGCTTGGACAATCATGATAAGGTATCACAATACCTTGCTCACGATCCGATATGCATCTAGATACTTGCATGTATCAGGATATCTGTGGCCCATAAGCCATCTTTTTCATAATGGCTGAATACCTGGCATTTACAGTTGGCACTGTCAAGTATGGCGGATGGACTACTAATTAGTGTAACAGTTACTAAAGCAAACTTTTTAGATAAGAATCAATATTTTGTACTTAATGTGTGACTGTGATTGATACTTGTATCAAGAAGTAAACAATATCGATCCACCGATGCATTGGTGTATCATCCCACCACACTGAACACTTGCTTGACAAAGGTAATAGCACCTATACCGAAACATCACACTGAAATAATAAAACAAGAAGTGGACACCTGTCATTCTTACCACAGAATCTGAAGGCCACGTAAAGACACAGAAGAGTATGTGGGTGAAAAGAGAAAAGTATTAAACGTCACAACATTTAAAATGAACTTCCTAAGTACCTGTACTGTCATTAAGTGGAGTAACAGCTGACTAGCACCTACCTGAGGCCACTGTGGATTGCCCTTGCCAATTTCATACCAGGTGTTGTTGAAGACATAGCCAGTTATCACCTTTCCTGAAATTTGACATAAACAGTATTTCAGCATTCTTTCTATCAGAAACAAACATCACAAAACATCAAACTGAAGAGGCAAGGTAAAGTGGGTTCTAATGGCGGATTTAAGATTATTTTACTCATGTATATAGATGTGTGTATGGTGTTTGTATGGACGTGTGTATTTGATTGCTGGTACAAGTCCAGACAAATGACAGTTTTAGAGTGCTGGCCCACTGAGATACCATTCTGCAGTTTACAATATTACACTGATTCAGGCTGTCCTATCCGTGTTACAGCTGCATGTGTCCATGTTACAGCTGCATGTGTCTGTGTTACAGCTGTATGTGCCTGTGTTACAGTTGCATATGTCCATGTTACAGCTGGATGTGTCTGTGTTACAGCTCCATGTTACAGCTGCATGTGTCCGTGTTACGGCTCCACATGTCGTGTTACAGCTGCATGTGTCCATGTTACAGCTGCATGTGTCTGTGTTACAGCTGCATATGTCCATGTTACAGCTACATCTGTCTTTGTCACAGCTGCGTGTCCGTGTGTCAGCTCCACATGTCGTGTTACAGCTACATGTGTCCATGTTACAGCTCCATGTTTCATGTCACAGCTGCATGTGTCCATGTTACAGATCCACGTCGTGTGTCTGTGTTACAGCTACATGCTTCCATGTTACAGCTACATGTGTCCGTGTTACAGCTGCATGTGTCCATGTAACAGCTACATGTGTCCATGTTACAGCTGCATGTGTCCGCGTTACAGCTGAATATGTCCTGTGTTACAGCTTCATGTGTCCATGTTACAGCTACATCTGTCTTTGTCACAGCTGCGTGTCTGTGTGTCAGCTCCACATGTCGTGTTACAGCTACATGTGTCCATGTTACAGCTCCACGTCGTGTGTCTGTGTTACAGCTACATGCGTCCATGTTACAGCTACATGTGTCCATGTTACAGCTGCATGTGTCCGTGTAACAGCTACATGTGTCCATGTTACAGCTGCATGTGTCCGTGTTACAGCTGAATATGTCCTGTGTTACAGCTACATGTGTCCATATTACAGCTACATGTGTCCGTGTTACAGCTGCATGTCCTGTGTTACAGCTGCATGTGTCCGTGTTACAGCTACATGTGTCCGTGTTACAGCTACATGTGTCCGTGTTACAGCTGCATGTGTTCTTGTTACAGCTGCATGTGTCCGTGTTACAGCTACATGTGTCCGTGTTACAGCTGCATGTGTCCGTGTTACAGCTGCATGTGTTCGTGTTACAGATACATGTGTCTGTGTTACAGCTGCATGTGACCGTGTTACAGCTGCATGTGTCCATGTTACAGCTGCATGTGCCCGTGTTACAGCTGCATGTGTCCATGTTACAGCTGTAACTAGTCCAAGGGGATGACATTCTTGTACCAGTTGTCTCCTAGCACAGCTGTTTACTACATACCTAGACTGTGAGCATGGGTCCTGTAGGCGAAGGGGTGCATAGGCTTGGGGCCTCGGTACACACAGCTGATGTCGGAGTGAGTCTCTGCAAGCAAACATGGCTTTCTTACGACTACTGAAAAACTGTTCTTAAATTCAAATGCATATACACCTGTGACAACACAGTTAACAGACCTCAACCCCACCATGTAACTGAGCAATCCTAAGATGATCTTGATTATATATTTTCACTGTACTTATTTCAATTCTGGGAATACCATAAAACTAAGGAAAATGTTGCTCTTGTGATTGAAAATGAAAAATGTGTTTATTTCCCAATCATCCATGTGCAGCCTCCCAGATTGAGCTGCACTAATCATACATTTGCCAGAAATCCAACCTTGATCCAGGCAAGACAGGTAAAACCTTAAACTATCTTTTCAACCACACACAAAATGTTTTGATTAATCCTTCAATAATAAAGATGAATGTGTGGTGTGGAAGCCATTTACTTACTGGGTGTGTTTGGGGGGATCACAATACTGTAGGACGCCATCAGATGTATGCCTGCTACATACTTTTGTCTAAAACAGATAATGACAATCACATCTTTACAAAATATTCTCTGATATTTCTCATTTGGAAAATACATATAATTGATCTCCATGCATTGCCAGGTATATATGTTCACTTCCAGGAAGAGATCTAGTATACTTTTGAAATACTCTGCAAGCAACATAATGAGTTGGATGTATGAACTTTAGAGAGAATGATAATCCTGTCTGAATTTGGTTGTACACTGTCCTAAGTATATGCCTTGAAGGTCACACGATAATGACACAAGCTGTTTGGAAATATTTCCAGTAGGACTTTGTGTGTACTATCAATTTTACCAGTACAACTGAGACATGTAATAGACCACACATTCTCACCTTTTAGGAGTAAGATAGATACGTATCCCTGAGTAGTCCCGTGGTGTAGTTTCTGCAAGACAAGATCATGTTGAACAGGTGCTTGTTCTAACAGTCACACATAAAACAATACAAGGTCCAAACAGCGGAGTGGATAACTGTCTTGGTTCAAACACACTCTTGTATAATAGTAATTTATTTCTGCTTTCTGAATCCTAGGTAAAAATACTATTAAACCAAGACATGCACTGGGCCCAATGTTTAAGAGAACCCTGCCTGGGAAGCAGCTGTATTTGTTGGATACTTCTAGTTTCAACTGTTATCATTCAGGGTTGTTGGAAATGTAGGTACGTTGGGTGTCCTTATGTAGAATCCAGAATCCAGATACTTCAAATACTGTATCATAAATGTTGTACAGTGTAACAACATAAATGGGTTCATTTATTTTGAGCTCACATGATCAGACAATCCAAATACTTGTTCAAACCAGGACCCAGCATTCCTCATGACAGGGATAAGTGTCTACTCAGGTAGGTGAGTCAGTCAGTTGAGGTCAACACCTCTTTGAACAGTATTATAGTTAGATCATGGCATGTCAGCTTAATATGGGAGAAAGCTATTAGTGATGCAGGTCTCAGGCATTTACTTCTTTGGTGAAACCCACGAGAACGGGTATGGTGCTGACAAACCTAGAAAAAGTAAGTTTGAACCACAATCATAGGTTTCTGGCATGCAACTCTCTGCACAGCAAATACCCCGTATACAAATGGACCACCTGAGCTTACTCAGGAAGGAGTCAATGTTTGGAGACATACAGACGGCACAAGCTGTCGATTGAGAAATGCATAGATAATTCTTTTCGCTCTCTGGCATCTATCAAGTTTAGATTGTGGCAGGCCAAAAAAACAATAGCCAAGGTTACATAGCTCACACCTCTGTACTAGAATCACTTCAGATTCACACAAAGTTAAATTTGATTAATAATTACATGAATTATAACAAGGCAAACTTATGGCACAGTTGACTTCACTCATAGTCAGGCATGTTCAACCAACAAGAACTGTCCTACTTCAGCAGCTGCCATTGTTTGATCTGGTCCACTTTCTGTTTACTGGAACTAACAGATCGGTCAAAGTGTCTGTAAACTATCTGAAAGAACTTTTCTAATGGCCTTGCTAAAATGAATGGGAGTTTCATGACTATGAGAGTGAGTGTACACAGCAGCCTGTAAATATATTAACTGAGTCGGGTACAAACAAACCAGTGGTCAATATTATGAGCATACGACCGCAATACCAAGTCAACAAGCCTGACCATCTCCTCCACTCTTTTTACCTCTTACAGCAAGCAATAGTGGGCTGGGGACTGACTCCAACCTGGGTCAACATTATCATGGAGATGGGATGTTTATTGAGAGATTTATTCCAAACAGGGTCTCCACGGTCATGGAGATGGGACGTTTATTGAGAGACTTATTCCAACCTGGGTCTCCACGGTCATGGAGATGGGACGTTTATTGAGAGATTTATTCCAAACAGGGTCTCCACGGTCATGGAGATGGGATGTTTATTGAGAGATTTATTCCAACCTGGGTCTCCACGGTCATGGAGATGGGACGTTTATTGAGAGATTTATTCCAAACAGGGTCTCCACGGTCATGGAGATGGGACGTTTATTGAGAGATTTATTCCAAACAGGGTCTCAATGGTCATGGAGATGGGATGTTTATTGAGAGATTTATTCCAAACAGGGTCTCAATGGTCATGGAGATGGGATGTTTATTGAGAGATTTATTCCAAACAGGGTCTCAATGGTCATGGAGATGGGATGTTTATTGAGAGATTTATTCCAAACAGGGTCTCCACGGTCATGGAGATGGGATGTTTATTGAGAGATTTATTCCAACCTGGGTCTCTAGGTCATGGAGATGGTATGTTTATTGAGAGATTTATTCCAACCTGGGTCTCAATGGTCATGGAGATGGTATGTATTGAGAGACTTACCACTGAACTTATGCTTGTAGTGTACTTGTAGCACTATAGTCTTGATGGAAGACGCTCTACCCACTCGAAAACCAACATCTGTCAACACAACAACATACACCGTCATCTGCAGGTACACACAGAGCATATTGCAACAGACGGTGCCATCTCAACAAGTTGTGTTATTTGTACTTGTGCTAGACATAAAACCTCCACTCCAGAGTCGGAGTCTATTTAAAACAAATTTGGTCTGGAAAACCATGCAAAAAAAGTGCATACATTAACCGATCTACAAATAATGGTGTCAAGTGATAGATTCGGGCTGAGTCAACTGTTAAACAAAATGTATCTACATAGTGTATCAAGATACTGATTTCTGTTTGGTGTAATCTACACTTTCCTCACTTCCAAAATTAATTTACTAATATCTGATAATAACGCTCAACAGAGCTCATACCATGCATACAGGTCAGCTAGATTCATTTTATACAAAGTTGAAATATCAAATATATGTGAGGCATTTTATTGCAAATGAAAAGATTAAGTTGATGTTTCAGTAACAAAAGTGGATGAATTAACTGGTGCAGGATCATGATTACCACAAAAATAATAGTGTAGCATAATGCACATTAAAAGAACTTTGACAGTTGCAAGGTGTCCTTAATATCTTAAACTCAACATGATGGAAATAGTAACCATGGTAACCAACACTTATCTGTTACTAATTTAACCCTGTCACATCTAGCCCCAAGGATAGGAAGATTCTTTGGTTTTAACCAACTCAAAAGAGCCCTGAAGATCAGTGATTACGAAAGTATCTTTACGGTACATTACAGAGAACATAGCTGTACATGAGGTTTATTGCTCAGTATGTCAACTATTTGATCCTTTGATAGTGAAACTGAGGGAAAGGTATCAACTCATGACAAACGTCACCTTTAGGTAGGCGGGTGGGTGGAGCAGCCTTGGCCCAGGCGAATATGATCTGTTCCTCCGCACGTCCCTGGCACACTGCGGGGCACCTCCTACAGGCAGAAACAGTGAGTGAGTGAGTGAGTGGGTGGGTGGGTGGGTGAGTGAGTGAGTGAGTGAGTGAGTGAGTGAGTGAGTGAGTGAGTGAGTGAGTGAGTGAGTGAGTGAGTGAGTGAGTGAGTGAGTGAGTGAGTGAGTGAGTGAGTGAGTGAGTGAGTGGGTGGGTGGGTGGGTGGGTGGGTGAGTGAGTGAGTGAGTGAGTGAGTGAGTGAGTGAGTGAGTGAGTGAGTGAGTGAGTGGGTGGGCGAGTGGGGGGGTGGGCGAGTGAGTGAGTGAGTGAGTGAGTGAGTGAGTGAGTGAGTGAGTGAGTGAGTGAGTGAGTGGGTGGGTGGGTGAGTGGGGGGGTGGGCGAGTGAGCGAGTAAGTGAGTGAGTGAGTGAGTGAGTGAGTGAGTGAGTGAGTGAGTGAGTGGGTGGGCGAGTGGGGGGGTGGGCGAGTGAGCGAGTAAGTGAGTGAGTGAGTGGGGGGGTGGGCGAGTGAGCGAGTAAGTGAGTGAGTGAGTGAGTGAGTGAGTGGGTGAGTGAGTGGGTGGGTGAGTGGGGGGCTGGGCGAGTGAGCGAGTAAGTGAGTGAGTGAGTGAGTGAGTGAGATAGTGAGTGAGCAGACGGGTGCGCATGAGGGGTTATGAGGGTATTGTTCCCATTTCCTACAACATACAGCATCTCACTTGGGATATGGTTCACTGAACTTCATGTTTAATTTCCGCATTAAAAATTGTCAATAGCCCTGTAGTCTTTGCAAAACTGCATAATAGTCTATAAGGTATCATAAGGACTTGTAGACATTTGCCCTTTTAAGGGTTTAGCTATATGTTCTTATTTCAAGGACTAGTTGACAAAAACTGTTAGTTTCAACCGCGAACATTGTGAAATATTACAGACAACAAAGCATATGCACTTTGTGAGTTTTGAAACTTTCAGAATAATAGGTATAAGAAACAAAACTCATGTATGGTATGACACAGCCGGCAGTCCGGGCAGTGTAGAATGAAGGAGCACACCTACCATATGTCCGTGTCTCTGGCCGGTTCCCCGTCACAGCCATACAGCAGGATGTGATGAGCTGTCTTCACATCCGCCATTGCCTCAAACTGAACTGGAACACCATCAAATGTCCCAAGTATAACTATAAGGATCAATACTGAACAGGGTTAATTCAATGTTTCACTGAAACTTCACCATCGTGTGAATGTAATCACGTCCTCCCAAGTGTGGGTGAAGTCAATGTTTATAGGCAGTTTCCCTGAGAGACTGACCATTACACATGAGCAGGGTTGGGACTCTCCTTAAAGACAAACTATTTCATAAAACTATTTTATCAACAATGGGATACAAATCTACACTTTTCATCCACAAAACAGCTCATGGTTTTTTTTCTCATCATGTCTATTTCATTCAGTTTATAAAAGCAGAGCAAATATATATTTTCTTCCCTCAAAAAGAATACTTTTTCCAGTGTAATGTAGCATGGCACACTGACCGATGTAGTTCTCGTCCGCAGCCAAGTCATCCAAACTGTAGCTTGAACAGAGGTAGGAATCCGGCTGAAACACAAGACACATCCTGCACATATAGACCACTCAACATGTGCAACACGGGGACATCATGGAAAAAACCCACGATGTACATGTCAGTATTAAAAATGGGCTTTGGCAAATTTTTTACCCATAAAAAGATAATAGCTTCTACTAGAAGGTTCAAAGGTCTTTACCGTAATTAATAGCTGGAGGTGTAACTGAAATTCACCCAACAAATCTGAACACCTTTATTAACTGATGGCCAGACAGACTAAGCTGGGGCCAATGTAAAGCAGAGAAAATTGGAATCAAGTCATCAGTCTCGTAAAGATTTATGATGAAAAGGTGAGAGAGTTGGAATCAAGCCATCAGAGTCTCGTTAAGAATTATGATGAAAAGCTGAGAGAGTTGGAATCAAGCCATCAGAGTCTCGTAAAGATATATGATGAAAAGGTGAGAGAGTTGGAATCAAGTCATCAGTCTCGTAAAGATTTATGATGAAAAGCCGAGAAAGTTGGAATCAAGTCATCAGTCTCGTAAAGATTTATGATGAAAAGCTGAGAGAGTTGGAATCAAGCCATCAGAGTCTCGTAAAGATTTATGATGAAAAGCTGAGAGAGTTGGAATCAAGCCATCAGAGTCTCGTTAAGAATTATGATGAAAAGCTGAGAGAGTTGGAATCAAGTCATCAGTCTCGTTAAGATTTATGATGAAAAGCCGAGAAAGTTGGAATCAAGCCATCAGAGTCTCGTTAAGATTTATAATGAAAAGCTGAGAGAGTTGGAATCAAGTCATCAGTCTCGTTAAGATTTATGATGAAAAGCCGAGAAAGTTGGAATCAAGCCATCAGAGTCTCGTAAAGATTTATGATGAAAAGCTGAGAGAGTTGGAATCAAGCCATCAGAGTCTCGTTAAAATTTATGATGAAAAGGTGAGAGAGTTGGAATCAAGCCATTAGAGTCTCGTAAAGATATATGATGAAAAGGTGAGAGAGTTGGAATCAAGTCATCAGAGTCTCGTAAAGATTTATGATGAAATTCAATCCAGCAGCTGATCTTGCAATGAATATCATCGGGACACGTATCAGTTTCAAGCAGCACCAATTACATCCACTGATCCAGGCCAATACTGACACTGGGTGGTCCTATCAGCATACATATCATTAAACCAACCATTGTCATGTCATATATTTAATGTGGTGTACAAAAATAATGACTTGATACCTAAAATATGAATAGCAATATATGCCAACAGATCATATCATAAATCACATTTCATTGACCATGTTGACAGCCACAAATGATTTCTCCATCTGTTCCATCTACATTACAAGGCCCATATGTTGCCACACGCATCGCACAACAGAGAGAGCTGGCGTATAATAATAATGTAACTGTTTATCCACATACATAAACTATTTCCTCCACATACATAGACTTACTCTGGTGCTAAACATGCTATGAGACCTTAATGAAATAGGGAAGCATTTCTGCAATATAGCGCACTATAATGAAACATGAATGAAATTAGCCCTATTACTAACTACACATGTACCAAATTACGTTACATCTTGAACGAAAATGGCCGAGTAATGGAAATAAAAAGGTTTTTCAATATGGCTGCCATTGTGGCCATGTTGAAAATCAGATTCGAGCCTATTGCAAAAATTGGTCATTGGAGGAGCAAGTACATGAAATTAGGCTCTATTGGTCCTGTGGTTTCTGAGAACATGTTTACAATGCACAACAGACAACTGCCGACTGCCGACAGACAAAAATGCAATGACATCAGCTTACTTGACTTCCAGTTAGGTGATATAATGAAATTGTGAATTGATGTATAAGTGTTTACAATCTTTAGGCCTTGGGGGATAGGGCGATACTGTTGAAATCATAAAGCTGTCACTGGTTGTGACATATTGCATTGACTGAAGGCTATCACCTATGTGGATGTTTCAATTCAAACTTGATCAATAACCACTTTTTTTACATGATGATGAGTCAGTGAGTTAGATTTAAACAAACTTTGAACAGTATTTGACTGATATCACAGTAAGCATGGGGTATTGGAAGATTGAAGTTTATCACAACATACTGTGATAAACATGGTCGGCCTGAAATACATATCATGATATATTGCAATAAACATTATGGCCGTCCTGCAATACACATGACAACATATTGTATGACATTAAAATATTGAACTCAGAAGCATCAATCAAGGAAAATTCTCTACTTCCACGCTTCAGCCTTACCCTTATTGTTAACAACTTTCCAGCCGGGAGGTATGACTGTCACCATGTTGGGGCCCTGGATGTTAACGGATCGTTAACGGAAATGTAAGAAATTATGGAAATGCAGCAAGGGTGGTATGACCTAACCATGATCTCCGAGATAAACAAATTATATTGTATCCTCCCTGTATTGGGTGCTGCCCCACACTGAAATACATACAACACATGTGTCTCCTTGTGGTGACTTTGTTCGAAATGTGTCTCTATTCACCCAGCAGTGAATGGGTACCCGGTAGGATGAGATGGCAATGTGATTGTTAACTTTATAGCACTTAACAGGCAGCTTGGGTTGTATACACCCTAGGGAGCTGAGAATAGTTGTTGAGGGCACACTGATCGAGTGACCGGGGTAAGAATAGAGCTTTGAGCATGCCCCTGTGTGGTCCACCATCATCATCATCATCATCATCATCATCATCATCATATTATTTTGTGTTAATTTACCATCACACTGATTCACAGAAAGTAAGGAAGAATACGTATGTTTAACATGATAATATTTCTTATTAATGTTTGAAATTAAAGGCAGTATAAACACATTGACACATGAAATACTGAATAGTATACATGTCACTATCATAATCACTATCCCTATCATTTACTCCTTGTTAAAATATTGATTTTGGAGCTGCTATTAACAGGTGTCCAACATGTGTTGCCGCTGTGAGCACATACCGGTACATACTGCATCCATTCCCAGGTACAATAATGTTTGCTATGATAATCAATGTATTGAACAAGGGCACATTTATTTTAAATGAATCACAAAATTATTACAGCTTAATGATACAGCTTGCATTGGAAAAGATGCTGACTTGGGAGAAGAAATTGTGCTAGGAACTCTGATTTATCATCACGTTTGATGCAATATTACTGTAGGATTAAAGAAAGAAATCACTCCCAAACGCCAGCTTTAGTTAGTCATATTTCATACATGAATGTTCAAAACTCTAAATATATATACAGAACTGTCACTATGTGGCTGAAATAATGCTGATGCGACATTAAATGTTAATTCACTCATATGCAGAACAGAGTGTATGTGTTACCTGGTTAAGCTGTGTGACCAAGCCAAGTCATCGAGCCTCACCCCCAATCCACTGAGGGACAGATCATTTGATACTTGGCTAACATTTTATGATAAAAATTGTCCCAGAAAATAATAGTTATAAAATAGTTAGTCTCCATACAAAATTCCAGAATGTTCAATAGTCAGTCCCTAAGTCACCTCTTGCAGTCACAATGCATATGAATTGCTGCTGCTGCTGCTGCTGCTGATAATGATGATAATGATGAATCGATGATTCAATCTAGCATACCTTTGTACAATTGCAGGGTTCCACCATGACCACAGTCACATGATTCTAGGATCATAAATGGAAGTATTGTCTCAGATTGACTGTTTATTCCAGAAAAAGTTGGTGTCTTTTTCTCTAAGCTTCTTAAAAATGGCTCTTACAATTGTAAATGACCCAACTTGTCATGGGCAAAAAGGAGGGGTCTCACCTGTTTGGCAACCAGAATAATAACTGCTTGTTGTTTGATATGAAACTTTATATCTTTTATGATTTAGCTCTAAACTTATGAAGATTAATAGAATCTTCACTGCGATTTTGCCTTTCAATCCCAGTGGAATCTGTTTTGGAGAGAAACTAGGTTACTCTTTGGCACTGCATTTTCATAATTACTTGTCAACAAATTGAAAAATTAAAAAAAATATATTGTCTTATCTTATACTTGAGTCTTATTACTTTGTGAAGTCAAATAACACATTCCTCATGCAAAGGTAACATTTCGCCCCCTACATATAATGCCTTGGCTTCTAGAAATTCAATTTGGCTCCTTAAGAAATTGTTAAGGAGCCAGGTGGCTCCTTGGATAAAAGGGTTATTTTGGGGCCTGACATTTTAACAACCATGCAGCATATCTGCATCTGTTCAACGAATACAGATTTCAATGCTTATAGCATTGACAGAACTTGTAATGACAATCTAATATGGGATCTGGAATGCTGGTTTTACAACCTCAGTCTACCCATCGGTATGTGTTGCAGTGAACCTGCTTGGTACGTTAAGCTCTATGAATGTAGGTAGCATGAGCAGGCTACACAGGTGAATGGAGATTCACAGCCACACATCCACAACACCGGGTTGACGCCCAAGTTTCATAGTGAAATACAGGGGGGGGGGCAGGCTTGCTGACTTGGTTGATGCATGTCACCGTATCCCAATCGTGGATCGATGCTCATGATGTCAATCATGGATTGTCTGGTCCAGACTTGATTATTTACAGACCGCCGTCATATAGCTGGAATAGAGCTGAGTGTGGCGTTAAACAACAAACAAACAAGATCTTTAACAGACGACTGGGATACACAATTAAAACATACTCTGTCTGACCATGGCTATAACCTGGCATTACTCTTCATCTTCCAAAAATACCATGTTTTTTTGCACACACAAGTTTGAAATCTAAGGGGTCCTGGATTCTTGAGGTTTGCACTATTTGAATCGAGGGATCTCCTTCATGTTTGGTTTCTGGTTAGTACATCATACTACATGGTCCCTTGATCACATTGACTTTCATGCCTGATTCCGAACAGTAAATTAACTGAACATGCTGAAACAGGTGGATTCTGAACAACCTCTGGCAATCAGCTCTTGACAATTCCCCATATCTACCAACCATCTAGAAAGATACACACAAACTGTTATCAAAGTCAACAGATCTCCAACTGAACCCAGATTGCAGGCATGCACTGTGATCAATACCATCTGTTGTGAGCAGTCTACTTATTATTTCAGGTCTCGAAGTTTAAATTTTTACCAAGTAGCCATATGGCTACAAGTACTGTTTTCCAGGTAGCCAATGGAAAAATCAAGAAGTCAAGCCAATAGTGTAGGTAGCCCGATGCGTTTGAACTTATCTTTTATCACATCACTATTATGATATGTACAAGTCATAGCACTATGAATTGTATATTAGTGGAAACTGTACTTGATTTTTGTTATTTGTGACTTGAGCAATGATGCAGTTCATGTTACTAGATTAAATAGGTATATCCTTGCTTATCCAATGAGCATTGTCAACTAAAATAAAATACTAATTAATAGTTATGTATTTCGGTTCAATGCCGATTGCAGAAGGAATTATTTGCGAGTACAATTATTAGCAGATGTGTTTTCCAAGATCAGCTGTTATTCATTTTTGTGTCTACATATGTGTAGCACACAAAATATTTTTCAAGATAGTCATTTGGCTACCTCTGAATTTTAGACAGTGGACAAATTAAGATTTAGGTCGCATTGGCGACTGCTTTAGTCGCAACTTTGAGGCTTGTATTTCAGTTTTACCAGCCACTCATCCTACGTATATAGACAGTAACGAGTTTTCCTATACACCATGTTTACAACACACAATGTGCTGTAAGCAGTCTCTCCTTGCTATTAATCTTTAGCAAGACAATAAAACATATATATGCATTCTTGTATGTAACTATAACAAAATGGAAGCATGGAAGGGTGCTTCTAAGACAAAGGGAACTTATATCAACTGTGCCATCGGCATTTTAATAAAAGGAATTTCGAACCCTCTCCAGGTTCATAGTGTCATATGAATTTTGACACTTTATTCAGTGTTCTAAATTTGGACAGACATCTATATAACAATCACATTGACTACATTTGGTACAGACTGAAGTCAGGATAGGCCATACACCTCATGTAGCACAGTCCCCAAGAAATATATTTACTGACGTGTATTTATTAGTGCATAAACATGGTACAGTGTTCGAAATTAACAAATGACTGCTAGTCTGAGACTAGAAACATTCCAGAACGATTAGTGACATTATCTTGAGGACTAACTTTCACCATCAGGTAGATGGCACCTCTATAGCAGATCATGTCTGCAGAATATTGGAAATATATATCAGTTTGTAGTAGGGCTCGGACGGGTAACTTGGGTACCTGGGTCGGGTGGGTACTGAGTAGGACCCGGGTACATGCAGGCCTATCCGGACCCGTGGCTAGTCACATGATATATTGTTTAATGACAAAAATTATCTAGAACTCTATGGTTACACTACAAGTCACTAATGTTTTCATTTCTTTCTGACTATGGACCCATTCCTTCTGACTTTTCATATGGTTGAATAAAGATATAACTTAAGTCAACTTCAGTGTAATACTGGCACTACTTACCGAGGATGGATGTGCTCCCTTCATCTTAATCTCCATCGTCTTCGCGTCCCCCACCTCTCCATCAGTTGGCTTTGGGCTGTCATCTGCAGTATTGATACTATGTGCTACATTTTCAGCACCGATACTATGTCCTGCAATCACTGCTACAACACAAGCCAACACCGCGGGAATAACGCACGTGTGTATTGACATGTCTTCACAAGGACGGGAGGAAGATATTGAGGTTAGGTGGGTGACTGTCCTCTCTCCCTGTCAATGTCTGTTACTGGATGCTGTGCACTGTTGTCTGAACCTGCAACCATGGTAACAGATGCCATTAAACATGTTTTTATACAAACTGTCTGCAACTTCAGCCACAAATTCATAGCCCAACACTAAAACAGCCTTAGACATGAGCACTTGTCCTGTAGTCCTTGCCAAACTGCCCAATAGTTAAGGTATCATAAGGAATAGGAGAAATTTGCCATTTTATGTTATCATTATAAGGACTAGTAGACTAAACATGTTAGTTTCCACTGCGGTAAAATCTACTGAAAATGAAGCCCAGAGCCAAGTTCAGGCCTGAAGAACCAAAAGTTTTGGGCACCAACTGAACTAATGTGAAGGAGTTGACGTATGTTGATTCACGCCAGTCAGAAAAAGTCCAGCATTACCACAGCCACCCACCCTCATTAAGGTGATTAACACCAGGTAACACTTCACTCACAAATGATCGGGAGAACTCGACTCTATAATCAATAATCAACACAATGCATGCTCAGGAAGACAAAGCCGGGCTACAGGTGATCTCAGAATTTGCCAACAGAGCATGTAAACAAGGCTGAGTGTGATCGATTACATACAAATAGAAGAAACTGTGTTAAAGTATTACTTACACTAGAGAACATGTTTTCACCTTGAGTTATACTTTTAATATAAGTTGATGATGATCAGTGTATGAATAATTCAGTATACATGTTAAAGGTTTGAGGGACAGAAATTTGAGAAATTGCAGACAGACCAAGTATCATTATCAGGATAATCTGTGAACAACCAACAACCACCTGATCCTAGCATGGTGTGCCCTGAACTGTTGGATGATGCTGAGATAACAGGACACATTGTCAGATGTTTCCTGGTTTTATGATCAATGAACCATTAAGTTTGAAAACAGAAAAGAAATGAATCAAAATTTCTCTGTTTGAGAGAGTTGGGATTTTGTATCACAATATTTTTTCCCTTATAGCGATGCTGCCTTAACTTTAGTCCTGCCAAGTTTAGACATGATAGAATTTTTACATTATCATTCGAACTGCCCATGATATATCCATGATTGAAACAATAGCCCCCTCTTGACAGATTGCACGCAATCCCCATAACACGTTAATACATGTCATATGTTGAAAAACTTGGATCACTCAGACAGTCATCAAATATCTATACACTGACGTGCCATGTCCCTCCGGCTATGTTTGTCATGAGTTTGTAGGGTGTGTACAGAGCTGGTGTACATGGAGTACGACGGCCTGACAATCACCCCAGCTGTCACATACAGTATCACTGTTCAGAACCGATTATCAGGATGAGCGATCAATGGTCCTAGGGGACAGTATAATTGTTCACAACCGATTATCAGGATGAAAGATCAATGGTTGAATAATCAAGAAGCATAACCTGCTTTATGTGCAACAACAACATTATTTAGGTCAGCAGGGTTGTTCCTGGGTCCATCTGTGTTCAAGACCTCATGACCCTCAGTAACAGATCCAGGTTGCCTACACTGGCTTATTGTGGCAGGCTTCTCTTGTATTTGACTGATTTTGATATAACTAGTGATTCAACCGTCATACTTTCTATCATTCTTTTTCAATTTGTGACGCAATATTTTGATTCTGGAAAGATCCTTGGGCAAGAAATGATAAGAGATTAAAACTGATAAAATGTCAGAAAAAATTTGTCCACTGACAATGATGACTATTTAAAGCCAAGGTCATGTTTTCCTCAAAATTTAAGCATTTTTTCACACAGAGTAATCAAAGACATAATTTGGATTGCTTCTGATGTTTATTTTCTGCTGTATGTGACATAGCCTGAATAATTAATATCATACACACAGGGCAAGTGTTATCCACCTTTGTCTATGACGTCATAAATGATTTTAACATCCCTCCATGTCCGAAAGACGAGATCTGATTGGTTGATGTGATCTTGATAAAATATGATGTATCCCACCTTAGAGAGAAATAAATTTCTCAGTCGGAGAATAAATCCCTCATACCTTGCCATGGAGAAAACAGGCTGTACTTGGATTTCTCAGCGGAAAAATAAATCTCTTACACCCCCCTTTGAAGCAAAAAGCTGCACGCTTTTCCAGAGTATAAATAATTGTGAATAGTGCAAACTTTCAATCAGTTAACACATAATTTACTAAAATCAGAATTCATAATATTGAATGAAATCGTCAATAAAATTGATGAAGTCGGTTAATAACTTAAAGCCAGATAAACACCGAACACTTTTTTTGCCCAGAGAGTGTAATTTGATTGATCTGTTGATTTGCTATTCCCTGTCGCTCTGTCCATGCGAGTGGTTATGTTTCCACTTTGGAAAACAAATTGAAAACTCATTGTTTGCATGCACCACCTCACACACAGTGCTAAAAATACAGTAAATCAAAGTTGGATATTTTGTCTTCGAATCTGAAGCCTCATTTGCGCTGTTTCTTACACTTTGTGTTTTTTCTTACATTTTAGGATCTGTGAAGATTGGAGTAAGAATTGGTCTTCAACGTGATTAGGTGGTCAGACATGCTGACTTGGTTGATGCATGTTATCATATCCCATTTGCCTAGATCGGTTCTCATGATGTCAGTCACAGGATTGTCTGGTCCAGACTCGATTATTTACAGAATGCTGTCATATAGCTGGAATATTGCTGAGTGTGGTATTAAACAAACAAACAAATCTTACATTTGTATTGGCTCCTTCTGAAATTGCTTTGGCTCCTGAAGTATAGCCTTTAGTGGACACAATAGAACGTCACAAGCAAAATGGCTACCTGGGTAAAACTTTGAGGATTGGTTCAGGTAAAACAAAATACATTGTACATTTTTACTCAATGGACACTGAAAGGGTTTATGATGGCAATAAGAAATAGCTACATAGAAACTTGCAGAAGTTGTACATCTGTCTCAACAATCTTTAGGCCTGTGCATCAGTCTTTATGAGGCCGGCATTCTGTACACAAAGATTAAAGAAAGAAAGATCTTAAATTATGATTGAGGAAGTACTTGAATAATAGTAACACTTAGGGACAAGACATTTTGATCAAATTCACCACTAAATGAAATAAAATAAGTATATTAAAGGTGAATAACTATAATAAAGTACATTTGCTATGTTGTCTTTTAGTGTCACTATAATTTGCAACCATTAAAACAGCTCTGATATAAGAGGTCTTTACAAACTTGCAGGCAGACTAGAATTTACACTCTTTTGTGAAACAGGTTTGTCACAAAAGTGAACTTAATCATTGTCTGTTTTTGCATTAAAAAGATACTGTTGCATGCACAGGTTTTCGCACAAACAATAAAAAAAAGTATTAAGTATGACAGCTGGTGGCAGTATCTGCTACACATGATCATGTGCATGACTGCTGAAAGCTATAGAGCTTACAGAATACTTAGCTTTTATCTTTCAATACCAGTGGTAAACTTATTGTTGATCAATTCTATGTAAATATTTCTGTAGGCACAGTCAAATAGTCAGTTGTTTTGCTCGAGGCCTCAGGACAAGATCATGATTTACCAACGTTATCATTGTTCTTCCATATTCATTACCGAAGTTTAAATGATCAGATAGTGTCATAAACACCGACGTGAAACTGAACCTCTAGACAAAAACAACATGATGAACTAGCCTAAATCAAGAGTTCTTTACAGTACGAGATGAACACGTTGCTACATGTCTCTGTTCCTATAACATGTTTGACAATCGTTGTCATTTATCTAATTAATTGAGGCCTTACTCGCATATTCATTAAACTATACTCTTAACAACTCAAATCCATAGTCTCAACGACGTCAATTCTACTGACCACTACCCCATTCAGCAGTGGTCTGAAGCTTGATCATATTATTAAAACGAAAACAATATTGCAGCTTTACCTGTTATCGTTTTTTCCCTTGAATGGTTAATGACAGTGTCATGCTTGTCAAAGTGTTCAGTTTATCATGGATCGGCTTGGTGAGATTGTAACATAGACAGTGACAGCTGTTAGTTTACGGTGAATTGATCGTGGAGAAAATCACGGATTCCCATGATTCAACAAAAACACTTCCGCCTTCCCACAATTCCTAAGAATGTTGAACTTGATCGTATTTACCTAACACATATCTATTGTAACTCTCAGGGAATCTGCGTTTGGTCATGTGCATCGTTTTAAAAGATACAGTGGATTATTTTGCCTTTTAAAATAGGGGGTATGTGATATTAACATGCATCCCTCACGTGACTTCGCGAGGGAGGTGAAAAAGCAGACATCTGTTTCACCAAATGATGACGCGGCACTAGGGAAATTCGGGGTCATGTAAAGGATAATATTTATCTTCCTAGTATATTACGTAGTAAAAAGTAAGTTTTATTTAAGGACGTCTTTCCGACCTGATTTTTTTAGAAAAATGCAATAAGAAACAAGGATATCCATTCATTGTTTTTATTTGCCTAGTAAAAGTTTATACAATAAACATGACGGTCCGTCAGAAGCAAATAACATAAATTATATTAACTAACGAAGCAGAAATAAAAATACTTACCAACGTTTTGAACAGAGTGCAACAAATACAAGCGATGTATGATAACTAGCGAGAACAGTCATATCATCCCTGACAGCCGGTTACGTCACAATATCGCGTTGTTTATGTGAACAATACCTGTCAGGTGTGAACAGTTAATACAGCCACACGTGGTATACTGCCAATAAATACCAACAGTTGCAGCTAATTATCGATGGAGACAGACATCAAATTAGCCACGGCTGACTGCTTTCATTGTTTTTGCATGTAAAGTCGATTCCAGGTTTGACGTCACGAGACAGCTCCTATAGGATTATTATATGCAAGGTGACATGACCTCAGGGCCTGAAGTACCTGACCTCCGGCAATGCTAATTATTCCTCTAGGCCGACATAGTAGCATTTGTGGATTGAAAATATGTGTATACACAATTTCAATTATAATTGTACTAAAATTTACAAACACATTCTCGTTGTATTACCACACACAAAATATGCATTAAAAAAGCAAAAATCTGCTTTTCCCATTTGACGCGAGATAAACATATCTATCAAATACTCACCCGTGAAGAGATAGCCCATGTAATAACAATATGTAGGCTGTAGCTTTATTAAACAGTGTTTATAATAACATCACGGGCGGACTGGACTACCTTCTACATCAGCCGGTCATTTGAACGGCGGCCCATGCAACTATGATCTACAACGCCTACAGTATACACAAACACGGATAATCTACCGATTGATACTATTTTTCACAAAACACAAGCGAGGCCTTCCGAACAAGTGCGATTGGAATAGAGAATAGGACTATCACTTTGTATTGTAGCAGTGCAAGTCAAAGCAGATATACAAAATACCATAAACTGTACATGAAAATGTGATGTGTTTCATCAAAATAGTTGCAAGCATATGTTCCGCAAATTGCATGAAATTTAAAACCTTGTAAGTTTGAATTAACGAAGAATATGCTGTTCTATGTTTCTCACAAACGACGTGAGTAGTTCCTATATAATACATGTAGTTTATTACCAACCCGAAAGTGGATGAATTAACATTAATTTAATGCAAAGCAGTGTGCATGTACCATGCACAGAACAGCATGGTAACTTTCCATTCAAAATAATTCCAACATTGATGAAACGTGTTGTACGAAACTAGTATATGTGCGACAAATCAGGGGAAGTAATAAGGGAGCATCCATTGACGAACTTCCTGCATGAAGTCATAACCAGATATATATGTTTATTATCTTGTTTAACATTCGTCTGGTTTATTCCGTTTGACACCACAATGAGCAAAACAATAGTTGTTGGAACATGGGCATTCAGCAGTAAACCGGTCCTCACTGCCGGGGACAAACTCGCGTGCGGAGGATGCAGTTGCGTGGATGCTGTGAAATGTGGAATAAACGGTGATTTTACAAGCGCTTTTACTAATTATTTCTATGTACTTCTAAATTGAAACTCATAACAGTGTCGCTGCTCATGATTACAGGCGCAAACGCTTGCATATAACTGATAATGACATAATTAGCAGTATAATGTCGATAAATACATGGAATATAGTACTATACCTAATTAGTAAGCTAACGTCTACAATTGTTTTCATCGGCACCCTTGATGAAGCGCCCGTAAAACACCAATGGTTAACACTGACATGTTTCTGCATGGTGGACGTTTTACATCTATCTTTATTGTAATAACATAAGAAGAAGAAGGAAGAACACAATAATAATAATGTGAAAGATGACGTTATATATGTTGACGTGGTAATACTAGTCGTGTATTTTACGTATTGTGTTGACGATGAGTGGTTTTTATCGAGTGTTCAGTGGTTGAGGACGATGCCAGCTACGGGGACTATCTTGTTGGAAGGGGCGGACCTCGGAACAAGGATGGTTATCTGGAGCAAGACGCTGCTATCATGGACGGGTGCAACTTGGATTTCGGCGCCGTCACTGGCCTACAGGGGTAAACACTCCCATTATTTTTATCTCTCCTAGTCTAGGCTTCGATTGAATATTTATACCTACTACTCAATGTTGGAGAATGGTAAACCCAAATGAACTGTAGCTTGATTTTAAAGGTGAGTCGAGTATCCACGCGAAATAAAAACATTACCCAAATTCGCAGCCGTTCGCGAAGGAAAAGGCATATTTGTCACAGGAACTCGTTATTGGTCGGTAAATAAAAACATATACCTCTATATGTAAGATTCTCTACTTACATAAATAGGTATATATTTTTATTTACTGACCAATAACGAGTTCCTGAGATATTTGCGTACATCGTACTGCTCGTTTGCTGTCACTTGCACATACCATATAAGACATACAAACAACTACCCAACTGCTGAAATGTAAACGAAAGTCCTCTTAGTTTACTCAGACCAGTGCCGGGAGTTCTATCAATTACGGCGTTTTGCAAATACCCTTCACCTGTTTTGTTTGTTTGTTGTTTAAACGCGGCACCACCCGATCCCGTTATTCGCCTTTTACGACAAGCATAGTCGCCTTTTACGACAAGCATAGTCGCCTTTTACGACAAGCAAAGTCGCCTCTTACGACAAGCATTGGTTGCTGAAGACCCATTCTAACCAGGGTCTTCACGGCTCTCCCTCACCTGTACTTACAGTACGTTTTACATGTAGCCTATTTGTAGTGTTTACTGACTGAAAAGTATACCATTGACCATAAAACCTTTACACAGTAGACTGTTGAATTGTGACATTCCCTCAACATTCTCACGTCCTCCTCAGCGTGTCCAAAGCTATCTCAGTGGCCACCGACGTCATGAACTACTCAGAACACAACATGCTGACGGGAGGCGGGACGACAGCGTTCGCTGCACAGAGAGGACACGATATAGACGCGCAGCTAATGCAGGCAGTTGGTATTATCGTCACTTATAGTAATTAATTAACCTTTTTGGCATGTTTTACTGAATAGTTCAAGAGTTGGCTCGGGGGATTGTTTTTCCCAATCCTTGGGAAATTATTTGGAAACAAATCTACATAAAATTGTGATCCATATAGGACAAGACCATAACGCAAAGCCGCAAGAAACACCACTAACACACTAGTCTCCGCGGCACAATTCGGGACCACTGTTGCCCCGTGCTCTGAGGCGCCCCAATTTGCTGTACAGAGTTGCGCCTCTTAGACGTTCCAGGAACCTGTGATCGTAGGTTCGAATCTCAGATAATCGTGAGGTTTACTGCATCACTTTCCCCCAACTTTGAGCTGTCATTCCTGACTTTACCCACTGACTCTCCTACACTAAACCCAACTCACCCACTCAATCTCCAACACTAAACCCAACTCACCCACTCAATCTCCAACACTAAACCCAACTCACCCACTCAATCTCTTACGTTAAACCCAACTCACCCACTCAATCTCTTACGTTAAACCCAACTCACCCACTCAATCTCCTACACTAAACCCAACTCACCCACTCAATCTCCTACACTAAACCCAACTCACCCACTCACTCTGATACACTAAATCCAACTCACCCACTCAATCTCTTACACTAAACCCAACTCACCCACTCAATCTCCTACACTAAATCCAACTCACCCACTCACTCTGCTACACTAAATCCAACTCACCCACTCAATCTCTTACACTAAACCCAACTCCCCCACTCAATCTCCTACACTAAACCCAACTCCCCCTCTCACTCTGCTACACTAAATCCAACTCGCCCACTCAATCTCCTACACTCACCCACTCACTTTCCTACACTAAACCCAACTCACCCACTCACTCTGCTACACTAACCCCAACTCACCCACTCACTCTGCTACACTAAATCCAACTCACCCACTCACTCTGCTACACTAAACCCAACTCACCCACTCACTCGCCTACACTAAACCCAACTCACCCACTCACTCTGCTACACTAAATCCAACTCACCCACTCAATCTCTTACACTAAACCCAACTCACCCACTCAATCTCCTACACTAAACCCAACTCACCCACTCACTCTGCTACACTAAATACAACTCACCCACTCAATCTCCTACACTAAACCCAACTCCCCCTCTCACTCTGCTACACTAAATCCAACTCGCCCACTCAATCTCCTACACTCACCCACTCACTTTCCTACACTAAACCCAACTCACCCACTCACTCTGCTACACTAACCCCAACTCACCCACTCAATCTCCTACACTAAACCCAACTCCCCCTCTCACTCTGCTACACTAAATCCAACTCGCCCACTCAATCTCCTACACTCACCCACTCACTTTCCTACACTAAACCCAACTCACCCACTCACTCTGCTACACTAACCCCAACTCACCCACTCACTCTGCTACACTACATCCAACTCACCCACTCTGCTACACTAAACCCAACTCACCCACTCACTCGCCTACACTAAACCAAACTCACGCACTCACTCTCCTACACTAAACCAAACTCATCCAATCACACACATCCCCTACGCTACACAATCATCACTCCCCCATTCAATCTCTCTCCCACACTTCCCTTCCCAGGCTCCAGTCTCCCCATCAAGTGGTGATGATCAGGCGCGGGGCAACGATACGCTGGGTGTGATCGCCTTATCTGATGGAAACATCTGTGCAGGTACTCCCCCACTCTCCAGTATCTCCGCTCGCCACTCTTGTCCTTGATATATTTGCTGCATCTTCCCGAGGCAAGGGAGTTCACTGACTATAAAAGTCCAATTTCACCCATGCCGAACTAGGCTAGAATAATGGTGTTACAGTTAGGCCAATCAAAATCATATAACGAAATTGACATCCGGTTCGTTAACAGCCGTACAGATATCGGTCTGCCTTAACAAAGTGATCTTAGCTCCATGGTTATAGTGACTCATTGCATGAGACTAATGAGGACTGTCAGTCGACCCAACCAAGTAAGTCTACCTTTAATGAATCGGTCTTCTACCATTCCAACATTATTTCGCCACAAAATACAAGCTATTTAATCCGATTTTCAAAACAAAAGCTGATTAGATGTAAGAGCAGCCTGCGTGTGTCTCTTGTAGGTGTGACAACAAGCGGTAAACGCAACAAGTGCGCCGGCAGGGTGGGAGACAGCGCTCTACCGGGGTGCGGCCTCTACGCAGGTGAGACCTACCCCTCCATCCAGGTAGAATACATCCTTGGGTAGCCAGTGTATTACACATCTACTTTATAATGACATATACTGTGAAACCCTTCGCTACCATCTGCTCTTTTAGGGGCTTAAAGGCCGTCTAATCCAGTTGCACTGATGGGGGAGAAATTTGTGAAGAGAGAGAGATTGGCGGAGTGACGGCATTTATCGTATTACAATAGATAACTGAAGAAGGGTACATGTCTGCTTGTTTGTCTTCATGCCCCGACGCTGCTCATGCTGTCAGCCATTGGTTTGCCTGGCCTAGCGGGGGTTTGTTTGTTTGTTTATTTGTTGTTGAACGCCGCACTCAGCAATATTCAAGCCACTATGACGGCGGTCTGTATATAATCGACTCAGGACCAGATAATCAAGTGATTGATATCATGAGCAACGGTCCATGCAATTCGGATAAGATGCACCAACCAAGTCAGCGAGCCTGTATATGGTGTTAAACAACATGTACTCTAATTGAAGGGGGCTTAGTGACTTATGCATACGTGATATGCCAACAGTATCAGGTTGCATTGTCGCTAGCAACATATGCTATCTTTAAATGGCATTTAGAATCTGCAGTATCAGGGACAACATTGTAAACTATGGATGTAACCGCTTCGGTACAGCTGTTTGCACCTTTGTCACCTTGCTCACTCACTCACTCACTCACTCACTCACTCACTCACTCACTCACTCACTCACTCACTCACTCACTCACTCACTCACTCACTCACTCACTCACTCACTCACTCACTCACTCACTCACTCACTCACTCACTCACTCACTCACTCACTCACTCACTCACTCACTCACTCACTCACTCACTCACTCACTCACTCACTCACTCACTCACTCACTCACTCACTCACTCACTCACTCACTCACTCACTCACTCACTCACTCACTCACTCACTCACTCACTCACTCACTCACTCACTCACTCACTCACTCACTCACTCACTCACTCACTCACTCACTCACTCACTCACTCACTCACTCACTCACTCACTCACTCACTCACTCACTCACTCACTCACTCACTCACTCACTCACTCACTCACTCACTCACTCACTCACTCACTCACTCACTCACTCACTCACTCACTCACTCACTCACTCACTCACTCACTCACTCACTCACTCACTCACTCACTCCAGACAACGAGGGAGGGGCGGCCTGCTGTTCCGGCGATGGTGACGAGATTCTCAAATACTGTCCAAGTTTCCACACAGTGTGCCTCATGAAACAGGTATGTACTGGGTGGTAGGCAAGGTAAATTACTTGTAGCATTGGAACATGACAAGAGGAGATGGCACACATGCACATAGTGTTCTCTGCAATGGAAGTATTGTGCATGTCCATTACGTACTACTATCGATACATATCATTATTCCAGTCGACCAGCATTAATACGTACTACTTTCTGTGCAACTCATTATCCCACTCGACCAGCATTAATACGTACTACTTTCCATGCAACTGCTTATTCCCCTAGGGGAGCAGCGCCCAGGCAGCATGTGACCAGGTGATAAGAGACATCCAACGAAGGCTGGGACAGAAGGAAATGTTCGAGTTTGCCATGATTGCTGTGGATATGAAGGTACTATACCCATTATTGAAGGTTTTTGTTTTGTTTGTCGTTTAACGCCGCAATCAGCAATAGTCCAGCTATATGACAGCAGTCTGTAAATAATCTAATAATGACTGACGGTAATACCGTGTATATGGAGGTAATATACCCCTGATTGACGGTAATACTGTGTATATGAAGGTAATATACCCCTGACTGACGGTAATACTGTGTATATGGAGGTAATATACCACTGATTGACGGTAATACTGTATATATGGAGGTAATATACCACTGATTGACGGTAATACTGTGTATATGAAGGTAATATACCCCTGATTGACGGTAATACTGTGTATATTGAGGTAATGGCCACTGATTGACGGTAATACTGTGTATATGGAGGTAATATACCACTGATTGACGGTAATACTGTGTATATGAAGGTAATATGCCACTGATTGACGGTAATACTGTGTATACGGAGGTAATATACCACTGATTGACGTTAATACTGTGTATATGGAGGTAATATACCACTGATTGACGGTAATACTGTGTATATGAAGGTACTATACCACTGACTGACCGTAATACTGTGTATATGGAGGTAATATACCACTGATTGACGGTAATACTGTGTATATGAAGGTAATATACCCCTGATGGATGGTAATACTGTGTATATGGAGGTAATATACCCAGAATGAAGGTAATATGCAGAATCCGGCATGACACAGTGAGATCACTATTTCAAGATTCAGTATCCTGTTCCAGGGCAACGTTGGCGCTGCGACCTCCGTCACGAGCTACACCGACCCCAAGACCGGGGTGACATATGAGGGCTTCCCGTACACCGTGTACAGGGGCCGGGACCTGGGGGTACAGACGAGGGTGCAGGCGAGGGTGCAGGCGAGGGTGCAGGCACCTGCCACCAGCACATAACCAGGGTGTGACGCTTCCCGTACACCGTGTACAGGGGCCGGGACCTGGGGGTACAGACGAGGGTGCAGGCGAGGGTGCAGGCACCTGCCACCAGCACATAACCAGGGTGTGACGCTTCTCGTTCCGGCCTCATATGAAGAGACAGAGCCCAGCGTGGTGTGTACGTTACAGCTTTCTGCATCACCCTGGAGCCTGGTGCCTCCCATCCCCAGGATGCATGGTGATGTTATCACGAGAATCATCAGTTTAAAGTGAAACATCGTTGCCAAATAATAATTTAAGATTTAACTTAAACTCTCTGGCGCCACCTGGAGCACTATGCTGGTCACTTCGACCTTCGACCAGCGGCACCAAAGGGTCATATGTCGACCTCTGCTCCCTTACAACACTGACGAAGAACGAGACCGAGACTGGAGTCTCCCTCAACCGATCATTCTCTACCGGAAGTTAGGACATGACCTTGCTGGTTTGTGATCATTACAGTCACTGGTCTCCGATTTTATACCCCCCTCTCTCACTTCCTCTTCATTCATGGAGGGATATTAAAACATAATGCACGGATGTTGAACTGCATCAATGATTCTTTTTTCTCATATTAAAACCCACTTCAGCTACAGCTGGATACTGTACACGGACATCTAGCCAGCAACGGCGGATATTGCATCAAGTGATGGTGGCTTGAAAACTGACACACACGTGGTGGCCATTTCCAAGTCCATGAATATGAAAACGGCCATTACATGTATTAAAATGATATCTATGCTTCGCTGACATTTTACACTGCAACAGGATAGGAGGTGAATGACACATTAATATGCATTTTCTGGTGATGGCGCGGTATGCTGTGTTTCACTTGATGTATTCTGACATGTAAGTATGTGAAACGGTAACGTAATGAATTTATGATGGAGCGTAATTACCACTTCAAACTCCAACGGGAATACTTTAGAGATGCTATATTACAAGAACCGATAGCGTGGATGTTTAACCCACAAGCAAGGCGCTTTGGGTAAATAGATATAAAACGTCAACGCCAGAGAATATCCAATCTCGATTATCCACCGGAACTAATTCCACTGTGCGTAAAAGACAAAAAGCGGGGACAATTATATGAGGTATTTGCAAAACCACATTTCATAATTATCAAAAGAAAATCCCAAACGGATGATATTGGATTAGAAATTGAGTTGTCATTCAAAGTGCATGCCAACAAGCCCAAGTTCGCCCATATTCCACACTACTACTTTTTTACGAGATCACTTTATAATTTAAAACAAATAATTTTTAATCTTTTAAAATCACTGAAACCTCGAAATGTCGAAATGTCGATTCTGTGCACATCTCGTGTCGTTGGCTAAAACCCCACCCCCTGGGACAGCGTGGCGCTGTGATGTAGCAGAGGTGTAGCAGATATCACTTCTCTGGGAGTGTATCCTCAACCTTGAAGTTGAAACATATGTATAGTTCTAGTTGACAGTGATTTCAATTATATCTAGAATCTACTGTTTTATTATATTTACAATACTTTCTAGTCATTTATTCCAATTTCTACATACGGCTGATCCATGCTTGCCGTAAAAGGCGACTATGCTTGTCTTAAGAGGTGACTATGCTTGTCGTAAGAGGTGACTATGCTTGTCGTAAGAGGCGACTAATGGGATCGGGTGGTCATGCCCGCTGACTTCCCTGATGCATGTCATCGTATCCCAATTGCGTGGATCAATGCTCATGATGTCAGTCACTGGACTGTCTGGTGCAGACTCGATTATTTACAGACCGCCGTCATATAGCTGGAATATTGCTGAGTGCGGCGTTAAACAACAAACAACCAACAAGATGTAAAGGAACAGAACACCCGACAAGATGTAAGCTCACTGGTTCTGCTAAACACGCCATGGAGGGACACTGGCGTCCAAGTCATGGCCCTCCCAGTTTTCTGTGCAGATGTGTGTCTCTCGGGCGTGGCAAGATCCAGTGATCCTCAGTTCGAATCCCACATTCGTCCTCATGATGATCATATGTATAACTGACTGATCTAAGTTAATAATCTCGAGAGGTTATATCGGCACTTGACAAGATGTTTGAAGCCCCGCAGTCAGCAAATGATTTGCCTGCTCCAGACTCGACATTTCACGTCATTCATCCACTTTCAATTTCCCTGAACAAAATACATCTAAACAGATCTAATTAAGATGGAGTAGCCTTCAAAAGCTATTTTTTATGGAAACTGACCCATCACTCAAGCCTCGGAGGCAAGTTGATGTTTTTATTTGAAATGGTAAATTGAAACACATTTTGTGTAATCTATTGTTATCGCGGAACGAGTCGTATTTTCCAAAATCCCTTTTCGACCTTGAACAGCTGATGCCTATACATCACGACGGCAGCGATCGATACTTGCGTATGTACCACCCAGCCCGATCATGGCTCAACAGTGGAGCCTGTCACAACGAAACGTTTAATTAAACAATAACCTCTTTATAATGGATGCCTTGACGATCTGAACAAGACGTTGAAATTGTCGCTCTTTTAACGATCAATTACGTTTGATTTAAGCTGCAACTGTTTTGGCGTAATGTGTGGCAAAGACGGGAGATGCCCTCTAAACGTCACGTTACAACATCCCTGCGAATCGGACTACTTGGCTTGCCTTTATGTAAATGCCACGTCAGTGAAGTTTTATGCCTCTTCCAATGACATGCTATTCTCGCTGCAGGCTTTCTATCTGACACATTCTCTCGTATTCTTGTCGACCGCTCACATCCGATGTATATTTAACCTGGCGCTATCAGATTGAAATTAAAGGAATATATTTAGCACAGTACGTTTGGCAGATAAATGCCTTTTCTGTGTAGTAAGCGTCTGTGGTCCTTTACCTCCAACTGCTGTTATGTCTTAGTGCCTTGGGTAGACTCAAGATAATTAAGAGTGTATATTTGTACAGACGTGCATGTTGCTGGTTCTCTTACAGGTGACAAGGGCTCGCGAAGCGTGCATAAAAGGAAACGATTATTCAAAGAAGTGTTTTCTCCTCATTCCTTGAGGACGTCCTGAGTGAGTGTGTTAGTGAGTGAGTTGTGTTTAACGCCGCTTTCAACAGTATACCAGTTATACCACGGCGTGTCGGCTTAATGTGGGAGAAAAGCCCAAAGTGATGCAGGTCTTAGACGTTTACCACTTCGGTGAAACTCACGAGCACGGGTATGGTGCTGACAAACCTTGAAACATAATCGGGGCGAACCGGGATTCAAACCCACAATCAAAGGTTTCTTGCGTGCCCAAGGGACGCAACTCTGCACAGCGAATCGCGCCGCCTGAGACGACTGGGCCTCCCGTGACCCCGTGCACCTTCTGATATGAGCGGCAAAAGGCCACAATAAACCATTCTGAAGACTGTTTGTCTGTCACGCCCAATGGAATCTGCAGGTATCGAGACTGTTTGTCTTTCACGCCCATTGGCATCTGCAGGTATCTAGACTGTTTGTCTGTCACGCCCAATGGAATCTGCAGGTATCGAGACTGTTTGTCTTTTACGCCCATTGGCATCTGCAGGTATCGAGACTGTTTGTCTTCACGCCCAATGGAATCTGCAGGTATCGAGACTGTTTGTCTTTCGCGCCCATTGGAATCTGCAGGTATCGAGACTATTTGTCTTCACGCCCAATGGAATCTGCAGGTATCGAGACTGTTTGTCTTTCGCGCCCAATGGAATCTGCAGGTATCGAGACTGTTTGTCTTTCACGCCCAATGGAATCTGCAGGTATCGAGACTGTTTGTCTTTCACGCCCAGTGGAATCTGCAGGTATCGAGACTGTTTGTCTTTCACGCCCAATGGAATCTGCAGGTATCGAGACTGTTTGTCTTTCACGCCCTATGGAATCTGCAGGTATCGAGACTGTTTGTCTTTCACGCCCAGTGGAATCTGCAGGTATCTAGACTGTTTGTCTTTCACGCCCAGTGGAATCTGCAGGTATCGAGACTGTTTGTCTTTCACGCCCAGTGGAATCTGCAGGTATCGAGACTGTTTGTCTTTCACGCCCAATGGAATCTGCAGGTATCGAGACTGTTTGTCTTTCACGCCCAATGGAATCTGCAGGTATCGAGACTGTTTGTCTTTCGGGCCCATTGGAATCTGCAGGTATCGAGACTGTTTGTCTTTCACGCCCAATGGAATCTGCAGGTATCGAGACTGTTTGTCTTTCACGCCCAGTGGAATCTGCAGGTATCGAGACTGTTTGTCTTCACGCCCAATGGAATCTGCAGGTATCTAGACTGTTTGTCTTTCACGCCCAATGGACTCTGCAGGTATCGAGACTGTTTGTCTTTCACGCCCAATGGAATCTGCAGGTATCGAGACTGTTTGTCTTCACGCCCAATGGAATCTGCAGGTATCGAGACTGTTTGTGTTCACGCCCATTGGAATCTGCAGGTATCTAGACTGTTTGTCTTCACGCCCAATGGAATCTGCAGGTATCGAGACTGTTTGTCTTTCGGGCCCAGAGGAATCTGCAGGTATCTAGACTGTTTGGCTTTCATGCCCAATGGATTCTGCAGGTATCGAGACTGTTTGTCTTTCACGCTCAATGGATTCTGCAGGTATCGAGACTGTTTGTCTTTCACGCCCAATGGAATCTGCAGGTTTCGAGACTGTTTGTCTTCACGCCCAATGGAATCTGCAGGTATCGAGACTGTTTGTCTTCACGCCCATTGGAATCTGCAGGTATCGAGACTGTTTGTCTTCACGCCCAATGGAATCTGCAGGTATCGAGACTGTTTGTCTTTCACGCCCAATGGAATCTGCAGGTATCTAGACTGTTTGTCTTCACGCCCAATGGAATCTGCAGGTATCGAGACTGTTTGTCTTTCACGATCAATGGAATCTGCAGGTATCGAGATTGTTTGTCTTTCGGGCCCATTGGAATCTGCAGGTATCGAGACTGTTTGTCTTTCACGCCCAATGGAATCTGCAGGTATCGAGACTGTTTGTCTTTCACGCCCAGTGGAATCTGCAGGTATCGAGACTGTTTGTCTTCACGCCCAATGGAATCTGCAGGTATCTAGACTGTTTGTCTTTCACGCCCAATGGAATCTGCAGGTATCGAGACTGTTTGTCTTTCACGCCCAATGGAATCTGCAGGTATCGAGACTGTTTGTCTTCACGCCCAATGGAATCTGCAGGTATCGAGACTGTTTGTGTTCACGCCCATTGGAATCTGCAGGTATCGAGACTGTTTGTGTTCACGCCCAATGGAATCTGCAGGTATCGAGACTGTTTGTCTTTCGGGCCCAGATGAATCTGCAGGTATCGAGACTGTTTGTCTTTCACGCCCAATGGAATCTGCAGGTATCGAGACTGTTTGTCTTTCACGCCCAATGGATTCTGCAGGTATCGAGACTGTTTGTCTTTCACGCCCAATGGAATTTGCAGGTTTCGAGACTGTTTGTCTTCACGCCCAATGGAATCTGCAGGTATCGAGACTGTTTGTCTTCACGCCCATTGGAATCTGCAGGTATCGAGACTGTTTGTCTTCACGCCCAATGGAATCTGCAGGTATCGAGACTGTTTGTCTTTC